ATAATTTAATAATTATAAATAATTTATTTAATTTAAGTTTATAATTCATAACTTTTTTTATATTAATTATAAATTAACCTTCGTAATTTTAATAATAAATAATAATAATTAAAAATTTTTTAAGTTTATAATTATAAAAGGGACTTATATATAAATAATTTATAAATTTAATTTTAAATGTTTATTTCGTTATAATATATAAAAAAACCTTTTAAATATTATAAGAAATATATTAAATCTTTTAATAACATATATATTTAAAAAAGTTTAAATAAAAACTTAAATTTATTAAATTAAAAAACCTTGTTTTTTTTTTTTTTTTTTTTTTTTTTTTTTAAAATTTATCGCTTATTTTATTAAATAAAAAATGGCGGCGGTTATCCGTTCCTTTATTTAATTACACGTTTTAATATTTATAAACGCGTTATTAAATTATAATTTTATTTAACATAACATTAAATTTAAAAATATAATTAATTTACTTCTTATTATTTAAAATAATAACTTTTAATTTATAATTATTAAATTAATATTACCACATTATAAACATTTTAAATATTACCTTTTACACGTTTAAATATAATAACGAACTTACGTTAAATTTTATTATTTATTTAATTAATATTATTATTATAAATTATTCCTTAATTTAATAACATGGGTTTTATTTATTAATTAACTTGTTTTACGTGTTTTAATTTATAATTTTTTTATATTACATTATAATAAATTAATTTTTAATATAAATTAATAAAAACCATTATAAAAAATTAATGTTAATATACCATTAAATTCTTTATTAAAAAACTTATTAATATTAAAACTTTTTTAAGTTTATATATTATATAAAAAAAGGAAATTAACGGTGTAAATTTAATAATATTTAAAGTTATTTTACTTTTTTAAAAAGTATTCCCGCTTTTAAAAAACATTTAAATATATTCACGGGTTATTAAAAAAATAATAATTAATTTTATTTTTAAAATAAACATTAATTAAATAATTTTTTAATTCCTTAAATACCAAGCTTATTTATTTTTATAATATAAAAATCATAATTATTAATTATTTTTTTAAGTTTAACCAGGTTATAATTACCACTTATATTAATTTATTAACATTATTTTAAATTTCATTCTTAATATAAAGCTTTTTTAACCGTTAATTTTAAAATAAAAATCTTTTAATATATTTTTATTAAATATTAATAAATATAAAAATAGTTTTTATTTAAAAATATAAAGTTAAATTAATAAATAAATTCTTATTCCGCTTTAAAAATATAATTTATATTAAATAAAATTTAAAGTAAAAAAATTTTATCCTTATTATTTTAAACTTTTTAAATATTATTATTTAAAAAAAAATAAATAAATAATAATTAACTTTTTTTTTATAATATTTAAATTATTTTTATTATATATTTATATTAAATTAAAAATAACGGTAATTTTTTATAAAATAATTTAATAAAATTATATTATAAAATATATTTTATTAAAAATATTAAAAAAAAACTTAATTATAATATTAAAAACGTGTTTAAATAATAAAAATATATTTTTAAAAAAATGTAATTTTATAATAATTAATAAATAAAATAAAAAAACAGGGTATAAAACATTTAAAAATATTATTATTAAATAATATATAATAACTTGTTTTAATATTAAAATTTAAAAAAAGGTTAATTATAAATTTAAATATTATTTAATATTACTAAAAAAAATAAACGAAAAAAACAATTAAAATGTTATTATTTTTATATTAAATTAAATAAAAAAAATGCCATTTTTAATAAATTAAACAAATATCCCGAAAATAAAATTTATAATATATATTAATATTATTAATAAGAAATTATTACTTTTTATATTTTCTTTATATTTTATAATATATAAATTATATATTTAAAATATTATAAATATTTAAACCGTTTAAAATAATAATAATTTAATATTAAATCGCATTAAAAAAATTTATAAACGGGGAATTAAACTTTATAAAAATAATATATTATTCCGCTTTAAAAAGTTTAAGTTTTAAAAAAATTTAATTATAAAAAAAATACGGAAACTTATAATAAAAGTTTTAAAAAAATTAAAAAAGTTAATGTTAATATTATTTAAATAATAATAAATAATTATTAAAGGGCTTATTTAATATTAAAATAAAATATATACCCCGTTTTTTTTTACTTTTTTTTCTTAATTAAAATTATCACTTTTTAATATAAATTCATATATACACTTAATCCATATATATATATTTTTATTTTTTTTAATAAACGAATATTATTTTAATTAAATATATAATAAATAATTAAAATCTTAATAAAGTTATAACGAAATCATTATATTAAATGATATTTATAATTATTTTTAAATTTTTAATTATTTAACTTATAAAATTAATTTCTTTAATTAAATTTTATATATAATAAATAAATAACGTTTTTATTTTAAATTTTATATTAACATTTAAACTTTAAATATAATTTAATTTAAAAATAATTTATATATAATTAATATTGTTATAAAATATAACGTAATTCGAAAATTTTATTAACTTTATTTTTACATTATATAAATAAAACTTTTATATGTTATTAACGGATTTATTACGGGACTTACCATTGCGTTTATTTATTTATATTTATTTATATCCGTTATTAAATTAAATTAATCTTTTTTATAACGTTATTTTTTTTAATAAATTTTTTAAATTATTTTATTTTAAAGTTTAATTAAATTAAAGAAAAACTTTAAAATATATAAGTTATATATTTAAATATATTTATAAATAAATATTTAAATAAATATAATTTACTCTTTTTTTTTTTTTATTTATTTATTAATATTAAATGTTTTATCCCCGTTATTAAAAATATCTTAAATTCGTTATATTATATATATTTTTTATATTTTTTTAACATAAGTAATTAATAATATTTAAAATTTTTATTATATTTATTATTAAATCGCATTTAAAAATAATAAATTAAAAAAAAATTAACTTAATATTAATTATTTATTTTTAAAAGCGAAAAGTTAATATTATTAAATAAAATAATAAACTTATTAATTTCTTAAGAAAAAAGTTAAAAATTTTTATTAATAATAAATTAAGTTTTAATTAATTTTAAATAAAAACCTTTAATTAAAATTTAATAAAATATAAATATTTTCCCCGTTTTATTTAAGTTATTTATTTATAATATATTTATTAATAATAATAATAATTAACCGAAAATAATAAATAATGTTAACTTAATTAATTATATTATTTAAGTTTTTACGAAAATTAAAAAAATATTTATTAATAAAATTATTATATTAATAATTTAAAATTTAAATATATATATTTATCCCGTTAATTTTTATTAATTTAATAAACTTAATTAATTATAAATATAATTTTAAATTAAATGAATTTTTTTATTTAATAATTAAATTTATAATTAAAAACGTCGTTATTAAAAATTAAAATTATTATAATATTAATTACCGGTTAATAATTATAAAAATAAATTTAAATTAATAAATATTTTTTAATTATATTTATATTTTTTAATAAATTTAATTATTTACATTATTATAATTAATATTATTTTATTTTTAAATCGCGTTTATATAAATTATAAAATTAATTAAAACTTTTTTTAATATTATATCGTTTTATTTAATTATTTTAATAATATTTATATTAAATATTATTATAATAATAATGGAAATAAATGTTTATATTAACCCGGTATATATTAATTTATTTAATAATAAAATAATTATTTTAATAATAATAAATTTAAATAAATATATTTAAATAATTAACATATTTAAGATTGTTTTTATTTTATTTTTATTTTAATTAATATTTAAAAATAATATAAGAAATATTTAATAATAATAATATATTTTAAATGTTATTTTTAAAATAATTATTAATTTAAAAACTTAATTATTTATTATAATAAATAAAATTAAAGATTTTAAACGTTAAAAATTAATTATAATTTTATAAATAATAACATTTAATATATATTAATATTTTTTTTATAATTTTAATTTATAAAATATAAATAATTTATTAAATAAATAAAATAATTAATTTTTATATTTAAAACTTTTTATTAAAACGTAATCTTATAATAATAATATTAAAATAATTATTAATTAATTTTAAAAGTTATTTTAAAATAATTTAAATATAAAACATTTAAATTTAAATAAAATAATTTTAAATTTAATATATTATAAATAATATAAATTAAAAAACATTATAATTTTTTATAATTTATAATGCCTTTTAATGTTATAGCCCTTATAAATAATAAAATACAATATTAATAATTAAAGCTTACTATACATTTATACAATATATATCGTAATACATAAAATGAATTGGCGGGTTAGCAGATTCGGTATTATCGTCCGCCGTCGAAGGTCCAGTGGACAGCTTTAATGTTACCATGTGATAGCCTACAGCCTCAAATTGCCTACCATCTTCCATTGCTTCCGTGTAAGTTCCTGCATGTAATAGTACTCAACAATGCAAACATCATGCACTTTTACTCTCCTTTAATATTATAAACAAAGTTTTGATAGCAAGCTTTGTGTATTTTGCACTTAGTATCTATGTTCATATCTACCTATATTCATTCACATTTATACTAATTTCCAGTTATCCATTTTCTTGCTGAGTTGTCATCTCCTCGATCAAGCTTGCATTCGTCTATCCGATGATAGCCAAGTGGCGCAGACGATCGATCACAATAATACAGTAGGAAATCTGGCATTACTATCCTCCCTTAAGCTCGAGTCCCGAGGTCCTAGCTACCTGCCTACACCTCTTTATAACCTTCCAAGTTGGCGAATTCGCTGATTTGTGTCTCGCGAAGCTGCAGAGGTGCCTGCGCATCATCTCGACTAGTTGTCACAAAACAATTCTCGGACGTTTCCAAGAGAGGCTTTCTCGGATGGGCCCTTGGCCGGTTGAATAAAATGTCTCCAGGGAACGGCGATTCCGCCGCAACCAACGAGAAGAAAGAAACGAAGAAGGTAGAGAAGTCGTATTTGGCATCCGCGGTCGATTCCATTAATCCGTGGAACATGAGCCGTAGTAGTACGCCCACTCCGAAAGACACCGCCTCCAAACCCAAGCCGACAGCTCCTGCGGTCCCCACAACAGCTGCTAAGAAGGCCGACGACCATAGCACGAATACCTTCTATGGCCAGAGTTTCAAGAAGTATCCCCCGGAATGTCCACCGCTGAATGTCATGTGGTTTCATGCGGTTGACGTGAGTAAATTTTGACAGCCTTATCCAGTACAAGTACGGCCTTCTGACTAAATAATCCTAGGTTCCTAAACGCAAGCCTAACTTCTTGAAATCGAAAAAGGAGGACGAAACAGCCAAACCAACTCCACCTAAGAAATTCGTTGCCTTTTCCAAGAATGATTCGAGGTCGATCGAGAATACATACCAGAAGCTTTTAGAGGAACTCGAAGATGAACGGGACAGGACTTCAAGGAACGGGTCAATACGCTCTAGATCGCGACGTAGAAGGGCATTGTCGGAGGAGGATAAGACAAATACAAGTACTGAAAATGACGATGACAATCCACGAAGCGGTCTGCGAGTCCCGGTCAATGAAGATTTCTTATTTGATGTCAACATAGAAGAGCGTGAATTGGCGCCAGTCTACTGGCTAGGTCCGATATATGAGATCCGTCGTGGTAGTTGGTTCTATCAAGAAGGATCCACGTTGCGGCCTTGTGAAGAGAACCTTGCGGCTCAGCTGGAGGAGGGATATTTGAAAATCAAACCTTGGACATACCCCTCCAGAATCCGCAGCAATTCTGGGATGCATGACATAACACCGAAAGCATCTTCGGAAAACCTCAAAGCGGCCGCCAAGTCGCAAACCGACAGCTCGCTCAAACCCCAATCAGCCCAACCAGCGACGCCCCATCAACCACAGACCTATCGTCTCTTCGGCACCTATATGAACAGTATAGCTACTTACCAAGATTCGAATACGGCCTGGCTATCTTCAGAGAGTGTCTTTTCCTGGGTGACGTCAACGGTGTACCAAAGATTTGCTGGTGGCGGATATATGAACGGCGTAAAGCTCGTACGCGGCTACTCAGAACCTGGCAAATCGAAGGATGGGAAGGATGGCAAGGATGGGAAAGATGGGAAGAGACCCCCCACGCCCACCACGGCTACTTTACCTCCCGAGAAAGAAGAAGACAAACAGGAGAAGGCCCTTAAAAGGAGGTCTGCGCCTCCTAGCACGCGATCAGACAATACAGCTGACCGAGACGAAGAAGACGGCAAGGATGCAACAGAAGCCGAACGCCGGGGAAACCGTTTAAAACGACAATTTGCGTCCTTTGTCGAGACTTCGGAAGACCCAGAGAAGCAAGAGGAGCAAATCAGAAAACGTGAGGAGCAAGAAATCCAAGATGACTATAATGACCAGGATGGAGAGACGCAAGGGCGTGAAATTGAGCACCTTGTCCTAGTTACCCATGGCATTGGCCAGCAGTTAGGACTTCGGTAAGTATTGCGACGCTACTCACGTAAAGTTCATTAATTGCTAACCAACGCTTATAGAATGGAGAGCGTCAACTTCGTACATGATGTTAACTTATTACGGAAGACCATCAAAGCAGTCTACACGCACTCGGCTGATTTGAAGACTCTTAATGATGAAGGTGAAAATGACCCAGGCAATTGCAAAATTCAAGTTCTGCCAGTCTGTTGGAGACACCTACTAGATTTCCCCAAACGAAGAGATAAAAAAGGCGAGACCGATTTGGGTGACGTCGGAGATGATGAAGATGAGTGTAAGGACCGCCTTCCGGATCCGTTGATGCTATAAGTCACCAGCTAACAACCGTCCAGACCCTTCCCTAGATGATATCACTATCGAAGGCGTGGCATTTGCTCGCTCTCTCATATCAGACCTTGCCTTAGACGTCCTACTTTATCAAAGCGCCTACCGAGAGCAAATTGCAGAAATCGTCCTAAAAGAGTCCAATAGAATTTACAAGCTATTCATGGAGCGCAATCCCGAGTTCAAGGGCAAAGTTCACATCATTGCACATTCGTTAGGCTCTGCAATCATGTTTGACATCTTATGTAGGCAGAAGACAAGGCCAAAGCGCACAGAGACAGCATTGCGTAGTCCATTACGTTTCTTCACTTCCCAAGAGCGGGCTGAACCTCCTCGAGATCCTCGAGATCTTGCCTTCGACTTCGACGTTGATAATTTCTATTGTTTGGGTTCGCCTATCGGGCTCTTTCAAATGCTCAAAGGACGTACCATTGCAGCTCGAAGCAATCCCAACGCGATCCCGTCCGAGAGTCCCCTGAACACGGAATACGTGGACGATCCCTTTCTCTCAACCGTCAATACCGACCAACGTCTTTCAGCCATCACCGGCCTACCATTTTCGGTGTCGTCGCCCAAGGTAGGGCAGCTGTTCAATATATTCCACCCATCCGATCCGATCTCGTATCGCCTGGAGCCTCTTATCTCACCAGCAATGTCATCTCTCAAACCCCAAACCCTGCCCTATACCAAGAAGGGCATCTTCGGTGCCGTAGCACCGCAAGGGCTCTCAGGCCTCGGCGTCAAAGTGGGCCAAAGCGTCAGCGGGCTGTGGTCCAGCTTCAGCGCTGGCATCGCCAGCAACATCCTCAACCGCAGCCTCGGACTCACTAACCAGGACGTCGCGAACTTCAACGCTAACAACAACGTTTCGCAACCACTGCCCCCGGGCGCCGGCACGAACATAGTGGGAGGCGGCGTGATCGACATCAACGCGCAGTCGGAGAAAACGGACGCGAGGAAGAGGGCGTTGGCACGCCAAAACTCGTCAACTGGCTCGGACGGCAACTCCGAGACCCTAATCGACAACGATCTAGAGACGCTATACTCGCGCTTCCAGAAGAAGCGCATCGAGGACCATAAGAACAGTGCCAGTCGTGCCGAGGAGGGTAAGGAACTTGGCGATGCATGGGCCGCGGAGGAACTGAAAGCGCAGAAGCTGAGAAGGGAGGAGGCGAAGGTGATGGCGCTGAATAGAAATGGCAGGGTGGATTATAGTATCCAGGAGTAAGTCAACATTCCCCTGGCATTCTTCCTTCGCCAAGGTTGAGTGAACCTGAAACGGCGAAGAATGATGACTAACACTGTACCCAACCCAGGAGTGCGCTCGACTTCAACCCCATCAACACTATCGCCTCACACATGGCCTATTGGCAGGACGAGGACGTCAGCCACTTCATGATCTCGCAGATGCTGAAGTCCAAGCGCAAGGCAGACGCCCAAGCCGCAGTTCGTATTTGAGAGCCACGTCCCGCGGGCTGCGCTACGTCGCACGCCTAAATCTATCTAGGTATGTGCCATCGCATACCTGTTATGCGCGTACCCAGGTAAACCGTCGGACGTAACGCGCTGTTCAACGTTAGATTAGTAGGGTGGACTACATAGATGGGGATGTGTAATACTATGTCGTGACCCAGCCCCGGACTCCCGCACGGCACGGGAAGGTTCAGCATGGCTAGCCGCCTGCCCCAACGACCCGCAATAACTACCTAGGTATTCGACGTCTGCTCGGACGCACAAGCCTGTCGTGCCAACGAGCGTGCCGAACCTAAAATCTTTGGCACGACGTAGATCGCGATCGAAGCGCGTGATATCGGGTTTCTCGGGTGCCCTAATCGATCCAACCTAGCACTGTTTACCAAGTTACCTGGGCAGAATAGGAGGTAGCTGACTACCTATGTACGGAACCCAACGGCATTACATCCTAACGCCAACCCCTTTACCTCGGGGGGGTTTTTTTTTTTCCTTTTAATTTTGCAACTTTCTTCGATCCCCTCTCTTTTTGGAAAATGGAGTTTTGGGGTTAGTCTGGACTGGACTGGATAGGAAAGGAAAGGAGAGGAAAGGAACGGAAAGAATGGCGTGGATAATCACCGCGAATAGATACATATAGATAGAGATACCAAGAAGCCGCACAGCAGCAAGCACATTGAAGCATGATTGATACTAGTAAATATAAGTAGGGTTTCCTACTCCTGATACAAAAAAAATAAATAAATGATGACACTCGTTGTCTTAGAAGACTTTCTATGTATTTCTTTCATTGCTAGGAGCGCGTGATGAGTCGTCGGGGTATTTCAGCTGAAGACTGTACCTGCATATTGGAGGCGAAATTACCTACGTACGTTAAAATTTCCTCGAGTACTTCCGTGTACTACAACACACGTATAGTTCATCTACAATAATTAGTTCAGCTTACTCAAGTTGGGGACAATGTCATCACAGTCATAGAGATTGAATCAGATAAATGAAGAGGAAGCAATTCATCCGTATTCGGTTCCTATCTGAAGGAACAACAATTGCATAGAAGGAAATTCAATCGTGACCGTACTGGCGCAACTCGTCCCTTGCAAACCATACGCGATGTGATCAATGCCCTTAAAGTATCAGCACAATATCCCAGCAAAGCAAATCCATGACTCCATTTTCCGTGATGACTTTTCCGAATCCAGGTGAGATTCTAACCCTCCCCTTTTTTTCAGTCGTATCATGCCGTCCAAGTGAGATGACTCGACTTTTACCAAATCGCGACCTGCCATAGTGACCTACCCACGCGTAGGGTCAACCATAAAGAAGAGAATATGCAAAGGGTGTTTTGCCGAATATTTTGAGAAGATGGTCCACCATCCCAATCATCCACTGCTCTGGCAACCTTTTCCAAAGGCCTCGGTCGCCATCCACCTTCATAAATTGTTTAGAGGTAATCGATGCTGTGAAATAAGATATCGAATTGTCGCATTAGAAAGGAGTCGAGGTGCCGAGTCGTAGATCTGCTTAGTTGGGGCACTGGGACTGGACATGTCCAGGCTGCTGGCACTTGTAGCAGATCTTTTCGCCTCCGGAAGAAGATGCCTTGGGGCAATCACGAGAGAAGTGGCCATTCTCACCACAGTTGTAGCACTTGCTACCATTGACACACTCGCCTAGATTCGGGTCAGAAAAGATCGCAATTCGGTTGTCAATTTGACTTACGAGACATGTGGCCGTACCCGCCGCATGAATAACACGTCTTGCCACCACCCTGGCCGCCTTGACCACCGCCGTAGCCAGAGTTGCCAAAGCCTCCGTAGCTGTTAGCGCCGTAGGCATCAGGGCAGTTGCGTGCAATGTGACCGATCTTGCCACACTAAATTCAAACAAGATTAGTTAGGTGACTAAGTAATAGAAAGACCGCGTCAACGTACCTTGTAGCATTCCTGGGAACCACCGCCCTGGCCGCCGCCAAGAGGAACACTGCTCTGAGGACAGTCGCGGCTAATGTGACCGGTCTGACCACATCGATAGCAGGATTTGGTATCCTTGGGTCCGTCAGGACACTCGCGGCCTAAATACATCATCGGTTAGAGACTTCTTAGTCCAAGCTATAGTACCGAGAGACTTACTGATGTGTCCTTCGGCGCCACAGCTGTAGCTACATACGACGTTAATAAATAATACATTGGTTAGAAAGCAAAAGATGACTTACCACTTGGGTGGACCACGGTTAGGACAGTCGCGGAGCTGGAAGTTTGAAGATTAGTATTGTCGCAAAACATGTTGCCTAAAAATCAAAGTCCTTTCTCCGGCACATACCTGATGTCCAGTCTGGCCGCCTATATGAAGGTATTAGATCGTTTTCCGTTCAGAAGAAGCAAAACAATTAGGGGACGGATATTGAGACAGAAAGCGCATTATTATACTGGCCAAGTGAAGCACATCAAGGCTTGCGCCTAAGTGCTGCCAAAAGGAGGGAGCTCATAAACATGCAATCGTAAAGGTGTAACGAATCAGACAGCACATTGATGATTGCTTGATGGATTCTCACCACACAATAAAATCAAGCTCGCAAAAATTGCAAACATGAAATAACAGCGAAGCCACGTAAAAAATAATTGCAGCCAGAATATGAAATACAATACGCGACTACTTACACGTGTAGCAGGCGCGAGTAGGGCCCTGGTAATCCATGATAATGTTGTTAAACCGTAAAACCTCTAGATTATTAGAGATATCTTGCTTGAGTCTATGAGAATAATGTTAGCCTCAGAAGACACGTGAGCAGTATGCTATGCGACGGTGGGTTGATATAAATGCACCTTGCTCCAAGTGGATTTCAGTACTGATTTCGAAGCTTCGGGATTGCTATTTCATTGGAAGATTTGAAGAATTTTCAGGTACCGTTCAACCACCTAAACAATAGGCGACAAGGGATGAATGTTAAGACAAGGTAGCGCAGGCTGGATACCTATTGGCGCTGCGTGTAGGGTGAGGAGTGGGGTGAATGGGCGACGATATTTGCCCCGTGTAGTGGGGTTCAGTACAAGGGGAAAAAATGCTTGGTGGAGGGGTTCGTGATGGATAGCGAATGGTATGGAATTTGACATTGGATGTTTAACTTACCACAAGTAAGCGGTATTGGTTTGCCCAATGCGAACGGTCGAATTTACAAAGAATGTAGATAACGTGTCACAATATTGACGTCTGATGCCCTGATCAGATATCGAACTTGTGGACGTTGAGTTGTTGAAAGACCTTGGGAAAAGCCGGATGTTAATTACGGAGCTCGCAAAACGATACAGTGATGCGTCAGATGAGTTTTTCTTACTGGTGAAGGAGTACCAGCTAAACCAGTAAGGTGGTGGGTTGAAATGGCGAAAAGTTCGATATGGTATGAAAGTAGGTGGTTGTGTTGGTGAAAAAGATTTTGATGTAAATTATTTGGTAGATTTAAATACCTATCTACTGGGTACTGCCCATCACTAGTAGTTGGCTGACGATTTGAATAGTGGGGTTCAAAGTTGACGGAAAGGCAGGTACGGGCAAGTACCGTAGGGATATGTACTTGGGCAGGAACCAAAGGCTTGACACCACAGATTTGGAGGAAAGTGCGATATCTCGTATGTATGAGTAAAAGGAAGGTACGATAAGGGAAACAGCACTGTCAAAATTGGCAGGTATGGGTACATATAAATACTAAGTACCTTAAATGCCTATCGTACTTGCCTTAATGCTTGCGAAGGCAACAAACGTTGAAAATTGAAAGTCGAAATGAATGTAAACGATGAAGCTAACGTACCTTAATTTTTGGGACGAGTGGTGACTAAGAATTGGGTTGTTATGTATGTTTATTGTAAGCTAGTAGGTTGGAATGAGAATGAAAGAAAGATATCGTGGGCAACGGCTGCGGAGAAAACTCTACTAGATATGTATCTTTCTAGTCGCCGTTGAATTTACTTTGCGCACGTAACAGCGGTTTATTGTTGTTAATTGACCTTCAAAAATATTTTTGTGGGAATCGCCAATTTACATTACTGGAACGAAGCGGTTAGTCATTCTGCCAACATTGAATTTTCTGCCATTTTAGCGTCTAGATAGCACGTGCATCGCCTTACCGCCTGTACCTAGTAGTACCGTTATTTACCCATATGGAATACAATTATGATATTTGCAATTGCGAGAATGCAGCATTGTGTTATCTGACAGTTCTACCTATCTAAGAAATGGAAACTTTGGGAACCCTAGTCTCGATCCAGAAGGATGTTCCATATTAACGTCCCAAAGTATCTTGGGTGGGTGTTTGTGGTTGCGGCAAAAAAACCGCTATTTGGAAAAGAACATAAAATACATTCTGGTAGTCGGCGAGGGATATAGAAGGAAAATGTTTGGATGGGATCATGTACCTACCTACCTAGTAAATTCAATTGTGGTTTTGGAGTTGAATCCTAACCGTGATAGCAAATACACAGTCTCATTAATCAATGAAAACTTTTTTCCCCTGAAAATTGTAGAGCAATTGGGATGGCCACTCATTTTAATCAACGTGATTTATACTTTAATACTAGGTATTTCATCTCGACTTTTAACGGACACTGGTTTCATCTATTATAGGTGTATATCCGTAATTAGAGCCATTCGTGTGTATAATGATGAATGATCAATTCTTCTGTGTTGCTTGGTGGAAATGTTTAGCTTTGCTCTCTGTCATCAAGTTTTCAATCAGGACACCCTGATTTCTAATCACGAGAATGGATACAAGTAGTAAACCACCAATCCAAGAAAGTGTGTCCTCTGTTTCGTACTCGGGACCACATGACCGTCAAACGAAATAACGTTATAAAGAAGGTATGTCATATATTCTAAGGTGTATCGTAGCTACGACAGAAACCTATAAATGTCTTATTTCTGCAGTAAGTTATATTTAAACATATTTACACATATTGCCCACTGCCGGATGCACCATGAATCTATTAAAATCCAGAGATGCCGTTGGGTAGGGTGAGATAGGTGATTACTCCTGGTCGAGATTGATAATCTGTTCTATGTGATTTGTAACTCAGTTAGATATCTTAGACGGTAGCTTAGCGACGCTTCAGGTAGATAACCTGTGCTTCTGTTCTCCGTTCCAAATTGCCATAACCATATATGCCTTATGTTAAAGTCGGTTGGATCCATTTATGTTGTAACCTTCATAGACCTCTCCATACCAAGTGATGAAATTGAGATTATACCATTCCGGAGCTCACGTCTCCGAATACTATATATGTAAACGTCGATCCGGACTCATGAGTCTTGTAAACCTTATAAACTCTATTATAGGTACCTACTTAGTCAAGTTTTTTTGTGATGAACCCTGACGATCGATATGGAGCCAAAAGGTGGACTGGATGTATTGTGCGTGTATCTTGCAGGATGGGGAATAGATATGCAGCCTTATTTCGGGGTTTACTTGTCCAAATTGGTAATGCAACTATTTCACCCATTTGCAAGCTACAGCATTACAGGTATGTACTTATGAATTTACAGCAAGTGAATGGGTGGTCAAGAGGATCCAAATGAGTACCTAGTAAATGCAACCTTGAAGGTTCACCTGCCTATTTTTGGGGGGCTAGGGTCCTGTAGTGGGGCGCGGGGGAGCTTAACGGCACGGACCAAATGACTTCCAAGTGATACTGGACAGTGGGGTAGTTGCTTCCGACGCGTCTGCTTCAATTCGCGTCGTTCGCGTCATAATTTTTCATCCCTTCAAGCTTTCCTTACCCAAGTAAAGCTTCACAGCAATGAACTCCAGCCAAACAATGCATATACATATATAACCTGAGATACCTAGGTAGGGTATACAACCTGCCGGGCTCCTATCAATTGTTCCCAAATGGAGAATTGGTTCAAGGAAGTGGGTAGACCCGCCCTATTTGACGCCCTTGCCGGAGCCTGTGATCGAATTGACAATGCCCTTGATGAGGGTGCGTATTAACGGATTTATACACATTTGTAAACAATTAGTTGCTTACATGTACGACAGAACTCAAATCGCGTATAGCGGAGAATACACGACTTTCCACGGAGCTCGAACATTTAAAGAGCCGGGTCTCGGACGTAGATCAATTAAGAGAGGAAAATCGATCTCTACAGAGAGAAATCCAGAACCTCAAGGATGGATCTAGGAATTCCCGACTTCCTCTCGCCCCTAAGTCTGTAAACCAAGTGTCAAATCCAAAACGATCCATCGAACTCGGAAAGAATAAACTTGATGAGTTGAAGTTTTCTGAGCTCAAAGAAGAACACCTGAAGCTTGGAGGAAACTACGGAAAACTGCGTGAGAAGTATTCAGAGCTTGAAGATGCCCATACAAAATTAAATCGGCGACTTCGCGACATGACGAAAGCGTATAATCGATGGATGGACCATGCAAGTCAGTTAAATGAACTATGTCAGAAGCGTAGCCGCACGATCAAGAAGCTGGAGGCTAGATTGGACGCTGCAACAGCCGAGGCTTCTATTTCGTTCAATGCTAGCTTTTCTTCCGACGGTTCCGTTCCACCTGAACATAGGCAGCCAACAACTACCTCTAAATTGGCCGAACCGAACGCCCTCAATGGTCGTGATTTAGTAAGGTCTAATTCCATATCGGTGGAGTCCCCATTGCTATGGCCATCTACCAATGAGAACGGCTCCGGCCACGAGTCTCTTAGAAGTACCATCTCTACCCCTCCGGAGCTAACGAAATTTAAGAATGGGCTACGATTCGATCATGGAAGAGACGTTACGCTTCACTCGGATGGTCATATCAGCACACAAGATGGAGAGGAAGCTTCATTGCCACCTCTCCCGCATGATCAAGGTGCAGCTTTGGAAGAGGTGCTAATCAAGCACGAACCATCTTCGGATACCCCGGTTGTAGTATCGGAGCGCTGTTTGCGCAAGAGAAAGCATGACTATGACTGGACGGGGGATGTTCGAGCTGTCGTTAGAGTGAAGGCTGAAGAAGATGGGTCTGATCCACGGATTACTAACGAGCATCGCCAATTTGTGCCGCATGAAAGCATCGACTTCGATGCTGAAGGGGGCAGAGTGGACACACCCAGGAAGCGCAGTAGAATCAACCCCGAGCTTGAGGACGTATCTGGCTTGAACAATCCTTGGTCAGATGCCGAAAATGATGGCTTGGACGGATATCGTGATGAAATAACACGATTGAATGAGAATCCCAAGAACACAGCTACCAAAATCAGTACAGCTCACCACCCACTAAGTCTGCAGAATAAACCCTCTTCCGCATTGAAACCCTTAGATAGCAGCATCGTGCCTCGACAAAGACCAAAAGCCTACAATTTCACGAAGCGGAATGAGCTGCCATCTTTACGCCGCAATGGAATCTTGAGTCTGGCAGAAGATGGTGATGAAGATGAGACTCCGAAGACCAACACAAAAAAGATATCAAAGACCGGCCGACTTCGACACCTTTTCAATAATCCTACACCCACACATGAAACTATCACCCCAACGAAAAGCGTGCTATCAGACCGGGTGAATACATCTGCGATCTTGGAGTCTCAAGCACCCCAAAGGCGTGAATTACCATTTGGGAAGAGTGGGTTAACGCCTTTTGAGAGGAAAGTTGAGAAGACAATTAGTCCACTCATTACTCCAGAAACAACAAACAGCAGACGAGCTTCCACAAACGCTACTATGAAGCAAAGTACGAACCGACGTACTGAACGGAGATCAACGAGCGGTGCGGCTGGTAATGCAACGCCCTTGAGAGAACGTCCAAAGTCCCAGCTAGGCATTAACGATTTCAAAATCAACCCCAATGCTAACGAAGGTTATGATTTTGCTTTCACCGATGTCGTTCGAAACAAAAATGAACGAGCCAGCCTAGCCGGATGTGTCCAGGAGGGCTGTTGCGGCCAGACATTTCGACTACAAGCGCGCGTCCAGCGGGGCCAAACTAGCCCCTCAGATTTCCAAGCGTTGTTGGAGAAATACCTAGGTGACGACGCATGGAAGTTGTCAACGATGGCCAAACCAGAGAAGGAAGAGCTATGGCTTGATGCTAAAACACAAGAGCTTGCTAACGAACACGGCAAACATCGCCATAGATTCCACCGCGCGGCATCCCCAGTAGGCTATTGGCGAACAGATTTCCCGAGTACTCAAGAAGAACTACGGGACAAGGAGGAAGCGGCTAAGATGGCACGCCAAACTGTTGAAGAAAGATATAGGGAGGCTATGCGACCTGGCGGGAGATGGTTGTTCAGAGATGAATAGGTTCGGATTCGCCGATAGAATCTATGAAAGACTCAGGGGCAACCCTATGATGCATTACTGTTTGCTGGCATTGGGTGGAAAATATGGTTTGTACCGAGGAGCTCCCAATCTTAGCAGCATACACGGCTATCTTGGCACATGCATATATTAATGTATAGCTTAGTACGAAGCGTTGGTACCTATGAATAGAGTAAAGAACAATCGAAGTCCCCCTAGTTCAGTATTAAAAAATGTTTACTAGGTGAAGATTTTGGTGCACATAATTCCGAGGTTGTCTTGAATACTGACTATCAAAAATGCGAGCCTACCTACTTAGCTTGGAAGCCGTTACAGACCCTTCCTTGGCACACCTAACTCGTCCCAATCTACCGGTACTATGATTAGAAAAAGTTTATGAGCAACTCTGCTGAGCTCCAGTATAGTACGAAATTGTATGGAAACCTTAATGGATGCCTGGGTAATCAGACAAATACGTATATACAACAATTCTCATACGCAGAAGAAATCTTTCCATATTCATGAATCCCTAAGGTTCATTCTTACAGAAAATCGATCGATAGGTCGAACGTCTCCAAGGCGCACAATACATTCACACATTCACACACTCGCACATTCATACATTCATATCCAAGGTACGTACCTTGCCAGATCATAGAAATCGTGGCTGGTGTAGGTGGCTGAGTAGCTATGTACCCTGATCAGCCGCGGTTTCGGATTGGCTCGAGGCAATCTCTGAGGGTCCGAAAACTTTAGAAAAAGTCAGAAAACATTATTAGCTCCCGAATTGATCTCATCCCGACCAACTTCAATACACAACAACGCGAGCCGTTCGGATATTGCCGTTCTAACTGGCTCGACTTCCACTTTCAACACCTGCATTTCATTCATCACGTTCCCTTTCAATCTTTGGTCTTTGACCTTTATTCTCTTCCACGCCTCCTATGAGGCAGCGCCACTCTTTTCCGTTACCTCTCTCAGTTGCGGAAGTGGATCGGAGCTGATAATAAGGCGTGACGCACAATAGAAATCCTAACGCGCAACCATCAGCAAACCGCGACTCGAAACTTTCGGTCCCGCACCTGCGTACTAGCAAAAAATTGCGATTTGCGTATTGGCGATAAGAGTCGCCGAAGCGGTGGATAGCCACTGCTTCGTCAACCCCAAGCCGGCAAGATGAATGGTAATCATCTGCCGGCTGGGCAGCCTGGAGGAGGCGTCGGCGGAGGTGTGGTGAGAGGACAAGTTGACATGGGACCGGGCACAGGACCAACCGGTGGTCGCCAACGACGACCGCCGCCGCCTCAGTACCCAACCCACCATCAACTTCAACATCAGTATTACTACCACCAACAACACGCCAGCCCAATCTACCACAATAGCTATATCGCCCCCTATCCCCAGAGCTATCAGGCTCCGCACCACTATCAGAATGGCGTTATAGCAAACAACCCTTACATACAGTACAACCCGTACTCTCAACGATCTCCTCCCGCGATACATCAGCAATATGCTCCCATCGTATCGTCTAGTATGCAACCTCAACATCAGCCTTACCCTCGACCGCCTCCACAACAACAGCCTCCACAACATCATCAACAGCCTTCTCCAGCACTCTCGACTCCTCCTCCTTACGTGGCAGCGCCGCCGCCGCCGCCGCCACCTGTTCCCGTACCCGAAACACCTTCATCTACGCACTCGTCGCAAGTCCTTCCAACTCCCTTGACACCCCTTACTCCGCAAAATCAGGAAGTCGCCTCCAGTACTCCGGATGTCGAGCTACGGTCCCAATTACCTTTTAGACCTCCTGTATGTCCTGGACTCTTATTATAAACTTGGTTTACTTGAGCTAACAATTGTTCTAGCTACCATGGTTATCGCGGCCTGATATACCCTTCCCAGCCAAGTCTGCACGATCTAGGAGAAGACGGCGAATACAAGATCCTAACGCCGAATCGGTCGAGTTGCCCTCAAACCAAGGGAAGGGGCCAGAGTCTGGGGCTGTGCCCCATGAAGAGGCCTTGGGAGGTGACGCTTCATTGCCTGAAACTCCCACGCTCAAATCCGCTGCTGCTGCCGACCTGAATGGCACTAGCACCGACTTATCGACACATTCGGAAACTCCATCAACACAAGATGTGCCGTCGGAAGTCGCTCAATCAACCTCACCTTCTACCCCTCAGTCAGTGCATGCAGTTCAGTCCCCCACTGCTGCATCTATTACTCCTACCAAAGCCACGAAACCCGCCTCTCGTACAGCAGTACCAGCAGTCCCCGTCCTCCCCGCCTTCCCTAAGGCAAGCCCCAAGGAAGCAACCTCGTCTAGTATCGAAGTCAAGCCATCGGAGCGGAAACAGTCTGAGCCGCAAGCGACAACTGAAGCGCCCGTGACAGAGAATTCAGTTGAAACATCCCAAGCCGAAGTCAAACCAGAACCAGCCCCCGCCCCGGTAAAGGCAGCCCCGAAACTTTGGACCGGACTATTCACCCGTCCGACACCCAGCCCTTCTTCGACTGGCGGCACTGGCACGGGATCTGCGGGTACCGGCGCTACGACGGCTGGCGCCATTCCAGACGGTGCGGTTCAGGGTAATGGAAGCGTAGGTGTAGGTAGTTTTGCGAAGTCGAACGCAAGCTCTTTGGCTGAGGCTCTGCGGGCTTACAACGTTAGTGGCGATAGGAAAATTGCCTTCCTAGAACCCAGGGGTTTAATCAATACCGGAAACATGTGTTATATGAATTCCGTAAGTTGTGATTATCTGGCCGATGGAAGAGAGTGAACTAACGATGGCGACAGGTCTTGCAAGTTCTTATTTTCTGTATTCCATTTTATGACTTTCTGGACCAGGTTGGGAAGAAGGCGGCGCATAGTTTCAAAAGCGAGACACCCCTGATTGATGCCATGTAAGTGTTTTAATGGCTCCTCGTATTTGCTTTGATTCTAATACATTTTTCATAGGATTATGTTCATGCGGGAATACAAGGTCATTGATTCCGCGGTATCTGTTGAACAGCTTCGCCGGAGGCTCAAGAGCGAGGAGCTCGAACAGTACGGCGAGCCTTTTACTCCAGAGTTTGTCTATGATGCTATAAGGAAGCTTCCTAGATTTGCCAGCATGAGGGTAAGTTTATTTGTGTCCCATATTGAATCGATCTGACACGGTTATATAGCGTGGACACCAGCAGGATGCCGAAGAATTCCTCGGTTTCTTATTAGAGGCGCTGCATGATGAATGCGCTCAAGTAATGCGGCACCTACCTAACTCGGGCGGAAACTCTACAGCCGGCTCTCCTTCAGCAACTTCACCTACGAGCGCCCCGGACACCAACGATTGGTTAGAGGTAGGACGGCGACAACGAGCTGCCATTACGCGATCCTCAGGACATCCCGTTGCGTTATCTCCTATTAGCAAGGTATTCGGCGGGCAGCTAAGATCCGAACTAAGAGTGTCGGGTCTACAAGACTCCGTGACCCTCGAGCCGTTCCAGCCGCTTCAACTAGATATCGGTTCGCCTCAGGTCCACAATATTGTTGATGCGCTGAAGGGTCTTACCACGCCCGAGACTCTACATGGTGATTTCGGATCTTCAAGGGGAAAGGATGCGGTGGCCGTCAAACAGGTTTTTATTGAATCCCTACCACCGGTTCTCATTCTCCACTTGAAGCGTTTCCAGTTCGATACCGAGGGTACCGGAACTGTCAAGATTTGGAAGAAAGTTGGATATCCACTTGAACTGGAACTTCCCAAAGAGATCTTTTCGCGACAGAAGAGGAACAGCTTCCTCGCAGAAGGCCACGGCTTCCCTAAGTACAGATTAATCGCTGTGGTCTACCATCACGGTAAGAACGCAAGTGGCGGGCACTACACCGTGGATCTCAGGCGCCAGGATGGCCGCGAATGGATTCGTCTAGACGACACGGTGATCCGACGAGTCAGAAGCGAAGATGTAGCTGAAGGGGGCGCCGAGGATGAGCGTGTCAAGGCAACTACTCGACCAGACAAGAAGGATAGTGTCGTCAGTGGTTCTGGAAACAGGTTCGAGGGAATTGGCGACAACGAAGCTGGTGACGACGAGGGATGGAACAAGGTCAGCGCTCCTACTAACGGAGCCAAGAAATGGAGCTCCGTTGTCAACGGAGCATCGAACACGGCTACTCAAGCAAAGGAAAAGCATGCCAAGGACAACATCAAAGACAACAAGGTGGCTTACCTACTATTCTACCAGAGAGTCTAGAAGGCTCGACTGCCTCGATGGAACATTTGCCGTACTGGCTAGCAACCGCCGGTGTAGGGTGTAATGGGAATTTTACGTTCAAAAGGGAGGATTGGTATACCTAACGGTGGCAAGGTGTCGTTGGTAATGACACGGTCATGAAGGTGTATCAAAAGTATCTGCGCATGACGGGTATTCCGGAACAGGAGGGAAAATGGAGGGGGGCGTAACGGTGGTAGTCTATTCGCAAGTCGTCCGAGTCTTGCTGCGGACCGACTGTATCAACCACCAATTCTAGCCGAAGTATCTACATATGGAGGAGGAATCCCGTTTTGCGGGGATATTAGGTGTGGTATGTTTTTCCCGAGGGCATCATCACCATCTTACCTCGAAATCTCTCCATCCCGTCTTACCTTTTGGTCTCTCCCTATTTATTTAGGCGACGACCGATCATATGGAGATTTACCATACCCCTCTATTGTAGAGTTGTAGAATAAAAAGCGATTTACGAATCCTAATAGACGTCTTCGTCGAAATATTGTTGTCCTGGCTACTTTGTGATTCATATGTACCATACGTATAAGGCAAGATAAAATTAAGAACCGGATGTGTATTCCGTGTTGCCGCCAACGCTTCCCCTTTGTCGCACAGACGCCCCGCGGCTAGGGGTACTCGTTGCGGCTCTCGATCGGCTGGCTTCTAGCTTTGTTTGTACTAGAATATGATGACAGCCACCTACCTAACAGCCAAAACGTTATACGGACTTCCCGTTTGAATCTATGGACTTAAGAATGAAAATGTATAAGTCCAACCCGGTATTTATGTCTCGGGGAATGACCATGGAGTTTCAATTCGAAACAGATAATCGTAAGTACGTTCTATTTATTACAAGAATTGCGTAGGCGGCTGCTTACTTCTATGAGCGGGAGGACAGGTTCAAAAGGGTATCAAAATCAAATACTACAATATTCTCAAGTTAAAGGACTGGATGCCGCCAGATATGCTAAGAAAGGCCATAACGAAGATAATCCCATAAACTCCGTCCTTAGCCAAATATGCATAACTCTCGCAAGGGCGCCCTTCAGATCCCGGCCTGCTTGCCCGCGTACCTAATCGGCAGCGGCGATCCGACCCGAGCTCTCAATATCAATATCATACACGCCCCCCCCCCTTTACCTATCATACAAGCCAATCTATAGGTAATCCCCAGCAGTTCAACTCCCCTACCTCCCTACCCATCCCTACCCATCCCTCCCAAAATACTCCCCCAACTCCCCCTCAACCCCCCACCCCCTAGCCCACCGCCTAACCGCCCTCTTCCCCTCGCGCCCATCCTTCTCAACCCTCTCGTAGAACCCGGGCCGTCCGGCGCACGGCAAGTACACCCAATCCAGCGCGCCCAAAACCGTGTTCCGGTCCGCGGCGCCGCAGCGGAAGACGCACGCGCTGCCGAACAGCTCGCCGCCGACGCGGAAGGGCAGGGTTCCCGGCGGAGGTGGGGGCGGAGGAGAAGACAAAGTGGATTGCGCGTGGTAAGCGTTGCGCAAAGAGAGGTGCGATGTCGGGTACGGCGCCGCGGAGCCGTAGCGCAGCGAGGCGACGGCGCGCTCGCACGCTGCTATGACGCCGTGGTCGGGCGCGGGCGCGGCGAAGGTTGTTAAGGGGGTTGTGGGGTGCGGGTACTGCGCCGGTAGACTGATTGTGAGGACCGGCGCGAGGATCCGCGTGTGGGTTAGTGTGTGTAGAGGCCCTGCGGAGCCTAGATTCCATGATACTGGGTAGCCACGGGGAGGGGGAGGGTCCAGGTCGATGGGGGATAGGGAGAAGGATATTTCGATTGGGGCGGTTGCCGGCAGAGCGAATTCGTAGGCTACGACTGAGCGGATGGCGGGGGTGAGGGGGGCGAGCTCGGCGTGGCCTCGGGTTAGGATGTCTTGCTCTGTTACGAGGGAGGGGCCTAGGGGGTTGTGCGGGTTGTCGACGGGCATGGGCTGGCGGTGGCTGCTGTGGGTGCTGTGGTGGCGGCTGCTATGGTGGTGTTTCGATTTGGATTTGTGTTTTCGCTCTGGTTTGCTTTCAGCTTGGGGTTGAGGTTGAGGTTGAGGTTGACGCTGAGGCGAGGGTTGGGGTGAGGGCTGTTTTAGTATCGATTTCAGTTGCGATGACGAGATAGAACGGTGACTGGGAGAACGAGAGGGAGATCGAGGGCGATCGTGAGACCGATGAGATTTCGCTGGAGACTTTGGTTTAGGACCAACTTGCGAACCATAGTTAGGTGAATAGGGGTCACGCTGGGGCGCGGGAGGTTTAGGAGCATTAAGGGGGGCAGCAACAGGGGAAACGGCATGAGGCTTAGGCTTAGGATTGGTATTGACATTAGGATTTAGATAAGACGAACCAGAGTTACGGCTAGAATGACCAGCCTGAGAAGCCAGACTAGAAGAAACATTCTGACGATAGATTTGAGGTTGAGGAGGAGCAAGGTAGTTCCCCCTAGGGTGGTATTGGTGGCCCGGAGATGGTTCGGTGGAGAGTCCGCCCGACATGTATGGACCATGCACTCGGGTAGGCAAGGCCTGCTGCTGCGGTCGCCCATCGGCGTTTATAATTCTGCCTGGCTGAGGAGATCTAGGACTAGGAGGCCCCGGATGCGGTTGCGGGTGCTGGTAGCCTTGCTGCTGATGCGACTGTTGGTACGGCACATATGGCTGCTGGTAGGGAGGCATCCCACCAGGGTACGAACCATTATTATTCATGGTTAAAGTTCCACTTCTAGCCTTCTCTATATACCGGTTTCGTTTTCCTTGACAATAATACGCCTTGATTTCTGTCGTATGACTGAGATGAGGTGACCTCTAGATACAGATACCTTTTAGTTAAGGTAAAGATAGAGGTAAAGCCGAGAGAAAGCCTAAAGACTTATAGACTTTCAAATACCATAAAATTCTACAGAGGCTCATTAAATATGTGATGTGTGATACGAAGATCTCATATGACTGAATAGTTGGTATTTACAGTTCAGAGATCATTTGGGCCAGTTGCCCCTATTCATCCCATTCACATATTACTGTGCCTCCATCCTCCATCGAAATCCGTAGTCGAGTGACGTGGATAAATGCTTATTGTAAAATGACAATCCATTGTTCATTGTTCACCATTGTTCACCTCAGGGCTGGCGTTTTATAACACTCCTATTCACAATTCCGCCTAAGAAGTTTGCCCTCTTACACGTTACTTCTTGCGTTGTTACTCAAGTGTTCTAGCGCCCGATGTGTAGAAAGTGGGCATACACATCAGCACAGTACATTCCATAAATACCTACCTGCCAGCCTTTGCGAAGTTTCTACACAGAGTCGGGACCATAAAAAAAGTAGGATTTCTATGTGAACACTGAGGCTGAGTCATGATATTGAATTTAATGTCAATTTATTCAGTTTTATTTTTATTCTGTCTACTCGTCCACCAACCGCGAACACGAGCACTCAACTTTCATAAGTCCTCAGATGCTTTCGGCTTTATCCTCTGCGTGTAAATCGCCTCTGCTTCACCAGGTATCATAGTGTTGTGAAGGACGCAATTCTCCTTGTCGGCTGTCAACAAGAACACCATCTTCGGAGTAGTGTAATGTATGTACGGTTTACCTTGGTCGTCTATAGGCTCGAAGATTAATACTACCACCAAAAGATGCGTCCATGAGATCCCAGTACAGTTTATACCACGTTCGTACTGTCGAAGGACGTCTTCGACGCGTACGATAATCCAAGTCGCAACAACCGTGCACCACTTCTCTTGGTTGTCGGCGGGTGAGCGCTTCTAACAACGGCACTCGTTAGGGACAGCGAAGGAGATGCATGGAGAGATCCTAGCTCCCTCTGGCGTGTCCAAAGAGTGCGGATACCGTCCCACCAACTTAAACTCTATGTCCAGTTTCTCCGTCAATCCTAGTCTTATTCGAAGCTCTTCTTCCGCGAAACATGCGAACGCCTTGAAGATTGTTCTAAGGTGTACTTTCAATTTGTTGAGCGTGTGAACAGGATACCTTTTTAGGGCATTTCTGAACCTCTGCTGGAGTAAGTCATTCTGAGCAATGTCGTCTCCCTTATCGACTCTCCCGGGCTCGTCGAGTAAAGAGTCGCTACCCTGTGTGCAGATCGAAGGCGACGGCTTGGCGGAACTGATACGTTCGACGGGATCCGAGCCGTAGTCTGGAAGCCCTTCTGGAACACCCTGTACCTATCCGATGACGTCCCGCGTGCCCCAAAATGCTTCAAGGTCGCCCGTGCCCCCCACGGTTTCCATTCTGAGGTAACTTGTCTTCGCTTTAATCCAAAGAATTGATAACAATAGTAGGATTGACGATGGTACACCTATTTGGTTTACCTCTTTTCTAGATACCTATTCGACAATGTACGAGTATGGTATGTATGGATCCAAGTTCAAATTGCCAAGCAATTATCGGAATGGTTTCATAGAGCCATGATCGGTAGCCACTTCCCGTTCCTAGGTCTTTCTCGGACACGCAGTGGGATCTACCAACTACAACAAGCTACTCCTTCCATAAATATTAAGATTAGTAAGATGGTAAATTCAGGGGCAAGCTGCAGTTACCGGTTGCTGATAGGTGATCTATTAGGTCAAGAAGCCTCAGATCCCTAATCAGATTTTTTTCCTCTGAGGTCTACTTTCGTTCTATAGTACACTTATCACTAGGTATCTGCATTATTATTACATAGAATTTTTTTTTCTATACACAATGCTGTATCTAACATAACGCTTTTTTGGCTGCTGCGTTCCAACTTGATTAATCACGAAAGTACTGTCTCTCCATCTTGTCCCCCTTCATCTTCATATTTGCTTGCCTTTGATAGAACTTGCTTCTCATGTGATTTACGAGCCTTCTTGCAGAGAGAACTCCAATCCCGAAGACCTGCCGCATCCCATGTGTCGTGGAGAATAAATGCTGCGTACTCTTCGCTGAACATTGCTCTTGGGTCGGGCAGGTAGACCGCAGTTGATGGGCACCATAGACTCCTACTAGGCGCTGTCGAAGTAGAGTATGGGTTTATGAATTCTAGAGTAAACTGCCTGTATACTGGATGTTGCCGAAACGGAATCCCACGGGGACCCCTAAACTCGCCGCTCTCATCGTATAACAGTGCATCTCTGAGTAGTTTAACCCGGCTGTCCGTAGCCAGAACACTACGTGGAAGAGGAATTGTGATGACAGGAGCGTATATGTATTGATTGGTATTACATTCGGAGTCCTCTCCGAAAAGGCTGACATACGGGTGAGGCTTGAATATAGTGCCGGTCACATCGATCTGGACTTGTTGAAGGTCCCATCGTGTGATGATGTGTCCAGATCTCGGGTTTCCAAGTCGCAGGATATCGTTCGCCATCCCTTCAATAGTCGCTCTAACTTTATAATAACATTCGTCAAGAGACCTTTCTATACCTGATTTCGGTAATGAAAGATACGGAGCTTTTGATGCGTCATATTCTGGGGACATCTGCGAAGCCAGTGGAGAGTTGCTAGAGACATGAAAGTCATCCATGATGAGAATAATTTTTGTTGAGTAACCTTCAGGGTTTAATTTTCCTCGGTCTAGCAGTAGACATGTAAAACATAAAGTAGTAGATTGGAATTGTACAGAGACATGGCATATAAATAGAATATGTTTTGGCCCCTATTTTCTAGAACGTGTTTGATCGGTGACTTGCAGTACATAATACTGCATGTAGGCATGTTAATCATGATCTCGTCCGATAGCTAGAATAAGAAGCGATTATGTACGACAATTCTTGTCAAAAACTTCTTAGTTAAGTGTTAGTCACAGTGTGGAGTGAATCACAGCTGTTATCGTCCCGTGTTTTGACAATAATTCTGCAGGCAGCAGTCCACGCGCTCCGAAGTAAAGGTTAAATAGCACAATAATGTCACAAATTTCCATCGGCGGCATTAAATCAACGGCCTTGCTGGCAATGGTCTAGTTGGTTATGTGCCTCAGACACCTCGTCTTACCCCCATAAAAGACCCCCCTGAAATGGGGTGGTCCAGGGTTCGACTCTCAGAGATTACCTTTCAAAAAAAAAAAAAAAAAAAAAAAAAAAAACTACAAGAAAGAAAGAAACAGTACTATCAGTACTAAGGAATCTCTGGGGCCTGAAATGGAGTGGCAAAGAAATACCCAATAGCGGGGGCGCAGTAGCCAGGAGCCGATCAATAATACCTCGGACTGGGCCTTGAAGAGGAAGAGTTTCTCTTTTTTGCTCATTATTTCCTGGTATCACGAAGCACCTGCACCCGGAAATCGCGAACCATTCACCACATCCTATTTATCTCTTCACCCAAGTTAAGTTATTGATGGTTTGTTGCCTGAGCAACTGGAATAGCTTGCTCAATGAACCACCTTCACTTATCGCATCAAGGGGAAAATATCCCATAGCATCGAACGAAATCGAGAGTGAAATCCCTAAAATCCCTAAAATCCCTACATTCGTGGTCGAATCCGAGCTTTATTCAATTAATTCCCACAAAAGCTTTCCTTGTCCAATCGCCGTGCTTCAACCTCCTCCCGGTCTCAAAACTGCCGGAATGGCAGATTGCCTCCTCTCTCCCGTTTCCGCCCCCCTATTTCCCAATTCCGCTCCAGCTTGATTAATCGACGGAACCGGTGGCGGCGCCCACACATACGGCGTCTCGTCCGTCACCGGCGACGGGACCAACCTTTCATACTGCCCCTGACTCCTCGTCGACGACGACAGTGACGAGACCATAGATGGGCTCCTCCTCACCGGCGAAGTTACGCTTACAAGCGCGGGCGCAGGCGCAGGTGTATACCCCAGCGCGGCGCTCATAACAACCACGCTTTCCGACCGCTGGCTCGCCGCGTCGTTACTCTTTTCTCTTTCCCGTCCCCTTTCATATGCCTGTACCGCTCCCCCTATCCCTCCTCCAGCTACCTCGACCTCCAATTCCTTATCCCCACCCTCCTCCCGCTCACGCTCATGTTTGCCCCTCTCCCCCCTCTCCTCCCTTTCCCCCCCAATCTTAGCATAAGCCACAACCTCCTCAAAATACTTCCTCTCCTCCTCGCTCTTCCCGCTCAGTTTCCTCGCCGCCCACAGTAGACCTGATACCCCAGTCGCCACGGCCGCCGCCTTGCCCACCGCGCGGAGATAACTTGGTTGTCTCATTCCTCCCTCACCTCCTCCTCCCGCCGCCGCTGCTGCTGATGATGATGACGGTGCTTCGCCCCCGCCCACTATGGCATCTGACCCTGACCCTCCCGCTTCGGCCTTCCGCCTGCGCTCCCTTAGCCCGTATACAGCGAGCGCGACCAGGAACGCGAGACCCATCAGCGCAGCGAGAACGATGAGCGGGATAGCGTATGTGGGGAGGTGCGCTTTTGAGCTCGAGGAGCTGGCGTTGGTGTTTGCGCCTGCGATGCCAGCGGGGTTCGTGCTTGGTGTTGGGTTGGAAGATGGGTTGGGATCCGTACCGGCAACCGTGAGTACGGGACTAGATGAAGATATGAGTGAGCCGATTATAGGTGTAGGTGTAAACCCAGGAGCGGGTGCGGACGGGGTAATCGTCGGGTCGCTGTCTGCTGCGCTGGGAGGTATCGAAACTTCCGAGCTCGTGATGGTATTTGCGGGTTCAGTGGGTTCAGTGCCAGTGTTACTCCCAGTGTTTGCACCGGCCGTAGGTTTAACAATAGTATCTGTAGGGTTAGCATTGGTATTTTGAGGCCCTGTAGGAGGCGGCGGTTCGGCATCGGCCCCTCCACCACTCGGTCCTCCAACAGACGGTTGCGGGTTCTCCGTATTCGCTGGTGTCTGAGTTGGAGCCGCCTCTGTCGCCGTTGTAGATGATCCATTGTCCTCTCCACCCCCTTGGCTCGGATTGGATGTTTCTTTTGGAGTCTTTGTACTCGTCGTCTTAGAATGTTCATTATTTGTTTTGGGCGGACTTGGGTTCCCACCCTTAGGGTCCCGACTTGAATCACCGCCTTTATTGGGATCACTTTTATTTCCTTTATTTGTTTTAGGTGTCTCCTTTCCTGAGAGAAATGAACCAACTTCCGATATTGCGCTTTGCACGACGCCTTTAGTAGGAGTGCTGTGTGAGCCTCCCAGCTTATCAGGGATACCAGGTATAAGAAAGGCAGGCATCACTGAGACTTGTTCGACTATCTTCTTCTCTCTTTTCCCGCTGTTCTCTTCCTAGGTTATCACCACACTGTTCGGTAATCGGTAGCACGGGCTCTCGCCATATTCCATGATCGAAAGCAGGAAGAAAAGAGAAGGCCAGGAAAAATGGTCATTGTTGACAGAAACTTCATCGTTTTAATCACATCTTCGTTACTGTATTACTGTTCCAATTAATCTAAACGAATCAGCCTACCTGGGCATCTATTTTCGGATCCCGAGGCGCAGGCTGCAGATATATACCAACAATCCCGAACGTGGAGGCGGCGCAGTCGGCAATCATACCTTGTGCTTCGTCCGGGGCGGCAGCAGCCTGCACGTAAGATCCTACTCCGTAATTTCGTAATTTGGGGGCCGGCGCGGCACGGGATGACGGGTCGTTCACTATAAGTTAGCTGTTTACCTACCTAAGTAGGTGGGTTCTCGTTTTATCTTACAGAGTTCCTGATAAATAACAGCTTGGAGTTCAACCGCGATTACCATCATGAATCACCAAGTCATAGCATATCGCCTTATCCGGTCGACCAATGTGGTGGCGTTCGCGGGGCTTGATATGGTTACCCGTGCCAAGACACGGGACGGTGGGCGAATTCAATTCCCGCCAGGATGGTGGGTGACACCGTGACACCGTATATGTGGCTCTCATAGTATCATCACCAACAGGAGTCCAAGTGAATGGTAACCAAATAAATTGATTGGTTACCGGGCGGCGGCGGCGATGCGAATAAGGTCTCCAGCCCCTGTCCTCCAACAGTCGCATACGGTAACACCGTACGTAGCCGAGGGGCCTAAATGATACCTAATTCGCAAAATTGTCCTATATCATAAATCGAATCTCGCACCATCATCTCAGCCCAACGTAGCCTTGCCCTAAATAAGAAAATAAGTCCGGACTAACTGTCCAACTACTTAGGCACTTAATCCACAAGTCTAGCCAAGTTCAATCCGTCCCAAAGCGGGACCATCAGGGTCTCCAAACGACTATTCTCTGCCGCCGCTTTGTTGTATTTGCGAATAGCAGCGACGGCGCTGCCTTCCCAGACGCCATCGAAGTCGGCGGGCAGCCACGGGTTATCGGAGCTAGAGTCGGCGACGAGGCCACGTCGCAGCGCGTTGTCCGCCGCGATGATTCCGCCCGGTCGCACGAGTCGCTGCTTCGCGCCCGGCTGAGACATCTCTAGGATCTTGGCCAAATATCCTGGGTACGCTGTCTTGTTGGCATCGAGGAAGACGATGTCGTACGGCTCGTCGGGGTAAGCGAGCTTGGGTAGGCTAAGAGACGGTTAGTGGGCTTCTTGCTATTAGGGAGAGGGAGGGAAGGAGATGGGCGGAGGAGGAAAACGCGGGAAGAAGGCTTACTCACGTCTCAGCAGCATCGCCGGTGTGGATCTCGATGTTGTCGTAGCCGTTTTCCTTCGCGGCTTGTCGGGCTAACTCGGAGTACTCTTCATCGTACTCAAGACCCGTGACCTTGCCTTGAGGCCCGACAGCATGGCTCCAGATCACTGTAATAATGGAAGTCAGTCACGTGTTCAGTATCAGAATGTCGGGCATGTCTCGGGAAAAAGAACCCCCCCAGCGAATGGGGATTGGATATCAACTCCCGAGACAGGCTAAAAAGGGGGGAGGTGGACTCGATATTACGTACTAGCCGAAAATCCAACATAAACGCCAATTTCGAGAACTACTGATATGTTAGTGGGCTATGCTTAGGTACACCTAGTTCTTCTGGGCTCGATGATGCCCCCAACCGAGGATGGACGTACCTCTCTTAGCGCCGATCATACGTGCGAGAAAGATCAAAGCCTGAGACTCAAAGGTCGAGATCATGTAGTTAGAATCATCACGCTCCTTGAAAATACGGGCATGGTAGTCTCTGAGTTTCTGAGGAACTGGGACTGAGATAGACTCAGAGTATTTGGAGACGCGGTCGCCCAGCGTCTCGGTGGTGTAGAGCAGTGTTGTCCCTTCCTTCATCTTGACTGTTCTTGATGTAATAGATGTAGATAAGTGTATATGTCTGAGAGTTGTGTATGGTGAGTAACTGAAGAGAGATGTAAAGGTTTCGGGGAGGCACTTACTGGACAAAGAATGATTGACGAAACCAAAGGCTGAAGGCAGCCAACAAGCTGATTATATACTTCCTCGTAAGATATTACGAGTCACTGTCACGTCTTATCTGGAACGAATGGGACACGCAGGCTGGGATCATGAGATGAAAAAAATGTAGAAATGCGGTTCGCCAAAGGAGGATATAACTTTAAAACAATTATTGAAACCGTAGAGACTGATTGCGTCACCTTCACCAGGGTATATAGTATAATTCCTTTGTCATTCTCCTCTCCTTCCATCCATGGATCCATGGGTCCATAGCTTCCTGCCACTTATGTACCTAAATCGTCTAGTGCCTGCCTAGGTAAGGTAGTCAGTGTGGTATGTCCTAGGTAACCCGAGGGAAGGCTGATGTTGCCTTACGTAGCTACCCCGACTCCGGAGCCGAAACCCCGTCAACCCTGACGAGTTCGCCGATAGATCCGAAGCGCGCGGATCAGATAAGATGAAACTTATATCTCCGCACTTTCATACTAGCGCTCTTGCAGGTATGGATGTGATTAGGACAACCTTATGTCTGGTCAGTTCAATGTCGCACCAACCATCTCACCTTTCTCTACCATGAAGCTGAAGAACAGCAATTGAATCACAGGTCACATACCATCACACCGCCAATATGACTACCTACCTACTACGTGGTAGCATAGAAAGCCGAAGCGACGCTCGGTCTCGGAAATCCGAGCGTGGAATCCTCGCCGAATTTACCTCTTTTATTCTCCTTTAAGACATACGTCGGAATTATGCAGGATTTCACTTCCACCCTCAATTCGACGCCCCAAATAAATAAATAGACTATAGACGGCCAGTGACTCTTAAATATTACATCCTTCTGTAGCGCTTATTTGTGTGACTCTCCTACTCACTATGTAGCTACCGTCATTCGTAAGCACGGCATCCTCTCACCACAACATCTCAATAAGGCTGATGCACGACAAAAACTCATCAAAGATGATGTAACTAAAGGAGTGTTCTATTTCGTTTGAGCGACATCTACCAAACAAAAAACACAAACACCAAACACAATACTAAACATTAATAAATTCCCCCCCATTACATCTCCTCCGCGTTTTCCTCCATTTCATTAAGCAGGTACCTAATCCATTACGCAAGAAAAGTAAGTAAGTCTCACTCCACCCCAACTCTTCACACTAAGTCAGCACCACAACAGCAGCCGCCAACGCCACCGCCAGCCCCGCCAACGCCATGGCTCTACCCCGCTCCTCCACGGCCATCATCACGCCGCCCGTAGCCGGGACATGGCGACGAATCCCGTTGTCGCCGTTATCGTCGTCGTTGTCGGCGCCGCTGTCGTCGCCCACGTTCTTGACGCTCACGTAATCCTTGGTACCAGGCTGGGCGGGCGCCGCCGTGGGCTTAGCCGGGATGAGACGGCGCGTCCCGTTGTCGCCGTTGTCGTCGTCGGGGTCGGCGCCGCTGTCGTCGTCCAGGTCCTTGATGTTCGCGTAGTTCTTGGTAGGCTGGGGGGCCTCCGTGGGCTTGCCGTGCTTGGTCGTTTTGGTCGACTCGGTGGGTTTGGTCTCGGTCCACTTGGTGCTCTTGGTGGATTCGGTCGACTTAGTGGACTCGGTTGATTTAGTGGGCTTGCTGGACTTGGTGGTCTCAGTTGGCTTGGTAGATTCGGTTGGTTTAACAAGCTCGTTCTTCTTCGTGGACTTGGTGGGCTGAGTCCATTTGGTGGATTCGGTTGACTTTGAAGACTCAGTTGATTTCGTCGGCTTAGTATACTTGGACTTGGTAGACTTGGTAGTCTCGGTCGATTTAGTGGTCTTGGTCCATTTGGTGGACTGAGTTGATTTGGTAGTCTTGGTATACTCAGTCGACTTGGTAGATTCGGTGGATTTGGTAGGTTTGTTTGGTTTAACGGGCTCTGTGGGCTTGTTGGGCTTATTGGTCTTCGTAGTCTTAGTAGTCTCAGTTGACTTGGTGGGCTTGTTCGACTTAGTAGACTCAGTTGATTTAGTAGTCTCGGTCGTCTTAGTAGACTCAGTAGTCTTGGATGACTTAGACGGCTGGTCCACATTGACTGGCTCAAGACGAGGGATGGGGTGAGAAGTCGGAGGGTTCGTAGAGTATTTAGGGAGGATATCATGGGAGACCTGTTGCTGCGGACCGACCAGGCCAGAAGGGTTCCACCCCGACATGTCGATGTCCTTTGCCTCCTCCTTCTCGGAAGGGACGAGGGCGCCCGCTAGACCGATGCCGGTCACGAGGACGGTTGTAACAGCTGATGTTCTCATTTTGGCTGGGTGCTTCGGGTTTGATTATTATGGTAGGTATGGCTGGTAAGTGAGGACTGGACTGTTTAAAAGCGTGAGGTGGGTGATAAAGGCACGAGAGAGAATCAAATTGATTTGGGAGATTCATCTAATTTCACCTCCCGTCTCATGTCATCTCACCTTATATATTCTTATGAACGCAGTACCTCTTCGGGATGAAGAGTCAAAGCACAGCACAGATAAGCTGTCACATTGTCCTCCTATGGCAAGAATCTGACTTTTCATGGCACTTACACGGATGGACGTGCGAAGGGCTTTACGAGCTGGTAACATTAACCTGTAACTTAGTGGTAAACCTACAAACTCGAGAATTTGGATAGAGCGATGCCAATTTCTATAAGCTTGCGGGACTTGACGACATATTATATCCAATATCCGATCAGGTTTACGTATACGCACATAGTTTCGAATATAACCGGATGGCTACTAAAAGGGACGGGGTCTCTCACATCAAGTCTGCCCTTGGCATTATAGACATTTCATCTGTGGCATCATAGCTTCACATTCAATGACAAGAGCACGGACACACTCAGAAAGATGCTTTGGAGCTGATCGTCTTCACAACTCTTGGCTAGGCGAGGCATATGGGAACAGAGCGGCATGAACGGTCTTCGAACTCGGCACTTTTCTCCTGACTGACTTATTTCCTACAGCCAAATATTCGGCCCAGCTATCACCTCCCGCCATCTGGTTTTGTGTATGACCCTCTCGTAATTTTCTGCCTCCCAGTGTGAAGCCTGGAACCGTTATCGAACGCCAGTGCGAGCGTACCCAGTGTCGTTGTATTTTACTCTTCCGGCACACCGGAAAATATACCTACTCTCATACGGTGACTCTGTAAAAGGACCCGTTAGTTAGTCTATTCCACAAGCAGACATGTCCATAGAAACGTACGAAGGGTAGTTTCGGTATTACTACCGCTAGCACAGCTAGAAAGTTGATGGTGAAATACGTGAGATCATAATGAGTATAGTGCGTACTCAGGAGAAACAGCACAATAGGAACACTGAGAAGGAATTTCTTGGCCGGTGTGTATTGTGCGCCGTCATCGATTTGCTCCCACATATTTAGATTATCGTATGCACCACTGTTGAAGTCGAACGGTACGCCACGAACGTAGTGAAACATAATGTAGGATCCGAACATGTAGGATATGTTTGTCAAGGTCCAAGAAGTCTCCTGAGAGACGCCAGGTATTACATCCCACAGAATCTTCAGCGCAGCGATCAGAACAATGTGGATGGTCCACGCTCCTATTAACATTCCCCTATTAGCTTATACGTCCCATCTGTAGGGGAGACGCGACCTCAGCTCCGTAAAGCGAGGAAATATACCCAGTATAATATCTCGACGTACCTTTAGCATTGACCCAGTTCGCATTGAGGTTCGGGAGAGCGGACTGATCACTCAGTTGCTCTAGTGGCTCCTGCGGTTCCTGATATATCTGAAGGATGCTACTAGACCGCCGTCTCCTCGTCGACTTGGAGTCACCCATGCTGAGATAGGTGGTACCCCGTGTCGGGGGGTTCGCACCGGCGTCGTAGGTGACGGTGCGGGGAATGAGGATCGGGGAAGGCACTTTGGCGGTATTGGACGGGGAAGTCGACCTCGAAATAGTTTTGTTGGTTGTGGCCGTCATCCGCACAGCTCGGATCGAACCGGGACGTTCTTCGTCGGCTTACGACGGGATATTCGAAGCGGAGGGCTTTTTGATGCCGTTGCGGTGGCGGAAGTTAAGGGGAGCTGCTAGCAGTGGGTTGCTAGGCAAGGAACCGGAATAGTGGAAATAGTCTGCAGGGTATCGTAGAATGGCAGCAGATGTCGAGGAGTAAAGGAAGGCTACGAAATGCTGCGTTTAGGAGAGGAGAGTCGTGGGGGACGTTGACATTGACGGGTTGCGGATGCGCGATGAGGCCAGACAGGAGACTTTCTAATATCTGCACTCTTAACTCGAAAAAAGCCCGGGAAGGTTACTAATTTGGTGTAATTGACTGACGATGAATACAATTAAGTGAAGCGTATTACGAATAAAGTGGTCGGTCACGAAGTTTAGAAGAATGATAGGTTAATTTAAGTAGAAGACAAGACAAGAAGGGTTATGGAAGATGATGATCAAAGAGAAATAATAGTTGTAGTAGACTTTTGACTGATTGAAGGAACATTCAGAGTCCAAGGACAGGTTTACTAGGGGCCCGATTTGGAGACAGGGGTCGGAAGTACCAATGAAAGCCCCAATTTTTGGCGTGGACTGCCTGAATTACTGCGTGGCTACAGCTATCCAGTGGAGATTTCGGGGTTAAAATTGGGTAAAATTGGGCCTCTGCTCATTTCTGTCCATTTATGTTGAGCTTCTTCCTGAAGGTACTAAAGTATCGTATCAACGTATCCAAGTACCAGAGCTAGGGCACGCAGCCAGGGTCTCACGAGACCACGTGACTGTCGTGCACTCGCATCTCAGGTTTTCGAAGGTTTCCAAGTCGTTGGAGCAAGGCCCAAGCTTCTGCTAACTCAGTACTAGAAGCTCGTTTAGATGAATAATATGGGTACCGCACCGTTGCATTGTTTTGTCTGTGCTACGTTCCAAGGTTTGTTTCTAATTGTGCAAGTGCATCGCCACAAATTTGCCATTTCGACCTTGGAAGTTTCCCCGAGATCTACAGAATACATCCATCCGGATGTAACAAAGTACCCAACTCGGCAATACTAGGTACCTACTACTAGGTACAGTACGTACCGTCAGGTACCTTGCTTTAGGTAATCTCCTAAAATCTTAAGAGCCGCAATATCAACATTCAATAACGAAATTTCATTTTCATATTGAATGCCAACACATCCCACACCATCAAACTCATCAAATCCGCGTTGCTTCGGGTCGCAGCTCCCAAAAAAAAATCCTGCCTACCTACCTGGCAGGTACTGCTCGATCTAGACGCGCTTTACATTTTGCGCTTCACGGAAGAGAAAAAAAGAGGACACATTTTGGACTTAGCAACATCAACAAACTCGTTTCTCAACGTACCTAGGAACTTACTTACCTAGGTAGGCATTCAACCATCAACAATATACCCTCGGGCGCGTCACTCTTTTGTGATGAGTGGCGCCACCGAGGAATCCGCTCCCGACGCCGGCCAGGGTGGAATCAGTACACCCAGTAGCCTATCTGGTCAAAAGCGGACACGCGGTTACGGAGAGCAATTGAAGGGATTATCCCAATCTGACGATGAGGACATGCAGGAGGCAGAGCCATCACCTGCTTTGAAGAAACAGAAAACAGATCATTTCGATGATGGCGATTCAGATCTGGATGATGGCGAGATAGTAGAGTCGAGTCCTGCTCAACACGCCACTCGAGATGTATCAACGTCCGCGTTGGAAGAATTAGGCTCAGTCTCTAATACTCCTGCCGAGATCCGAGGTCCGGGTGATAATACTTACCAGCCTTCTGAAGATGGTGAAATTGACAGCAATATGGCCGACGACGACTCAAATAACCCATTTTTCATTGACACAACTGGCACCATGGGGACGCCTGTACAACATTCGGGCTGGAATCAAGGAGTTAGTGTAGGCGCGAGGACCTCATTTGGAAAACCTACTACGCAACTCTTCCCCGGGAATGCATCCACGGCTCATACCGCTCTCTCTTCGGTATCCTCGTTACATATTCATGAAGCAAAGGATAAAGATGACGAAGATGAAGGCGAAGATGAAGATGATGAGGATCCTAAAGATCGCGATTACCAACCTCCGCAATCTCCTAAAATCGATTGGTTCAAGGACGTCGTTAAACCGGAGCCGAAGCCTAATCTTACGTTCAGTGTTGGGGGTGTCACGTGGAATCTCCGTCGTCAAGCTTTTCGAGCCAAGAAGCGAAACATATCTGATGCCAAAACGTTCTGGAACGTAAGACTCTATCCTTGGATTCTTGCACTGGCCGAGGCAAATGAGGACATGGCTGATCGCATAACTGCGGAGGTCGTTAAGGCAGGATTTAACGACCATGTGAACCGTAAAAGGATGGATAGCCTTTTGACAGGCCATATTAACCATATCAACAAAATTCGTCCTGTGGCTCAAGAAGTCTTAGAAAAGGCTGATCTGAAAGCTCTGATTTCGAAAGCACAAAATGCTCTCCAGAAGAAGCAAACCCAGACATCAGAAGGTAAGACAACAGGAAAAAAGTCCTCCCCGGCTAATGAATCTGCTCTTAAGGCAGCAAATCCCAATCCTCTCAAAGAAGAGTATATCCAGGATGACGCCCCGAGTGTTCAGAACGAGACCACCCCATCACCCTCTAATAGGCGTGCACGAAAGAAACCACTGAGCCCTGACGAGGAATTGCGACTACAACGAAGATATTTTCCACTTGCTGAAGATCCATCCATTTTCTGTCTATGTTGCTCCGGGATTGGGCATAAGACTATTCAATGCCCGCTATTACAATGTAAATTCTGCGGAAGCGAGGAGCACCGCATATTTGCCTGTCCGACAAGACGGAGGTGCTCAAAGTGTCGCCAATTGGGACACAGGGCCGAGACCTGCAATGAAAAACTTGCGCTTGCACCAGGGGAACAAGATGAGTGTGCGTTTTGTGGCGCGGAGCACTCAGATGAACAGTGTACTGAAATTTGGAGGACCTATAAGGTGGTTCCGGGACAACAGAAGAAGGTCAAGGATATTCCCGTCTTCTGCTACACCTGCGGCGGTAGTGGCCATTACGGACCCGAATGTGATTTGCCTGACAAGGGCATAGTCATGGAGCCCACATCTTGGTCTCAGGCAAACCGCAATCTCTACATAGACCCGGACAGCGAAAACGTCGCTTTAGCCCTCGTTAATGCGGGACCTGCTCCCTCATTTGAAACTGACATTCGCATCCGTGGGACGGCAACGAAACGGGTTCATACTCATTTCGTCTCTGATGATTCGGACGAGGATCTCATCCACGCGCCTGTCCAAAGGTCAGAACCTCGAGGACAAATTAGGATCTCGAGTAACATTGGTTCGGTTGGACAAGGCAACAATCGTGGACGCGATAACCGTCGAAATAATGACCAGAGCCGCCGACGTCAGAACGAGAGAGAATTCAGCCCCCCTCCCCCGCCTCCGTCGTACAATACTCAAGGCAACGGAGGCGCATGGCAGCCTCCCCTCCCGCCTGGCCCGCCTCCTCCTCGTGACAGGAACGAGAGACCATTGGCTCCTCCACCCCGGTCACTACCTCCTCGCCCCGCGACCTACGATTCTGGATCCAGCAGAGGTAGTTCCAATAATCGGGGTGGTCAAAACAATCGGGGCGGACGAGGAGGGTACCGAGGAGGTGGCCGAGGCGGCGGTCGGGGAGGAAGAGGCAGGGGAAGAGGGAAATGAGTTTACTCTACGAGCAAAGTCTTCTGTAGTGATACTTATTCTACGATGGGTATGAGAGATGCGATGCAGTAGTCATACCCCGATGGGACTCTCTAACCACACTGGTTTCCTTTTCAATGGCTTGCCTTTCCAAAGTCCTATGTTATGAGACAGCTGTCGCGACATAGGTTCAGCCCAGGGGAGCCATGGAGTTCACCCTTTCAAGCATCTTTCTTCATATGGAAAGACGATACCCGCCGCTACCTCATGGGGCAAGGGGGGAAATTCCCGTATGAAAGGAGTGATCTTCATCTGATACCGCCCTACATACTAAAGGAGGGCCTACTGCCTTTAACTTAGGTTTATTGGCCTTCCTCGTTCATTCTTGCCCTCAAGGTCGCCAGAAGTGACTCGAAATGCGACGCATGCGGTTATTCACGTAACAGGAACTTATATGGTTCCACTGCCGGCATTCCGAGATACGAATTAGTTATGCCTTAATGCAAATTGCTTGTCCATATCTTTACTGTTTTCGGCTTTCTCGGTATTCGCTGTAGGAAAGTGAATAATGTTCTGAATCTTCATTTTTATCTGTCTCCAACCCCTTTACCGGTATTCCAAATATGATTCATACGAATATATTCCCCTTTTCTAGATAATGTACCTACCTAACCCATCACTTGCAATCCGTAAGATCTATGCACTTTAACCGAAGCACATGATCTCTTGATTTCATACCGCCAGATGTCCATTTTCCCACGTGCATTAGTCCGTCCCACCCCGTTCTCTTCGCCGGCACATGCGGAACGAACGTACACCAATTATTCGTGCGAGTCGATCAATTTGATATCGCTCGCACGTAATCGCGTGTGCGTAATTGAGGTGGCGAAGCACGGAAACCGCGCATCCCGTAGATGCACTTATCGTGATCATTTCTGTGGTTCTAAATCTACCTATCCCACCCGCAATTCGGGAATTATCCGTAAACTCCACTCTCCGTCTCCCCTTTTTCGTGATGACCTAATAAGGATTCGACACACTTTAAACGAACCACCATCGACCGATACATATGTACATAATTCTAGTCTATTTCGGTGTTCAGCCTCTGTGGCTCCTAGGTATAACTGTAGTAACCGCTTCAATTTAGGGCTCGAAATCTTAGAGTGGCCATAATCCCCCTAACTACATAGGAAATTTTGCCTGGCTTCCTAAGTCCCAAGGGCTTTATAGCAAGATGCCGTCTCAAAGTTTCATCTTTGGCGTTATTTGCCGGGCTATCAAATTAATCTTGAGATCCTTAAATACTTAGAAAGAACATCGTTCCACTGCGAGGGGCCGAGTTAGTATTGACTGAATTCTATGGTTTACGCTATCCCATATGATATTGTATCCCTATTTTAGTATGACTAAGGAGTGCTACCACAAGTGTTACTCAAAACCGAGTATAGATTTCTTAGTTGATCTAATTTTTTAGGTTAAAAAAAAGAGGGGGGAGAAGAGGGGGGGGGGGGGGTTCTTCCGGTCCTAGAGGATGCTCTTTACCTCCCTGTTCAACAGAAGAGCTTGATATACAGTAAATAGATAAATATGTATAATTGGAAGAAATCAAGTCGTTATTCTCTGTAGAAAGAGCTACAATTTTAAGATGCCATGGAGACAGATATGGTAAACTGTAGTTAAGCATAAGCAAATCAATTTGATACTAAAATATCAAAAGTCTTTGTCGTAATAATGTGCTTGCCTGGGTAGCAAGATATTTATATGATATGTTACTTCGATGAGGGTAGCAGTAATGTCCTAGATATCAACTCCTTTGTTGGGTTGTCTTGGCTGCTTGGGTAATGTGGAAGGACTCATAATATAAAAAGCTCCCATGTACCCTAGCGTATATCGTCATGATATGACTAGATATCATAGTTGATGTTGAATACACCTCCGTAAACAAGGCTAAACTTAGTCTACATATCACATTAATGTCTTCTGAGACAAGAAACAGAAGCTCTTTGTCCGCAATATGGGGATATACAAACTTCGACGTATCTCTTTGCAGAGTATCTCATCGTTCATAAATGATACAGTCAGAAATTTTATGACAAATCCACTCTTGCCCATATTCTTTGACGATGGCGGAGACAATTGATATGTTAATACACAAAATTACCATCCAATAACATTGTTCATGGCTATGATCAATCATATAAACTCACCATATCCAGCATCCTAGCCCCCTACCATCATCGCCCATCTACGTGACTAACTTGAGTGACGTAGAAACCCATATCTGTAGTTCTTTCTCGGCTAAACCGTTAGTGACAACCTACCTCTGTAATCGTAGCCCTGAATCACCATGTCACAACAACCAACCACGAACCAACCCCCTAATATCTGCGCCCTTACACCTATCAACCACCTCTTCCCAGACTTCCCCAACTTCCCACCCCTCCGAGCCCGTCAACGTCCAACTCAAATCCAGACCCAAACCCAGACCCAAATCCAACATCCACCCTCCCGGACTTACCGTCTCCCTTCTTTCTCTTCTACCTCCTCATCTTCCTCCTCTTCCTCCCCTTCTACCTCCTTTCCTGCCCGCATCCTTCCACTCCCACCCCCACTCCCCATCCAAGCCCGTCCCAGAACAACCTACCAGCCCCAACCCCAACTCTTCCCACAGCAGCAGCAGCAGCAGCAACCCTCCAACCCGCAAAACTTCACGCTCGCGCCCTCGCACGAGAACCAGTACATAAAGCTGCGACCCATAACAACAACAACAACAACAACAACAGCGGGCGCGAAGCCCGCGCGCCGCCGCGCCGTCAAGACGTGTCAGGGAATAGCGTCGTCAGCTCCGGAATCGACGGTGTCGCAGTCACCAGGGGCGGGCCGCAAACCAGGAAAAGGAGATGGGAACGGGAACGGGACGGGGGCTGTAGCAGCGCAACAGAACAACACAAGAGCCGGCCTCGTGCTCCTGGAGCCGAAAGTTCGTACCTCGGCCGAGACGGCGCTGGGTTTCGCGTCGGCGACGTGGGATAGGCGCGAGGGCTGGTTGTGCCGTACTGGTGCGCCTGGTGGCGGGAGAGGGGAAGGGGAGGGAGTAATTAAGGAAGAGTCTGCTGATCGTTAAGGGGAGCTTGGATATGCCATCTTTTCTATCCTTGGATGAAGTCTAGGTAGGTAGGTCAGTAGGTATATATGAAATATCTATAATGAAACACTTGTCAGCACATTGTATTTATCTGAGTTGGTTGTGACATCTTGGGTGGGTCGATTGACTTAGAGGTCTGGAGGTGAGCGGTGCGTGTAAGTCCGTAAAGATACCCGGGTTTAGAGGAATTCGTGAAATCCTGTTTCGGTAGTCGATTTACTGCCAAGACGTGGTATCAGATGCCTACCTACATGTCTATTGGGAAGCATTAGTCGGATCGGAGTTTCGTCCATCGAAGACCTGATTGGGGGTTGGCCCTGGAACAGTAGAGACAAAGAGCATGGCTTGTGTGTATTAGCAACGCCGTTGCTTTATCGGGGGCACTGTAGGTAGCTTGAGTAGTGATATTTCCTATGATTAAAAAGGATTAGTCGTAACCTATGGGTTCATGTACGCCCTCGAATGTGAATAGTAAGGAGTCGCAAAGCATTGATGTTGGACACCTCAACTGTTTACCCTCTTGGCTTGTTGCTTTTAACGTGAAGGCGATAATTTACCTAGGGTTTTGAGTAATACCGAATCAGAAATCATACGTATGTATGTGGTCCTGCAAGTAAGGGAGACCACCTAGTTGAATGCTGGGAAGGCGAAATAGGGATTGTCACGAGGCGGAACTAAGAGGCTAGGGAAGAACGACGTTGTTGCGCGAAGAGCTCTAACTAACCCCTTCCAGGGAACGCGGTATACATACATAAACCTTCCTTTGTCTATAGCTAAAGGCTAGCTGCCAACAGGGCGGCCTCGTACAGGCCGACTCCCGACACCTCTGGCTACCAGCTCTCATGGAGGAAGCTTCTGACAGGGATGATCAGGTAAACTTTCTGTCTAAGTGCCAACGGAATTCTAAGGTTAATAGTATTTGATAGTATCAGCAAAGGTACATTCAACGCATGATACTATATTAATTCTATTTCGTAAAATCGACTTTTTCTATTACTCATTAGCATGCCGAATATATTGTATCCCCTTTTCTTTTGTACCCGTCTTGAGCCTGAAAGAGAATATGTTAGTAAAATCCAAGTGTTTCTAATATAAACGGAAGTGCTACAAACAGCAAGAATAATATCGTAATAACATACCAAGTAGGCATCAAGATCGCGATGTCTCGTCCGAAGCCGCGTCACAGTCCGTAGGTCATAATTTCTGGACTTAAAAGTCCATGTGCAACAAAAATGGAAATGAGAAAAGGTCGTCTGATCTACACCGCTTCGGAATCATTCAAGCGGGCCCGAGAGGCTCAAATGGCGGGTTAGGTCTCCAGACGATCTGGGTCCGGCATGCGGACGTATGTATTTGATCATATTATGATATATCATAGGCCAGACCTTGCCGCATCGGCAAAGGACCAGTGCATGTAAGCAGTCAAAATGACGTCCCGGGTTTGACCCTCATTGAAACTAATTAGGTAAGGTCGTCGAACTGTCAGCGTTGATAGGCTGGTAGGCCCTTTTTTACATATATGTTTGGGGCTATATTGGTTCTCAAAAATTAGATTACTACCTGCCTTATACCAATGCCTCGCAATTTGAGTCACAATATCCTTCCTTGGGTAGGTAGGTAGGTAATAGGTGCCGACTAATGTGGACTTCATTCTAGCGATCTGCAGTGATTAGAAACTTACGCACATAGCATATTGGCTCGAGACGGGAGTCTTGTCCTTCTCCCAAATCAATGGGTAGGTAGGCAATTAGCAGGATATAACAATATTGTGACTCTAACTCTAGACCCTGACAGCTGAATAGGTAGTTTGGAACTCGGACCATCGCTCGGAGATTGGTCAAGACAATAAGATGGAGTTTGAGGTCAACAAGAGCAACATGATCTTGTGGGTTGTCCTCACATTTTCGATGTGCCGGAAGGAAGAACCGGATAGACGATGGAACGAACCTTCAAGCCCGGATATACCTATCATATGATAGAACTGATTGGCAGCCTATCCCCTAAGTCGTAAGTCCGATGAGACTTCGTGACCACCAAGTCCTTATCAGGAACTTAGACCGAGAGGAGAAGATGTCGTGGCCATGATGTTGCAACTAAGAGTTTAGAGTAGCATGCTAGGAACTGCGGTCTATACTCGAGTCTATTCATCTTCGAGTTTGCCATTGTCCGTCCTGGCGATTATTTCTGCCAACATACCTACCGCCCGCCACTTCTCGCTTAGCCCAAGGATCCGGAACCCTTGGAAGGAATCAAACCGGGCCTGTAACCGTGCCGCACCGTTGTGCGCCGCAGAATCCATTAAGTCCTTCTTATAAAGACAAGGCGCATGTTATTAGCATGTCCCATTTGAAGAAAGTATGGACTTGTTATAATTGTAAAGCGGTCGAGTCGGATAATTTCCAGTAATCGTCATTCCGATAACAAAAAGTGACTATGTTTCGACGCGGCCGTATTGCCTAGATGGGGTTAGGCCAGGATCGACGTATGAGGAAGAATGGTACTTTTTTTTCTCTTTCATTTGGGTTGGCTGTTTCGTTTGTAAATGAGAGGTCGATGGTCTCATCATCGTTGATTCGTTAAAATCCCCGACCCAGACTCAGGCAGAAAGCGAAAAGGGCCAGAGCTCGCAAAATAAGTTCCCAAATTCCTTCGCCGGCTTACCCGATCTGGGAGGATTTGATAACCTGAACCGGGAAATGCTTGGACTTTTATGGACATTTCAATCCTAATCCCCATCGTGGCAGCACATGCGGCAACACAGATCTGCTGGGGTACGTTGCAGTGACTATTCTGCACGCATCGCTTGCATCCCTGTCGCCTAATACCATTGATTGCTGCATCGTCTCTGCATCATCTCCCCTCATCTTTGCCGTGATTCGGGGGCTGCTTGGCCGCTTGGATACTTGGATGCCCGTAACCTTTCAATGGCCACAACTTGTCAGCTTGTTGCTTGTTAAAGCCGACGGTCGAAAAAATAGTCCCTTGCAGCTGGACCTATAGCGGGTCCACATACCGCTGTCTACTGCCCCTTTTGTTCTAGTCGACGCCGCCGTGCCACAGAGCCATAAATAATTATGCGAAAGTCCCCACGCTACCTTCCCCCCGGTACCTAGACGATTAGCTCTTCAACGTGACATTAGTATCTTTATATACTGACGACATACGACCTCGACAAGATTACGGCGCTGTTACATAGAATATGTTTCATCCCGAAGTTGCCGTAGACATTGCGTTGTGGGTCAAGATTCTTCCGAATACATATTCAACATGAGCACTACCGGCAGCAGTATAAGAAACTCGATGCTTAAGCATTGGAGGAATAGCAGCATCTCCCTCGGCCGTAGCGGGAGCAAAAGGGGCAAAAGCGAGGACAAGGCCGCCAAGAGGAATTCTGTTCAACCCGCCACTACTACTACTATCACGACGACCAAGTCTCCCGATTCTAAAGCAGAAGCTCCGCCTGTCAAGGCGCCCGAAAAACCGATGGATGATAGTGCTGAGTCGACCGACGCGGCAACGTCCTCATTCAAAGGTACCAGTCTCCATGTGACGGTACACGTCGCACCAGAGAACGTCGAGAAGTTTCTAGCAGCATTCAAGGAGGTTTTCGACGTCGTGGCTGCCGAACCCGACTGTCTATTCTTTGAGGTTTACAAATCCGCGGAAGAACCAGGCAAGATTAGTTGGGTTGAGAACTGGTATGAGTTTGCTCTCCATCAACAGACCCGGAATCAGAACTGAGTACTGACAGGAAAACAGGGGGAAGGATATACAATGGCTCATGGCTGTAGGTCCAAGTCCCGTCATCCTTTTGAACATAGAACAAGCGAAGGCAGAAATAAAACTAACCCATATGAAAAGAACCAAATCACGAAACCATACTACAAAGAGTACTTCGAGAAAACCGAGCCCATGTTTCTCAAGCCTAGGGAGTTTCAAATCTTGGAGCCTGTGGGGCCCGGATTCACAATGAGTAAGGCGAGCCATTAAACGCTGGGAGGCTACTGTAGTTCGCAGTAGTTGGTCGACAGTACCGATAATTCCTGCTAATAATAGTATACCATAATACAAATATCACGTCTGGGTAGCGGGTATCGTGCATTACTTGGGTAGGAAAGGGGCGTCAAGGAGAGTTGGTAGATGCGAGACCAAAAAGATTTTCGCTTAATTGTATTTAGCGAGGTAGCAAGCATACGACAGAGCTACCGTACTATTATCCAATACTAAGGATTCCAAAAAGAAACTCGAAGAAACGTGTGTAAGCAACGCCCACGAGACGAGTTCCCAAACGATAGCGCAGAAGCATTGTCGCCGGTCCCGCCTCGGCTGCAACACGCCGTCCCAAGCGATGGCGTAAAAGCACTGTCGCCGGCGAGCCTTTGATGGAGAGCCTCGAATGACAGCGTATCCAAAACACAGATGGGGTATCATATGCAAACGCCAGAACCAAAAACCAAAAACAATCGGGAAATAATAAAAACAAAACCCCCGTGTGCGCCACTGTCCCACAAGATAAGCAAAAGGCGATAGCGTTCCAGCATTTTCACCCCGCCTATCTTTCATCCCGATGCGCCAATCTCAGCGATGGCGCAACGGCACTTTCGCTATCGGAGCTAGAAACCCCCCGTATGAAATGCGTATTGGGTCTTCAATGGGCGTAATTCGTGCTGGGAAATCGTAATAGAGTTATGTTATATCGAAGGGAATGGCGAAAAAAAGGCGACAGGTTGAACTGTCCTGGATTTCTGTGAGGAGAGGACGTCCACTCTATGGCGCATTGCTCGATTGTTGAAAATCACGGCGGGCCATCACTGTGGTGATTTCCAGGCTAGACCCTACGTCCTCTTGCTCCACCACATACGACCGAAGCCGCGTTGCTGGAGCTCTCGACGAGCCGCACCGTCTTGGAATTCGTCTGCCCCGTCGATCATGGAGCTTCCGCCGCTGCTAATTTTCTGGCTAGGTTTATTGCCGACGACCTTCAGCGCAACAAACATGACAATGCTGCTAAGAATGCTCACGCAAAGGATGCCAATCATAACCAAATTACTTCGACGGTATTGATGAGGTCCAGCAACAGCATCGGCCGGCCAACCCGTGTATAAAGCATACGTCGTCGTAATGCTACCGAGATTCCCTAGGCCCGATACTAATGCTGATGCAGCAGCGACACCGACTTCTCCGTGGCGTTGTTGGAAGATTTCATTGGTCCAGGTCATACAGATAGGTACTGTTGGACCTAGTCCGAAACCAACCATCAAAAGTCCCCCGTACCTCGCCCAAGGATTCGAGGTGGGAGCGAAGGTCACGGTAAGGAGACCGGCAATCTGGATGCATACAGCGCATGAGAAGAATAATGGGCGGAGGCGATGGAAACGGTCCGAAACCGGGGTGACAAGCAAAATCGCAATAAGATCCATCTAACGGGGTTAGAATTCAAAAATTCGGTATTTAAAATGGCATTCAGGAGAGTTCGACTTACAATCCAGATAGGTGCGAAGAGGAGACTAAGTTGCACGCCGGTGAATGACGAGTTAATACCGCGAATGATCACCGTACCATAGAGTTGTGTGCCGATACCGACTCCAACAACACCGAAATACATGAGAGTCAATGGCCAAAGTCTCCAGTCGATAAGGACGTATCCCAAGTCTTTGAGAATCCAAGGCCTTGGGTGATAAACTCGCTTGAGATCTTCGTAATGAACTAGAGCATCTTCACCCGTCAAAGCTTCAGGGGTGGGGGGAAGCCACTTCATGAAACCGGAGCGTTCTCTCTTTACACCCGGTGGCAGTGGACGTTCAGGCAACCACCAAAGTAAGGTCCAACCGAGTACAATGGCAAGAAGTCCGTAGATAAGAAACATCCATTGGAACCCGACGAGCCCGCCTCTGCCATCCATGAGCTGGAACCCCGCAGAGACTAGGCCAACCACTGCGGCTGATACCTGCGCAGCGGTGAAATACTGTCCAATTCGTTTGCCCGTGCGAGAAGGGGGATAGAACAAGGTCAGGTAATAGGACATGCCAGGCCACATACCAGCAATAACGACACCAAGCAGGAAGCGCAGTAGCCTTACTTGAATGTTAGCATATTACGTCAAATTTATAAGAAGACTCTCAGACTCACTTCAGACTCCAAGCAGCCCTGACGGCGGTAAAGCAAGCTCCTATCACACCCACAGCAAAGACAATCCTAGCCATCCATACTCGAGGGCTAAGCCTACTCATGATGAGGTTTGAAGGGCAATCGAAGATGACATAGGAGACGTAGAAAAGGGCTAACGCGGTAGAAACATCATTGGACGAGAGGTTTAGCATTGTGATCAAGTCATGGCCAACATTTGCGTTCATTGTCTGCGCCAACCCGATATTAGAGCGAATAGCGGAGCAAATAAAATATAGGATCCAGAATGCTATAATTGATTCTCAGTATATGTACGAGCTACTAAGGGTGGTTGATGCTCTTACCTGGAATAATGCGACGGTCTAGTTTCCTGTAAACTTGCTCTACTCTCTCGATGTCATACTCAACGGGTGTAGGCCGAGACTCTTCCCCTTGAGTTGCCGGTTCGGGATTTGCGTTGGTCTCGACGAGGGTCTTATCCCCCGCCATAGCTAAATGGGGAGCCATACTTCGACTGTGAAGCAATGGAAGCGCGTGCTACAAGTCTTTTCAGGCCACTAATTCTGCTTGTCGTGTTTTGAGTCTCTCCAAGCTAACCCACTCACCGGTGATGCCAATCCTCTCCGGGCGAATCCCTAATGTTGTATAGAGATGCTTTGAGTATGAAAATTTCAAGAAGAGAAAGAGGTGAGAATTTGCAGCTACAGGTAATAAAATGCTCATTAGTAGGTTGAGTTCAACATAGCCAATGGGGCAACTGCTAGAGGTAGACTTAGTGGGGCACTATCCCCCTACTTCCTCATCTAACTATAAGGGGATAGTTCAAACTCTATTATAGCGACATTGTCTGGATTCCCTGTATAGATTTAGACGTAAATGTAACCTTATCCTCGGGTCCGATATGTCATTGCATGGATTAATAGGTACATACCGGATACATGAGGCGGGCTTGTTTGCTGGTGAAGCCACAGTACTAAGTAAACAAGCCTCAACACCAAATTCACGGCCCTATCCCAGGCCAACAAGAGTTCATGACTGTAGGGAGAGAAGTCTCGCTCAGGAAGATATGGGTATACTGAAGGCCGCCGCATTGAACGTAAGATGACGCAGACGGCTGATTCTATTGGGCCTCAGTCATTGACTGCATAAGAGAGGGGATAAGAATGAATACAGGAAGGGAAATGATTATATATTATTAGTTGTTATAATCTTTCACTTAATTCTTCCAAAAACATCCTCTCCTCGGGCGAGAGATACATGTCATCTGGTACGAGCACTCGCCCTCGTTTTATAACCACCTTCGCCTCTTCTGAGACGTCTCTTTCCAGATGATGCGTCGTGGTTATCTCGAGCTTGGTTCCGTTCTCGCTGCTGTAATCACTATTGCTCTTCTCCTGCTGCTTCCGACGACCGACTTCCGCCGGTGTCCACCAGTAGACGGGAAAGCGCCTCTGGATGTTGTTTAATAGTAGCGCCACGCACTGCATCAATACGCAGTCCAGGAGAACCACGGGCAGTAGGAACCATCCGAGATGCGCTACATTCGGGTCAACCACTGCGAGTAGCGCCGTGGCGCCCGCTGGCGGATGGACGGTTCCTGTCAGGGCCATAAATGCAACGGCACACGCACAACTTAGCGAGCCACCCAGCCACGTCAAGTCTCTAGACACAGAGCCTAGCGCAAACAACTTGCCAATGGCAACACCGATGATAGATGAAAATAGTTGCCCAAGGACGGCACTGCGTGGTTGCGCGAGAGGTGATTCTATGGCGTAGAACTCTAGAACCGCGGCGGCGCCCTTGAACCATGTTAGCGGACCGCCCTCGCAAACCAATCTTGGGTGAGACACGTCGGTCGGAGACTCACAAAACTGCCGATAATGATAGGCGCGCCATGCGCCTCGAAAGAGGGAATGGCGCGGCCCGCGAACTCGATGATAATCAGAGAGCAGAAAACCCCGATCAAGGCCCAGAAGATCATGGCAATGTTCCCCAGTGGCCTTTGCGGCCCCGGCCTGTGGCCTAGGAAGTGGGCGATCGGGTACGGTACGTGCTTCCACGGCGCGGCCGGCAGCCAAGGGTTAAGATAGTCGTCGATTTCGAAGTTCCATTGCGACGGGCGGAGAGGCATCTGTGTCTTAGGCACCCTTGTCGTCGAACCGCCAGGGATTCGAGATCGCAATCGAGATTGAGATTGAGAGTTGAGAAGGTTGTCGCGGGAAGAGGGGAAGCGAGCAACGATCGCCCGTCGCCCGCGATGCATAGACATGCCAGCGGGCTGACCGGATCGTATTTATGACACTAGCCCAGCTTTGTTGTCTGCGTCAATGGTATGGATGTGTTGTACTATTATTTTATGCCGTCCTAATTATTTTTTTCCTTTCTCATTCCACGAGGGAATGGTGTCATTCGCGCACCAAGGGCATGGAAAGGACGGCTAGGGAAGACATTTGTGAACCGTTGACTAAAACATTGAGGGTTTCTCCAGGGATACTGGGAGGCGATGACCAATTGGTCTCCCACCTAAGCGTCATATTGGGTAAGGGAAATTCCCAAAAGGGATCAAGCCAGAGTGTTGGATCAAGTGGCATGGGCATGCCCTGACTCCGTCCCCCGAATGCCGAATTTGTGGAGTCGTGGACCCGGTCCGGCCGCGACATCTCCGCGGAGCTATCCCTTACCTTTTTCATATATACGACTTGTTTCACTCTAAAACGACGAGATAAGCAATATGGAATCTGTATGATGGGAATACAAAATCGGGATATTTACAGACGATCAAGTAGCACTAGCTCCTAACAGCGACCATTCGCTATCTCGCCCTCGTGACTAATCAGCCCTCCCCTTGACTACCTAGTTGTATCCATCCATCCATCACATCCACCCTCCTTTCTCTCCCTTCTTATATTTTCTTACTCTCAATTTTATGATTGCTATAAACGAGTACAACTAAAAAATCATGATAATAATGATTACAGAAACTGTTCATGAAAGTGGACGGGACCTATGGTCGTCTTATCCCAACGTAGTAATTCAATCTAACCTCTGGGAAGTAGAAATGTGAACACTATCATAGCCTCCCTGTTTGATGCCTATTCAATTTGTAGCAAGCAATTCACTCTCCTTCCCGTCATAAACCGAGTAATAGAGAAATTCTAAATAAGTTTTATCTCTTGAGTCCCTATACTACCGAAGTCTACCAGCTCTTCCAACCTGGTTTCAAGGTCTGATTCAAAATCGGTAATGTTCACTACCCCTAGCCGTTCAAACACTCCATTCTCTGAGATGCCGAGGACCAGGCTATGATACGTGATCATGTAGATGAGGGAGTCCTTCTGATGGCTTGCTAGCACGAACAGGGATACCGTATTTCCACTTTCAAGTTTCCTGGCCGGTTGGTTGGTATGATTGCTTGACCTCCTCACTGACCGTTGCGGTAAGCCGCTTGAATCAATGAAATCGAAACTTTCAAGCTGGGCATCTTCAATAAGGGACTGTTCAAATCTTCCTGGAGTCCGGAAGACTTCGTATTCCCCCTGGTCTGAATAACGCACTTCTACGTTTCGTATCAGCTTCCCTTCGAGCATTACTGGATCACCATCCGACAGCGGAACAGCAATAAGGCGCGCATGTTCCTGGAAATCTACATCTCTGTAAAAGTCCTTGAGCTTACGCTTGAAGGGAAGGATGGGACAATCTAGCGATGCCCATGAGAAGCTCGGGCTCCTTTTCACTGCCGGGAGCAACGCGTTCCGTTCTTCCATAGTAGAAAAGATGTTTCTCTGCCATAGAAGATGGCGGATGAGGTGATTTGTCCATAACCCAGCCAGATATTGCCATCCCGTCTGTCTCTCCACTTGTTGACGTACTCCGGACAGTGCTGGCAGTCTATCATTCGCATCTGACAATTGACGTAGTGTGTATATCACCACAATTTCATCCCATAGTTCGAGTATCTCCAAATCACTCTGGCCAGCAGATATTATTGGCGCTTTCTTGACACGATGGTACTCCTGGCACTGGCATATACTGGCTTCCCTGCAATGCCATTGGAGCTCATCTGTTGAATATGATATCGTTCGAGTCGGTAGTAAGTACTCCTGAAAGGTCCAACCACGTCTTTCTATAGGATCAACCGGTTCAGAATACGGTACATCGGTTCCGTGATAACCGCTTGCACAATGAATCCTCGCTGTTAAGATTAATCCCGGTTCGCTGGCAATACGATACTGGAAACGGCGTGGTCGCGAAGAATGACCAAGGAATGACTGATGTGCTGAGCTAACCGAAGATGCAGCAATGGTGAGATAAGCTTGTTCATATATGGAACACATCTTCCCTGACTGTTCTTCCCAATCTTCCCAATCTTTCCTGTCCCTTTTTGTCTTATCGGGTTGAATTATGCATAGTGCGTCAACCCAAAGATATCTCAGCCCAAGCTTCCGAGTAATATGAATCGCATCTCGGATAGTTTCTGGCAATTGCTTGAGGCTGATCCCCTCCCTTAGCGATTCTATGTTTTCATTCTTGGTCACCAAAAACTTAGCATCGCCCCAACAGTAGCTGAGAGCAACGTAATATTGCCAGGAATCGCTAAGTGACGTTTCATGAAGCTTGACTAGCCCATCTCCCACCAATCCTACATCAATCAGGCGCTTCGGTGGAGGTAGGGATGGCTTCTGCTTGCAAATGTTATGCGTCTCGGTGCAGATCTTAAGACAGTTCCTCAGATAGTTCCACGCTGTCTCCGAGTCCGGTAGATCAATATCTGGTCGTATTGGTATGTGTTTATAGACCGATTCAAGTTGCCCCGATATTGATTCTATAGATATTCAGTAAACCTATTCTTCATGTAGGAGCTGTGTATACCTTACCGGCCTGCCAATATACATCAAAAGAAAATACTCGCCACACATATATTCGTATACTGCTTTCATTTAATTCTAGCGTCACACCTCTCTCTCTGGTGACGCCGTTGCTGGAGGGAGCAAACGCCTTGATGGCCCCTTCGATAAATTTGCAATAGACACAGCCTGCTGATGCTGAGTCTCTCATGAGTTCAATATAGGTACAAATGAACCATATTCCCTTGAATACATATAATCTATAGTTAGAAAGATCACGAACAGGCTCGAGGGCTTCTTTTTCAGCCGCAAGAGCTCGATCGAGATTACAACATATGTTGCAACCAAGTCTAGGTGTTGTCTCCAATGAGGCTACCTCGGATAGAGTTACATGTGCATCAGGAGGTTCCGTTTCCATTTCGATTCGACCACAAAAAAGTATGATTAATTGTAATCTTGCACAAGAGCACTATATAATGGAGGAGGAAAAGATTGTCAGTACGTGACAAGGGACGAAAGGCCAATTTGAATGCTAAACTTTTGGGGTGGGCTATGTAACCTAACTGCCTCTTGTGAGGCTGGCTGTATGTGGCTCAGCTACGTACATGTGTATATACATCATTACACCACTGCCCCCTATCTACTGGACGTATCGCCATTGCTTATAAAGGGATAATACATAGAATTGTAAGGCTGGCTGGCTCTAAATCTGAGTTATCCATTACAAATAATTACCAGTAGGTAATTGTTGAATACCGTGACACCTTTACTCAAGAATTCAGTGCACCTTTGTGGTACTTATCTCCCTGCGTAGTTGGATACATATCATTGTTCACCAATGGGTTGTCGCCATGGCTCTAGCTGCACAATCTTAGCCACAGCGCTTCTAGAAAATCGCTCATTGGCCTCATTCTGACTAGAAAGACGTAAAATAATCCATCAAACGTGAACAGGCGCTCATATTCATTCATCAACAGAACCAAATAAAATACGAAGAGCACTTAGGGTCTCCTGACTATTTTCTGACCTCTTTCTTTCGTATAATAGGCGTTCTAATTCCTATAGCAATAGGTAGGTAGGTTTGTGGCAACCAGGGAATCCTCAGTGTTACATGTGTTCTGTCACTTTCCCTTCTTTCCATCGCTAGAATCCGGTATAACGGTCCAACACCTCGTGCCCCTTTAACGTAAATAATTCATTGATCCCCTACAGTGGAGAGCGAAACCTCGACAACTCTTCCGCGATTCTCATCTTCTGCTTGGAGCCCCCATGTATATTGAGCTTCCAGAAGTATATGATTTGTAAGGGCTTGGTTTTGCGGTGGCCTTTTTTTGGGTGCTGTATGGCGGGATTTGGCTGGCGTAGTTCATGACCTGTATTCGCTTCGATGAGGGTACATGGTTAATGACATCTCTCGCCATGTAATGATAGTCAAGGGAGTAGCCGCCGCTGGTGCTAGAGGACTGTTTGGCTGACATATCGGCAGGCGTGCTAGTCGAAATCGACGATGTGAAATTTCGTTCAGGGAGTTTTGTCCGGTTCCGTATGTGCGTATATCCACTCTAGCTTGTCGTATTGGCTACTGAGAGACGCTTGGTTTGATGGAGTACTCTTTCTGGAGGAACCCGTGGGGAGAAAATCCATCATATATGTTTCGGTTTGAGGATGGAGCTTTACGCAAAAATCTGTGGTGAATCACCTGGTGAGTAGACAGTAGGGGTTTAAGGCAAAGTCATGGAGGTTAGTTCACGATAGTATCGCGGTACAAACTAATTCAAGTGTAGATTCTCTCAAAGATAGAAGTCAACAGTAAACCAGTGATTATTTGATTGGCCTATGAGAGTTCCTTCCTCTACCTTGCTAAAAAGTTCGACTGGTATGTGACAAGGTATACAGTGGATGATTAGAATAGAAGTTGTAATTTCTTTTATACAAATCCAGAAACAGCTTGGGATTGAAACCTCATGAACCAGCACCTTCGCACGATGTAAGACTGGTATCCATCGCGAATTCTGGGTTACTTCTGGTAAAACATGCGAGTGGTTGGTCTATAATTACTACAAAAACGTATGCAGAAGTTGAGTACTACCCACGTAAGTTCAGATAGATTCAATGGAGGTTGGAAACATATCCTTTAGTCTAGGAGTTCTAATTTTACGTCTCCTTCTTCGTCATCAAGTGACCGTTGTTATGGTGTTACTCGATTTACCATGCATGAACGAGATGGTTTTAAGATCAGAATAGGAATTGATACACGATGTACCTGTTTTGCGATAGTATAATTAATGGACAGAAAATGAAGATATCATAGGGCTACCTAGGTAGTTAATATTAATGAGTAACACAATCTCTTTTCCAGCTGTGAATAAACAATACAATATTGTAACTACAAGTCACAACATGGTCACCATATATGTAACTATTCCGCCAAAATTATCGTGTGCAGGATCCCTTGCAATCTCAAGATTCAATTGTCAAGAAAAAATCGACACACAAACCCTATATGCGGTTCCTCCAGCACTAATCTCCTTGGAGACTAAGCGGTGTATATCAGGGGCTGAGAGCAAGGGGCTAGATAACAGCCGGTTAGCTGTAGCCTGTATATATAATATCTAGGACGACTATACAAGGGGCCGAATGCTCCAAAGGGTTTTAGGAAAGGGACAGGTGTTAATCAAGGTATTTTACTACATACAAGCGAGCTAAGGCGAGCTACCTCCTACTCTCACTCGCTCTGTGACAAAGTCTTCAACAACGTGCCCAACCCCCTGGTAGTGGAAGTCCTGTTTATTTGTCCATATATTGGCTCAATATGTCCATGCCTATGGCACAATACGAGTTTGGAGACACAGGCTTAGTGTTGTTAAAGCTTGTCTGGATCTAGTCGACGTGAAGAGCTCGAGGGGGAGGAGAAAAGTGACTTAATCAGATTTGTCAGCCATAAGTCAACGTCCAAGAAATTGAAAGATAATAGGACTTTTAAACCGGCTTCTTTTCCGCTCATGTACTCTTTAGTTGTCTTTCGTAGTTTTTCTTCTTCTTGTAAGACCATTATTTCCAGGAAGAATTGCTAAAGAACACATCAAAGGCCTGGCCTCTGCATGCTTCTATCTATATGTTCTTGCAAACTCGTTCTCAACGCTCTTTGGGCATTTTCCGGTGATTCAGATATCCAGTAACACATCAATGAATTAAGTCAAGCAATGAAAGTGACTTCTCGATATCAATTATGCACTCATTCAAGGCCTTTGCAACTAAATGACAACGCGTAAATGGATAAGAAACCTAACCTTCGTATTTCATTATAGGTACCTACATACCTAGGAGAAGTGAAATTAGACCGAGCAAGAATTATTCATAATTTGATATATCGGCGAATTATCATCTGAATATGCTGGCCAATTACATAGCCCCCAGGGCGAGATGGCTGAACAGATGAGTCATGAACTCGTCCTACCTGTCCTACAGCCTAGGTGCACACCACGATGTGTGAAAACCCCTCCCAAGGTCTGTGCTATGTATGCGTCTGTGTGGCTTCTTACCATGCCTATATGCAAATCATACAAAGCCGACGCCGCCACGGTAATGCGCATGGAGGGCACAGACATTATGCCTCATAAAGTACATAAAGTACTTCCAGAGGGTAGATACATACATGCGCACCATAAGCACTCAGCCGGGCGAGATACTTCCAGACTTCAACAGCGAACATGACGTATTCCACCGATATATGCCTGCGTCCGTGCCCCTCAGCGAGACCGGCACCCGTCGCACCGACAGTAGGCACAGACGGACCCCAAAAGCTCTTCAATGTGTAATAATGGCCCGAACCCAATCATACATGTCTTGGAAATCTTGGAATTTCATCCAAAGTTAAAAAAAGAAAAAGACGGACAGGGCTTACAGAATGAGATACGGTGTGGCGGCGAGATTCTTTTTTTAAGAATCGCTACCGTGACACGGCATCGGGCTACCTACTTGGTAGATGTTATCTGCCTTATGGCTACGAAAATCTCGATGCGCGGACTACCTAGGACCAATGAACCAGGTAGGTAAATGTGCCTAGACACGCCGACGATGGAGATGGCACGGCTAGGCACAGCACCGCAATTCCGGCACGGGGGACTCGTACATACATACGTGAAGCAGGCTGGGCGAGCCTTCTACCTATACCTGAGGCCTAACGCGCGTGCGTGGAAGATGCATGGAAGGATGCCGCAAGGCCTAGTGCTGAGGGAATTGGGTGGCGCCTCCAGGGAAACAGAATCATCTTATTGTTTCGGAAGGGGCGGAGTCTGACAGCTAGACAGTTAGGAAAGCTTAAGGCTTTAGGTGATACAGCACGCAAGTGAGGCCGTTGGCTGTCGGAACGCTGCATTGGGGCATGACTATCTCGCGGTCGGTCGGGAAGCGGTCGCTGTGACAATTCTTATTACGCCCTCCTAATAGATTTATGCCCGGGTTTGGTGGGTGGACAAGGACCAGGACTCCATTAGAGATCCGTTCCATGTAAATTTACGCGAAAGCGCCCACGAGCTGAAGATTTATGTGAATTTATTCCACCGAGGTAGAAAGAGACCGAGATGTGGCATCTCACCTGTCCTACCTTAGGTAGGCAAGTAGCCCACTATCCATCCACACGACATGATAGAGCTGTGTAAGCTCTACATTACCGAACCCCCAGGTACCGAATCCGCGGAGCCTTAAATGGCCCCTTGTCCGAGCCTTGGGGACAAGGTGAGATTCGAAATGCCGTCTATGCGGCTCAGTAGACCCCAGATTTTGATGACCGGGTCGATCGGGCGCCAGAATAGATTTGTATACAAACGAGCTGTCTCGGAAATTTCCTGATGGGGTTATTTGTTTCACCCCGAAAGAGTGTCATGCGTACAGAATAAGAAAAATACTTTCTCCACGAATCTTAAAGCATGACGATCTGGAGTAGTGAGACAGAAAACATGAGAGATTGATACAAAAATGGGGACTTTTACATATGTGAAGATGATGTGGCTGGCGTCAGTACCCACGGCACGAAGGAAGTATGAGATGTTTCTTGTTCTTTCGGTCACGCGGCGCTGACGATAATAATCGTGGCTCTAATAGATTCACCTTGAGAATGTGGAGAGAACCGAGAAAATATCTGAGAGGATTTTCTGGATGCCTTCCACGCATAAGAGACAAAAGGGTAAGCGCTACGATGGTGACAACTCTTATCGCCATAAGATGCTCAACGGAGGTTAGTGCATAGGCGATCATTGGGCGGACTTAAGTACGTGTCCGGAGCGGATCGGTAGGTTAGGGAACTTGCGTAAATCACCGGTCCGGCCATGCCTATGAGAAGGTAGCGGATTGCGGCATTTGGCACGATTAGCCCTGGCTATCCCAACATCTCTATCGTCCGGAAATGGAGTTCAAGGTCTAGATATGTAAAGAAGGTTGCCAGTAGAGGCAGGCTGTAAGTTTAAGAGTTCCCCGTCCATACTCGGGATCGGCGCAGGGAAGATTTGTAGACCAGTCGGCATAGCCATCGTATATGTATGTATATATCTCGCATGGTTCTTGCTCGCTCCACTTCTTCAATCCACATGCCCACACTGACTCGTCATAGAAGCGGCTGATAGATAGGTCCGATGCAGTAAGCACTCCACCAACTATTGTGGCAAGATGCATGCCGGTGGCTTCGAAGGATCGCTAATGATACGCTGCAATAAACCGCCTCCATCTGGAGATGGAGATGGTGGCCAACGCAGCGCCTTCGGTTAACCAACTGGCAACATTAGATCAAGACCTTGAGTGGAAACTGCAAAAGATACACAACTGATATATGATGGAAATAACACATAGGCTGCTAGGCGAGGCTGTAACTCGGGCCGTATGATGGTCTTGCGCTCGAATCTCGCTGCACAGACTGCATAGCTGCGCCTAGCTGTAGTTGGTACTAAAGAGGTTCATCCAAATGTTACTTTGGTAGGCAGGTAGCTAGCCCTACTGATTCAAGAAATGAGAAAGCCGACAGATTGCGTCGCACCGGACAGATATAGGGGAGTCCAGTTGAATTTTCGGTAGCAGAACCTCGTACAAGAGGGTGACACTGAAGCTTAATAAGGAGATGATTCCGGGTCAGATTCTGGTTTCTGCCGGGCTATAGATCGGTCCCATTAGACGACCATTGCCAATACATGTAATAAGGGATGCGTGGTATCTACAGTGTCTCTGGACTAAAAATATCACTTTCCATCACACATACTACCAAGAGGTTATTTTTACAACAATTATACCATTTTCAAGGCGTACAAAGCAAATAATTACTCTGTAGTGTTGTTTACAAGGTTGATATTCATCCCCTTTTTGAAACCCTGAAGCCCACTTTGGCTAGGCAATGGACCCCAAGGGTTTGCGTGGATGTGTATGTTTGAAGGAGGACCGAATGTAATTATACGAATATTCATCTCATTGTACGGCTTGGAAGGGAGATGCATGTTATAATTGCGGTGAAGGATTATAGCGAATCCTTCTCTCGTCCTAGATCGGCAAGTCTTTGGCATCTTTGGCATTGTACTTATAGATAATATGGTTGATGTAATGGTGTGCCCCCGGAGTTTAGGACCCGCATCCTGTTTCTTGTCGGCTGTACATTAGATGGGTTACAATCAGTAGGTAAACTCTTCGGGAGGGCTGTATTAGAAGACTTGTTCTACCAAACCCGGACTAGCATTAGAATCCTGCATCCTACGGATCTTAGAGCTCACCCATACCATAAGGTAGGCATATGGTTTATATACTGCGTTGCTAATGAGTCTGAGTGGGTTTAACTCCATAGGTCTGCAGAGACGACGTGATATAATATTACTTAGTAAAGGAATAATAGTCCGATAAATAACACCTAAGAAAGCCCGAGACATATGCTACTCTATTAGTTGCCGGCCTCAGTTTCGTAGGCCTCGATTAAAGCCTGGCTGCGCCATCGATGTACAGCATGGTTCCTCTTGAAGAAAACTGGTAAATGTACAGTAAAGGCGCAATGCTTAATGCGGTCGTCATCATCTCACCCTCAGTGCGACATTATTTAATATTACCTGGAGGGCTATCATTCGGATATTGAGTTATTATGTAGAATCTGATTGATGCTTTACGCAGTATGGATCACCAGCTGCGTAGCCGACAATGGCCTGCACGGGGCGCAACCTGGGCAACATGGGCAACCTATCATCATAAATTAAAACGGTTTAGCATATCACCAACCCTGTCGTTCCTCGCGTGTCATCGCAAGACTAGCACGGAATCACCAACCGGATTCAATTTATTGGAACAAGCCAGAGATGGGATCCTCCACCTCCCACGAGATCCATGACCTCCACCCTGTGGCTATCTGTGGGTTTCTCGATCCTTTAAGCAATATCAAAATCCGCGCGTTCCTGTTCGGCCTCCACTATTCGGGGTCGGGTCTAGCCCCTTGGTGCTTGGTGCCGCCGTCTTTTCTCGGCCAGCTTCGAGACTGTAACCAATTCAGGATATGCATGCACATATATATGTATATATAGCAAATACAATGTCAACAATTTCATAATCTGAGACTTTTTCTGGACTCAATTAACTTACCATTACCATGGACTGGAAAGAAAACCCTTGGGAAAATTATCCTCTGGTGGACGTGCGACCAGCTGCCCGCTGCATGTTTACACAATAAATCTCCGAAATTCGAGTTCGAAACACGGATATATCCACCCTCTAACCCGTCTAAGCATATTCATCCAAATTGACTATTTCGACATGTGACTTGAGAATGTCAACAACAATCGTCTTTGCAAGTGGCATGAGTAATGGTGGGAGAGAGCTATGTTAAGACATCGATGACAACTTTATAAAAGCCTAAAAGAGGCGAATATACTCAACTCGCTACAGTTTTATGCGGGGTCTTAAGTTTACTATTACTTCAATATCCCACCTGCTGCGAAGAATTTAGACCCTAGTTCAGGGGTGCATACCCAAATTTTCTACTTAGTACTCCCCCAGCTACATGTACCAGCATGCCACATACAAACATGAGCAGGGATCGAGCTAACGACTTAGGTGCATAGCTCTAAATTAGCGTTATTTTGGTTCCGGCTCGGATGGGGCGACGCCCAGCTTTACTATGGGCTGGTATGGTAACTGTATGTAGTTTGGGAAGGCACGAACTAGAACTGGACGGGGTGTGCAACGCAGATGTATAGATGTAGACGATGTACATACTACGTAGGGTGGGATGTTCCCTGCCTCACAGCCGCGAAACGTTGGTCGTTGCTGACCTAGGTAGACGGTTTGACTTTATTAAACCTTGCCCAGGTGCGTAGGTGCGTACCGGCAAACCTTTGGACTAAAAGTAGAACCACCACCAGAACAACATCGAAAATGTTGTTTCTTGCTGCTAATGTTTTCTGATGTTTTCATACCTCGTTTATGATTTCCCCCTCCAACGGCCGTCCAATTCGCGTTGAAGCGATCTGTTTGGTACCTACATCGGCGACTGGGTAATTAGACACGCTGGGTCACCGACAAACATTATATCCGCCCTTCCGGTTTTGCGACCAACATGCCTTCTTAACAAGAATCCCAACTCGACACAAGCTTGCCTTCCTTGAAGAATCCGAAAGTGATAGTTACTCGCCTAGCAGTTCGTGGCGTATTTGCTTATTCCGAATCAATAATAGGGTCCTTGATAGGGTACGTTGTTGGTTGACTTTTTACTTCTCTGCCGTTTATCGTTTTGCTTTTGCTTTTGCCTTGTCATCTTCATCTAGGTAGGTATGCGAAGCCGTTGCGATCTATGGGGCGCACAGATTCGATTCGATGGCGAATAGGTATACAACAATTTTGGAAAAACAATTTGCCTACTGATCTTCTCTGTTTACTGCCATATGCGACCCCCCTAGTCGACAAGGGCTAGTTCGTCTACGAAGCCTCATTCCCATGTTATTAGCGAAAATAGGGGAAACAACGATATGAGTTACATATCACTTCCAGCGGCCCGACGGTCATCGCAATTATCCATTTCAATTCTCTTACACAAAATCCCTATCACATCACATGTGGTCACACTGACTGCGTTATACCACACGTCACATCACCACATATTCCATATTCCATTTTCTTTCATCACTTGGCAAGTTATCTGCGAAGGTCTCTTGTCATGATGCATGATTTATGAAGTCGCCGACCAGTCTCAAGCTACCTAGGGACGATTCCATCTGTACATACATACATACCTACATATCTCTTATATTGCATATCAACACTTGGCTCTTCAGGTTTCCCAGTCCTTCCGCGGAATGTTTCATCTGCGAGCTCCCATTTGTCCAATTCACCAATGATCTTCTAGCTTTCTCTTCGGCAATCGTTTCGGTGCAATCATCCTAATTGCTTTCTTCATTGAAGAAAATAGAACTTGCAGTTAACATTTGAAGTTTCATCCCAGCTCCAACGTTTCGACAACAATCCTTGAGGCGTCCTAATTTCTGCGGACAGCGAGTCTGCAGCACTTCGATTCATCCTGTCGTCAAATTCTAACAAGGGCGACCTTCCTGGGTCTGCCGTTACCACAGATATTCCGATTGAGACTTTCCCTACCCGCGATTCAGCCATGTCGGGCTCATCCTCAGTCGCTATCTCGAGCACGCCGCGGCATGTTCGTTCGAGAACCCAAAGCATCTCGAGCGATCGCCCGTCAACGGTCGGCCATAATCTCATGTCGCCCCCACTCTCTGTAACACCTGAAGCAGTGTTTATAGCTGCTTCTGCTGCTTCGCAAATTGTCACTAATGACCACGATAGCCACTCTGAGTCGTGGTATGATGAAATGGGGATCGAGCCTTCGGGGGAAACTGCTTTAGTTTCACAGAGTGCGCTCCAATTAGCGAATAACTTTGTTGATCAGCTTCTATTCAACATCATCGGTATTGCGCAATCCACCTCATTAGCTGCTCTGCGACCCGCCGTTAGCGAAGTATTGAAACCGAAGCTTGCCAAGGATGCCATCAACAATGCAGACGAAGAACTTCGAGAATACCTGGGTGGTGGTGAAGTTGAAGATTTGTCGCAGGCTACAAATACTGGATCTCCCCGTGACTGGGACCTTGAACTGGTGTGGAAGAGAACGAGATTACGATGCATGGTCTACTCTTCCCTTGGCGATATGGAAGAGGAAGACGAGGATTACCACATGGAGCAGGAACACCTCAGGAGCGAGTCGGACGATATTATGTCGGATATTGTGTCTCCAGCGGTTGCTATTTTCCTAACCTCCATTCTCGAATTCATGGGCGAACAGGTACTTGTCATAGCCGGTCAGGCGGCGTTCAACCGGTTGCGCGTGAAATACGAAAAGGACTTGAAGGAAGGCACTCGATTACCCGGAGAATATTTTGATCGCATTGTAGTCCAAGAGTTAGACATGGAGCGCGTTGCTTTAGACCGGACTCTCGGAAGACTTTGGCGTTCTTGGAAAAAAAGGATTCGATCGCCGTTAGAGCCCAACTACTCCCGGCCCTTCTCGCGAAGCTCTACTGGTGCCACTCAACGGCGCGGAAGTTCAGCGACAGATCTTGTGCAACCGCTTCCTACGCCTAGAGATTCCGACCCTGCGCTTGCGGTGCAGGAGGAGCAAGATGCGGAGGCTGCAAGTGAGGAAACGAGCGATAAATCGGAACAGAAGGTAGTCGAGCCAGCCGATGTGCCTTTACCAGACAGCGATGTTGAGGCGACGTATAGTGACGAGGAAAGTGAAGATGAAAGAGACCGTACCATACGTCCTAAGAGCTTGGCGGTCTTTTCTCAATCAACAAAGGCTGCACTAGCCTCTATTGGGTCCTCGATAACACGCACTCCAATTCGACGTGTGCGTTCTCTTCCTTTACGGAAAACTCCCCGATGTCCTTCCCCTCCACCGACGGCCCGCGAAGTTGATCCTCAAGCTTCTACGGAGCCAAGCGGTGATGTTGCAGACACACCAGAGAAGTCTACCGTGGAATTGACGGCTGAGTCCACCTCTATCAAAGTAAATGAGGATGGCAGCGCTCGTGCGGACAAATATCCCAAGAGGGTTAGGGATTCAGTTAGGGAAACACCGGAGCTTCAGGCCGCCTTAAATAATCTGATGATTCCCGAAGGTCTCACTGGCGCCTTACCTATGATGTCGGCCACCACTGGTAGTGGTACTCCACGGACTAAAGCCGAAGAGGAAGAAATTGACGAATTTGCCGAAGAACCTGAGATTCTGACGTCGTCACGGATCTCTATCGGGGGAAGCATCGGTGGAAGAAGCTCACCCGCCACATCGGAATCTGGTAGACCTGCTCCTCTTGTGCATGTTAGATCTAACAGTTCACGGTCAGTGCGCGTTATTGAGGTGCAAAGCCCTCGTAGCCCGACAGCCGGTTCGCGAGGAAGCTCCATAGAAGTACCGGAGTCTGCCATGACTATTCGTGGGGTTTCGACAACGCCTCCGATTGCCGAAGAGAGTGATCCGAACGACTCGTCCGCTATCAAGAGAAATGTTCTTATTCTGCCACCATTGGAAGATTCTCAAGACAATAATCTCCCAATCATTCAACCACCTCGAAACCCGAGTCCTTTAAGAAGCGTTCATTCGCAGTCGTCGCAGTTATCAGTACCTACCAAAGTGTCGATCATAAGTGGCCCTGATATTGAGGGATCTTTCGAAGAGAAGCCCGTAACCCCCTTGAGGGCACCGAGGAACCCACCGCTGCCAACTCTGCCGGAGAGAAGCACAAGCCGACCGGTTTACGGACGATCAGTCTCCAATGGCGCACCATCCCCGAGATCTGACCGGCGAGGCTCGCCTGAATCACCGAAATTCCCGCGCCCTGTGCCAAGCGAGTCCCCCTCTTCTACGTCGACCAAATTTAAAGCAGTTCGTACCTCCGAAGACGGCAACTCTCGGCGATCCGAGGATAAGGCTCGCGACTTCGAACAGCTCATACATAGTGGTGAAACTCTACAGTATACCCTAACGCCCGAAAATATGCGTGACATTGACGTAAGTGTCGAATGCCTCGTTCGTTTCAAATAGGATCTAATAAAAGAAACAGTCAGGTTCATCTCAACACAACGGAAGCCCTAAGCTTTCTAATAGGTTCCAAAAGAACGATGAAACGAGGCTTACCGAGCGATCTCGGTCTTCCTCTATCAAGAGGTCCGCATCGATAACGAAGCAGACCAGTCTAGGTTCCCATCCACCCACAGACCTTCCCATCACCGGAAAGTACGCGTCGTCTGTCTCGAGTTCGTCCATCTCAGTACCGCCGAAGAGCCGATCAGCTGCCGCGCCGCAAGCTAGAGAGGCACGAGTCCCTCGGGAATCTCTGCAAGACTTTGCCGACTTTATTCGGTCTACAGGACCACCAGGAGAACACAGCGCCCAGTACAATCGCGGACACAAGGGTACAGGGAATAAGCTTATACGAAGTGCCACAGGACCTTCGCATACGGGGAAGAGCGCGAGCGTTGACAGCCGGCAGACTAATACAAGCATCCGATCTAACTTTCAAGCCAGAGATGCTTCTATTCACTCCTCGAATGAGAACTCTGACCTCATAGATTTTATTCGGCGTGGACCACCTACTAGCAATGGAAATAACCCGCGCATCCCTCGGCATGTCGCCCCCTTCCGGACGACTATGGATTCGGACCAGCTGCAAATGAGCGGCGCGGGAGGCGGTAGAGCGGTCGACGCAGTGATACCCAACATTCGAAACAGCGAGACGTCGACGAATTTCACGGAGACGTCGGCCCCTTCATCCATGAATTCTCAAAGTGCGCTTTTGAGCAAGGCAAACAAGATGCAACACTTCACAGGCAATAACTTTGACGACGATGATATGGTGCCGAAGAGGACGAGACGTAGAGTTCGTGACCCCTATGCCATTGACATCAGCGATGATGAATATGACGATCTGGACATGACACCAAAGCCGAAACCAAAGAAAGAAGAAAGTCTGATCGACTTCCTTAACAACTATCCCCCTCCTCCTGAACCCGAATCGCAACCTGTCGCTATCCCGAAGAAGAAATCTAGCGCACCAAACCTAATAGCACGTCTGAGGGCAGGTGGAGGTTCCATCAGCAAATCGAATCCCAAGGGGCTTGGCAACACCGATTCGAGATCTCTCAACAGCCGAGCCAGTAACGGCAGGGGTTACACTCCTATCGTCGTTCCGATGGGGACGGATAAATACAGAGGCGAATCTAAACCGCTAGCGCCGGCGCCGGCACCGACGCCGATGGGAGCTCCGCCAATGATGGCTGCCCCGTCAGGTCGTGTTCCAATGAAGAGATTCGAGCCCCGAGATGCTGTCTCGGTTAATAATAGCCGTACTTCCGACCTGGCCAGTTTCTTACGCGATTCGGAGCCGCCACCACAACCAGTGGCACGGATCCCTTCTCCCGTCGAAACCAAGAGCAGCGGGTTCTCCCGAATGTTCGAACGCCGCAAGAAATCTACAGCATACTGATTGGCTGATCTCACGTTTACAACTTTCGTGTATAAACTTCTACTTTTCTTTTTTATTCCCACCACTCGTGTAGGTACTAAGGACACCAAAAATTCTAAAGTCTAGAGCTAGGACTAAAGGAGGCAAGGGTTAAAATATTCATGGCTTCTCGGCGGGAGAATGTCGACTCAAAATCTATTCAGTCATCATCACGAAGATCTTTTTTTTACGCGTATATCCATCGTCGATATCATACAATTGGAATTCTCTTTTATCTCTCTTCTTCTTTCGGAGGGTTGTGTTACTGTCATTTATTAGGTTGGACCAAGTCGAATATGGAAGGCTCGGTCGTCCAGTTGATACCACGCTCTGTCTTCTTTTTTCTAGGTACTTGTTACATGTTCTTTATCGTTGCGTTGTTGTTGGCGTGGTTAGATATGTAGGACGCGCGATGCGGAATGCGGAGCGCGGAGGGAAAAAGAGAGGGGGAGCGGAGGAGGCGAAGTGAGGCAAGATGTGATGATGAAGACCTAAGTTTTGAGGTCATGTGTTTGCAGTTTCGAGATACCGTGAAATGAGAACCGGTTACGTTTAAATTCAATCTTGCTTTTGCTTGATGTGCAATGCTTGATTTTGGCTTGGTATCATGATGGTACGTTAAAGATATACGGTACCTCCTTACTGGCGAACAGGTCTATTTGTGATATCATGACATTGTATTAGCAATTCGGCTATACGTCGATGTAGTTAGCATATACGGTATAATGCTACGGGCATATCCAGGTAGGTACTTGACAGTCACCAATATCGTGAAACATATACGACAACCCCTAAGGTGGTGATGGTCCCTCCGAGGTTGTTATTTCGACGAAGCTACCTTAGTACATAAGAAATATGCACGTACGTTCGAGTCTGAATGAGTGGAGATTTTATGAAAGTACGAAGCTATCTAATGCAAGCCCATACCTGACCACCGATAGCTGAGGTGAGGTATGTCAACTGTGCAATATGCCCGTCGAGCCTCATCTGTGAATAAAAATGCCAGTTACCTGCCACTGACCGTTTCCCCTCGTTGTTCTTTCATTCCTGCTCCTTTCAGCCCGTTCTCAGCTCGTGAGCAAAGATTAGTGTAATGCTGTCAGTGCCAATGATAGCTAAAACGCCCGACCCGTTATCCTTCCTGCTAATGTGCTTCTGTTTCTTCCCTCCACTCTTCCTTCCCTTTCGGTGCGTTCAGGAGCGCATAATCGTGTGCATAAATATGCGCTACCGCCGTCTGCCCCTTATACCTATGTGGGCAGGTACATAGGTAGGCAGGATAGTCCGCGCTCATCACACCCGCCGCCTATTCTAGCATGCGCAAGACCTACTTGCGCAGTTTAGACTTGAGCTTCGACTGCGAGCCCTCACTCTCACCCTCACCCTTCCCTCCCTTTCCTTTCTCCTTCTTTCCCTTCTTCTTACCCATACCCTTATCCGCACGACCACCCCGAATCTGACTAATACTCTCATCAGGACACACCGAAGCCACCGACGGCGGAGAGTACGAGTGTCTGCGCTTCTTGTACCCGTACTCATACTCGCGGCCATGTCCATGCTCATGTTCGCGACCATGTCCACGCTCACGCTCGCCGAAGCCGCGATGCTTCTTGTGCGCGCGGCGCGCGGCGAGGCCCGAGACGGCATTGAAATCATGTGCGACCTGAGGAATGGGAATGGGAGCGGAGCGTCGGCGCTGACTCTGACTCTGGCTCTGGCGCTGCGAGGACCCGTGAGCTAGCTTCGAGGCATCGGGGTACGAGCGCATTGTCTGGTGGTGGTGACGGCGGTAGGTCTGGTCATCCAAGTGCTCCTTGCCTTGACGCTCTTGGGCCTCGTACATCTGAGCCTTAGGGTGGAGCTTAGGTGCGTCCTTGTTCTGGGTAGCAGCGGCGACAGCAGCGACAGCAGGGGCATATCGTGAGTAAGCTTCTCGATGGCGGGATCCCTTGCCCGACTTGCGACGCTGGGGAACGGCGTACGTCGCTTGCTTCTCGGCATCACGCACTTGATGCTGAGTCGCCGTCTGGTGGTAGTCATGGTCATGGTCATGGTCGTGCTCGTAGCCGTAATCGTGGGCGCGGACCTCATGCTGCTGCTGCGCAGGAGGAGGCGCGTGAGGGTCCTTAGACTGCACGGGCGCGCCCTGGCGGCTGGGCATCTGAACATAGCCGTGCATATCACGATACCCGGGAGGCGGCGCGTACCACTGGTGCTTCGTCTCGCTGCGGCGGCGCTGCGGGACGTCGGTGCCGGGGAGGTAGTTCGTGTGATAATGATGGTGGTGAATATGGTAGTGGTGTTGATGGGTAATGTGGTAGCGGAGGTGGCGACGAGGTTCTTGGTCGTTGTCATTGTTGGTCGCATCGATGTCCTCTTTACCCTTGCCCTTGTCGTTGTTTTTGTCGTTATCCTGAGTGGCGGATGGATGGGCAGCTTCTGTAGCGGCGTGATAGCTTCGGTGCTTCTGGTCTGGTTTCTTGGACGGTTCCTTGAGCTTGTCCTCATCATGCTTGCGTGTCTGCTTACGACCCGCGGCGCCTGCTGACTCGGGAGGGGTAGGCTCTTGGATGACAATAGTAGGGCGACGAGGGCCTGCGGGATGAGGCGGACTGGGGTCACGTTCCATACTCTTGCGCTCAGGTTCCTAGAATGAGGCATAGGTTGGTCTACGACGGTCACCTTGACGATGCTGGCTTAGTTCTCCGGAAGACGTAGACAGAGTGTGAACAGTAGCAGAGTGGCCCCGATCATACACGTCTGCGGGAGGGCAATCGGAGAAGTGTTCATCGTCTGAGTGGTCCAAGTTTGCCATGCTCTTGGCTTTTCCGTCAATGACGGCCGTGGTGCTCATGATTATTCTTTCAAGGAATAGGTGATGAGAGTTAAGTGATGATAGGTAACGAAAGTTAGGTGACGATTCGCAATGTGGTGAAATTTGCAGGTGGATGAAAGGTAACTTAGCGTGAAGAAGAGTGAACAAGAGTGAAGAAGAAAATATTTTTGGTGAGAGTGAACGAAAAAGCTTAAGATATCATGCAGTGAATCATACGGCAGGATGTATTGGGGCGGGTGCCGTCAGTCTGAGTGAGTCATCCGACGATAGTGGCTTAGATAATAGGGATTCTCGTCATAGCCATTCTACAGAAATAGGAGCATACAGAGAGATGTATTAATACTTTTTAGGTAGGGTAGGCAGAAGGCTATGGTACAGGTGTAGAGGTGTATTTATCCTTCTTTTTCAAAGGCCATTTAGTGTAGATAGACTTATATATAGTCTTTCTATAAGGTCTTTAGTTGCGTGTTGGTTTGCTGGTTATATCTCGCGGCAAGTACCTCCTCCTTGCTTCTATCGAGCCCAGCCGTCTTTTGATATCGTTGGTTGAGTGTCTTCTCTTCTGCAGAGAGTTGGGACGATGCGTCCTCGATCTTCTCACTTGATCCCACAACTGCCGACTTTGCCTTGCTGAAGCCACTTGCGATGGCGCCAAAGATCGAACCTCTCGTCTCCTCAGCCTTCTCTCCCGTCTTGGTAGCGACTTCGGAGCCCTTTGCCTTCGCATCTGTAAAGGCGTTCTTAGTAGCCGCAGCTACACTTGCCGTCTTCTCCTTGCCTTGGCTTAACTTGCTCTCGGCCGCATCTGTTTTCCCTTGGTTCTTTTCGACCTGTTCCTGAGCCTCACTGAATGCCTTGGCCCATATTCTGGCGAGGGCAGCTTCGGCATCCTCACGAACTTCGTCCCAGTTCTTGCTTTGGGCCCAGCGGACAGCACCCTCTATTTCGGCATTCCATCGATCCTTAGCTTTCTCGGTAAAGCGTGCGCGTTCTGACGCTGCGATCTCGGATCTTGTGGGTGGTAATGCTGGGGGTAGCGGATCGATTATGCTTGATACTAGAAATGTCTGTTGTCGAAGGACTGCGGCTTGGTGTTCTCTGCTCCGTTGGTGGGCGAGCACGGTCAGGTAGGCTATGGAGAGGGTAAGCGTTACACCTCCGGTCTATACGTAACGCAAGTGGATTAGATGCTGTCTAATACTAGTTGATATAACAGAAACAATGGAAACGTACGAAGCCGGTTGTGAAGCCCATCGTGAGCTGTTTGATGTGCGCACTACGGCGCAAGCAGTGTTGGATACCAACAAAGTAGGTAGGAAGTATAATAGAAGTATAGGAGAAATGTACGTGATCTTCCCAAGCTCTCCTATAGCTTTATTGAGTGTAGAACTCAATTGCTCTTAGCAGAAGTTTGTTATTAATCGTAGTATTAAATCGGAAATCGGAGATCGAAATTGATGTTCGTCATCAGATGAAAGTCGCGCTACATAGAGATAAGGTGTACAAGCTGGGAAAGTGCTACCTGCACTGTGGGAGGTATTTAAAATCTCCGCAGGAGATTTTAGAGCTTAGAAAACAAACAACAATATAACATTCTATCCCCTTTAATTCTTTTTCTGGTGCCTCCACACCGGAATCGATCACGCATGGGAGTATTATTACAGCATCGTCATCTAGTCACTCGTTCAGTCACTCGTTTGTTGAATCATATTATCTACTAAAGGCAAAAAAGCCCCGTTCTCGCCGCTGTGGCCCTGTCGTCGTCTGGAGCACCGTCTCCCCCGCCATCAAAAAAATCATCAATATATCTCGTTCGTTCGGCCTGCCGTGCTGCCGCTGCCGCCGTCTGTTTTCGTCGTCCGTTTCGGCCCGTTGATGTCTACTTTCCCATCAGTATAGCCTTGCGTTTGTTCCCCTCCCGGCTGTGGTTTTGTCCCGGGGATTGGGTGAGCAGTGGAGGGACCCGACTGTTTCGGTGGCCCGCGGGTGTTTAGCCTGTCCGGCGTGTGGGAGCTGTGTTCTGTGGGCTCGTTAGGGTTGTGCGAGGGTTGGCTGTTTCGGACTTGTGTTCGTGGTTTCCCTGAATGGGCTTTTATATTGAAGGAAGTCGCCCGGGGGCGGGCTCTTGTGTGTCCGTACTAGATAAGGTGTACAAGCTGGGAAAGTGCTACCTGCACTGTGGGAGGTATTTAAAATCTCCGCAGGAGATTTTAGAGCTTAGAAAACAAACAACAATATAACATTCTATCCCCTTTAATCCTTTTCTCATAGTACCAATCGCAAGTACCTTAGTACCTTCCCACAGAAGCTCAGCTCGGCCCGTGCACAAACCTTAAGCTAGACCCAATTAAAATCCACGATTGTAAAAGTACTTTCGTACCCCTGTCAATATCGAACATCACCAGTTGCCAAACCTCAATCCCACCATAAAAACACCCGTTGTCCGCCTCAGGCCCGAGCAATTGAAGGATGGCGGGAGGCATGACCAAGTACCGACACTTAAGTCGGAAGTCCTCACATCGACAGGCCTTACTGCGAAATCTGCTGACGGCCCTCGTCCAGCACGAGCGAGTCCACACGACATGGCCCAAGGCCAAGGAAACCCAGCGGTTAGCCGACAAGCTGATCACCATCGCGAAGCGGAACAATGAGACGAGTAGGCGGAAGGCTCAGGGTATTTTATACGTAAGCCCCTCCTCCTCCTACTCTTCCTCCCCCTCCCTTTATCCCCCAACCCCCCTCCAGCATCAGCATGAAGAATAGTGGGAGGTAAAGAACAGCCAGACTAATCACCACGCAACCAACAGACCCCACAAGCCCTAATGCCCAAGCTCTTCGGCGAGCTACGCCTGCGCTACGCCGACCGGCCGGGCGGATACACGCGGGTGCTACGCACGGAGCCCAAATCGCGGTACGACCAAGGCGCGAGCGCGATCCTCGAGCTGGTCGACGGGCCGCGGGACCTGCGGTTCGCGATGACGGCGGGGGCCGTCGCGCGGGACCAGAAGCTGGGGCGCGAGCACAAGCCCATCACGCTGATGAACCGCGCCAAGGTCACGCGGTACCGCAAGGACGGGAAGGAGGCCTTCGAGGAGATGGTCAAGCGGGTCTCGAAGATGAGCTTGGAGAAGAGGACCGTGGACGTGCGGAAGGGGTCGCCGCATGTTTGATTTGACGGCGGTTGAGAGTAGTAGGGGAGGATGCCGATATCCTTGACTAGGTCAGGCTACCTTGGATGCCGGAGAGCTCGGGTTTGATCGCGAGGGGTGGTGGTGGTGGTTTAGAGCACGATATAAACCGCTATATCAGCTTGCTCTGAACTTGCTCTGAAAGACGGTCGAATGGCCTGGCTTGAACATAGGAGGTGCTGTACGAAATATGTACCAATACTACAGCCCATACGAACAAAAGAATAATTCACAACTATACTCGCTAACACCCGTGAATGCTCCATTCTCCATTCATTTGCATTGCCTCTGATTACCTTATTTCCACATCATATAAAATCAAACGTATCCCCCCTATCCCTAATCATCTTTCCAACCCTCTTGCTCCCCACAACCCTCTCCAGCCTCAACAAATCGTACTTCGAGAAAAGCACCCTCACGCTCCCCTGCCCCGGCTCAATCTTCAAGTCCTGCTCGCTTTTGCTCAAGTACCCTCCCACGATCTCCTTGTAAAAAGTCGGGTTATCAGGCAACCCGTACATAACCACTCTCCTCACGCCCCGGATCGCGTAGCGGCGGAAATGGTGCGCCCGCTCCGTGTATAGCAGGACCTGGTGCCTGCCATTCAGAAAATGGGACCTCGCCCTAGACGCCTCAGGCACACCCGCATACTCGCTGACAGCGCCGAACGTGACGTTCGCGCAGGCGGGGTTCGTCGCGAAGTAATTGCGCACGCGCACGAAGTCTAAGTACGACGGCACGAACACCAGGGTACCGCTTAAATCGCGCCCCCTCTTCGTCAGCGAGGGCACCACGGCGCTCGTGAAGTACTCGAACCTGGCGTCGGGCTCGCCAGCCACGTTCGGCGCCTCGAAGCGCGAGAACGTCTGCTTGGCCTTGACCAAGCCCCCTAGCTCTTCTATCGCGCCTCCGTACGCTTCGGGCTGCACGCGCAGGCGCCCGGCCCAGTTCGTCCCGTACCGGCGGTGCAGCTCCGCGAGCTCGGGCGTGTTGAAGGCGGAGAGCAGGACGGTCTGGCGGAAGTGCGGGGCCTGGCTCTCGAGGTACCACTCGCGGACGCGGCTGAAGTCGCAGTCGTGCGCCTCGCGCGGCTGCAGGTTGAGGTGCTCGAACACGTACTCGACGTGCTCCCAGTTCTGCATGAGCAGCGCGTCGGCCTGGTCGACGACGACGATCTCGATCGAGCTGAGGAAGTCGAAGTCGACCTTCTTCTCCTTCTTGTCCTCTTCCGATCCTATCGCCATGCGCAGCCCTAAGGGGGAGGCTATGAGGATGTCGGAGTTGTAGAATTGTGAGAAGTATTTGATGGTTTTCCGGGTGAATTTGATGCCGATGCGGAACATGTCGTCGTCGTTCCCTTCAAAGAGTTCTCGGAAGTCTTCGGGACGATCTGATGCGAACTTGGCCTCCTTGTCGATATATGACTCGTCGAAGCGTTTTCTATTCTCTTGCTGCTCTGGCTCGCATAGGGAGCAGATAGTATTAACCATCTTGACGGCTGAGTTGCGAGTCGGTAGTATCATCAGGACTTTAGGTCTCGTGAAGCCCTGATCTCTCGGCTCGAAGTCGCTGTTCTCACCCTCTTTCGAGAGCTTCGCATTATTCTTGATAACTCGATCACGAGTCCTAAAAAATAGTTAGTCCAAGGACTCTTTGATTTAGGTTAGTTATTATTAAGGGACTTACTTGAAGACATGATTTACACTATGGAGACATGTCATTCGTCGCAAGTTCTCGGCATTCTTAGTCGTACGCCCGCAAAATAGAAGATCATTATAGGCGAAAGTCAATGGGTAGAGGACTTGTTCTAACTTGTCGAAAGTTGGTCGTTTTCGATTGATCGTCTCGACAAGCCTTTGTTTAAGGTTTAAACTGGATGGTCCGGATATAGGAGGCGGGAGTGGTGCTGGGTTGGCTAGGCCTTTGCCAGGAAGGTTTCTTATTATCCTCCAGCCATCGTGTTCCGAGTGTGTTTGGCTATATTCGTTTGCTTGAATAGCTTTGAGGCGTTTTGGTAATTCGTCTTGGCTTGGACTGACGAAATGAGTCTCAAATGGGTCGGACGAGTCTGGAATATCATCCTCATCGTCCTCATCTCCTATTATCTCATCTTCTGGTCCCTCCTCCGCTTCCTCTACATGGTCGATGTCCTTATTTTCATCCTCGTTTACTTCAATGACCTTTGGTTGCTCAGGCTTTGCGCTTGACTGAGTTTCTTCGGACTGATGGTCAAGTTTTCTCCTCTTAGAACTAGGAGCAGATGATTCCTTTGATAAACTCTGCATCAAAGCAAAGTAGGGCCTGCTAGGTGCTGGCTCCTCTTCCTCTTCTGACCCAGAATCTTCATCCTGAGACTCCTCGTCTGGTGAAAGCTGTTCCTCTCCGGATGCCTCACTGTCTGAGTCCCTGTAAGAAATATTAGACGATATTCGCATTTGAAGTCACCGAACTAACAAAAGAAAAGCAAGCTTACTCGATCTCTGCAAGTCTTTGACTGTCAAACCTAGGAGCACCTCCAAACCCTCTCTTTCCTCTTCCTCTTCCACTTCGTCCACCACCTCTGCCACCTCCCCTTCCTCTAGGAGGGCCTCCACGACGGCCACCCCCTCTGAATTTACCCGGCATGTGATGGGCCAGTCAATTATTAGTCTAAAAAGCGATGTATTCTTTATTCTTTTCAAGATTTGTAGGTGAATGGCTTGATATAAAAAAGATGTCGAAAGTTGAATAATTAACCAAAAAATTCCAGAATTGAGCATCAGCCTTGCAGAAATTCTTCCGCGCAAGCCACAAGGACCCACAGATATGTCGCCACGCCCCACCAACCGGCCACCCTATCCCCTGTCGAGCCAAGAATCTTTATCCTTATCTCCTCCACATCCCTGACTCCTCTCTCAGCCTTGCCCACAACCCGCCAAAGAACCCCACTACAGAACTTGAAAATTACAACGTCGTCCAAAAAAAAAGTTTCGATTGCATCTCAATTTGCGAGAAAGAGCTTGGAAACGCGGCAAACGCTCCTTTGACTCCGAAACGCACCCGCGATCGCCCACTCTCCTCCGCACATTCGACTATCTGAGAAGAAAAGCAGGAATAAACCGCAATCATGGCCGTCGACGCCGAACCGTTTCTTCACCTGTCGCGGCCTTTGGCGCCGACCACGTTGAATTATCAGCATAATATTGCCCCGCTCTCCGTGAACATCCAGCCTCAAGTACGAGCCTCCCTACTTTCGTTGCATTCACCCCTTCCCCCGTTTCCTACGTCAACTGTATAATATGTAATATCAAATAAAAAATACTAACAACAAACACCCAAACCAGGCCATCCTCTCCATCCTCGACCACGCCACCCGCCGTGACGTGCGCCCCGCGCCCACGTCCTCCTCGCGGGTTATCGGCGCGCTGGTGGGCACGCGGTCCGAAGACGGCAGCGAGGCGAACGTATCCTCGTCCTTCGCCATCCCGCACACGGAGAACGAGGACCAGGTCGAGGTCGACGTCGAGTACCAGAAGAACATGCTGTCGCTGCACCTGCGCGCGCACCCGCGCGAGACGCTGCTCGGGTGGTACACCACGAGCCACGAGCTCAACAGCTTCTCAGCGCTGATCCAGAACTTCTTCGCCTCGCCCGAGACCGGCACCTTCCCGCACCCGGCCGTGCACCTGACCGTCTCCGCCGAGCCCGGCGCCGACGTCCGCACGCGCGCCTACATCTCCGCCCCCGTCGCCGTCAACGCCGAGCGCGCCTCCGAGTCCTGCCTCTTCATCCAGGTCCCGCACAAGCTCGCGCACAGCGACGCCGAGCGCTCGGCCCTGGACCTGATCTCGTCGGCGCGCGAGACGGAAGCGCGCTCCGCGCCCGTCATCAGCGACGTCGAGTCCTTGACGCGCAGCCTCGAGCACACGCTCGACCTGCTCGACCGCGTGTCCGAGTACGTCGGCGGCGTGATCGACGAGGAGCGCGAGCCCAACAACGCGCTGGGCCAGTACCTGATGGGCGCGCTGTCCCTGGCCCCCAAGGTCGACCCGTCCAGCATCGAGTCCGACTTCAACAACCACATCCAGGACGTGCTGATGGTCAGCTACCTGGCCAACAGCATCCGCACCCAGATCGACCTCTCCCAGCGCCTGGCCACGGCCGTGCTGGCCACCGACGACAGCAAGGCCGAAGGCAAGGAAGGCGAGAAGGACGGCAAGCCCGAGCGAGGCGAGCGCGGCCAGCGCGGCGGTAAGAGAGGCGGACGCGGAGGACGTGGCGGAGGCGGCCAGCAGCGGGGAGAGCCGCGGGAGAACGGCGAGTGAAGCAGCTGCCTTCGTCCCAGCGCGTCCCCAGACATAATTCTTCGTCAGTAGAGAAGGGCTAGGGCTTACGTTTTCAGGTCATGAATGTACCTCAAAAAAAAGGGTATAGGGAAAGGGAATTGGCATCTAGCATGGACCACGAACGCTCGGATTAGGGGGGAGTAGGCTCATCGTTTCTGCTGCGTCTTTTTCGTTGCTGCTTGCTAAGCTGTCCGTTTGGTGTTGCATATACATACATACACGGCACGCATGGCGAAGGGCTGAGCAAGTCATTTCAAGGCAAAGCAAGCAATGCATGTATGTGAAGATACGCAATCGAGGTTATACTAGGCGTTTACTTAGGGGATCTTCAATATTAGAAAAAGAGAAAAGAACGCTATCGCGGCCACGAAGAACAAAAAATGCCTATAAAAAAGGGACCCTAACTTGATTTGATCGTATTTTCTCCGTGATCTTAGAATGTCCATTACGTATTGATCCAATGGCGACTATGGTAAAAAGGGGGTGGTGTAATATTTAATGCTTGTAGTAAAATTGCTCGCGTTACTCTACCTTGATATCAGCAAATACTAACTGCAATCATCATAATCCTAGGCAGCCGGAACCCAGGACCGGTCCACACAGGGTGGAGTTCCTTCTACATCGATATATCGGGCACTGATACCTCTGAACCTCAATGCTCTTACAAAACGGGGGGCAAAGAAGATCTTTCGTCATTTCCATCAACGTGTCTTAATTTAAACCCAACTGCGCCAGAACGCCAACCAATGATACCGTAATAGCAGCCCGCCAATTTACGCCGGTGTCATTGTCTCTCGTGGATGCCCTTTATCCATCCGCCTCGAGTCTTCACCGAAAAGAATAAACACCACCAATGCTTGCTAACTTTTCATGCGTGTATTGCGTTGCGCGAGTCTTTATCTAGATCCCAGTGGGAGGCTTTTGAGGTAGAGTGGCCGGATTTCCGTAAGTAGGGAGGTGGCTGAACGTCTGACCTGGTCCAGTCGGGGGAGGGATGCTTGGCTTGTTCGGCATCTGAGGCGGGGCCTGGGGAAGATGCGCCGACGGGTGTTGAGGGAGATGCTGAGGCGGATGGTAAGCCGGCAGAGAGTTGTTGGACCCCTGCCGGCTCATACCATAGCCTGGCCCGCCGACGTAGGGCTGAGGTGGCGGAGCAGGAGAAGCATACCCACTGTAGGCTAGATGGGGTGATCCAACTTGAGGACTTCCGTGACCGCCCATATTATAGGGGGGAATGGGAGGCTGAACCTGCATCATCCCATTACCAGGCACAAACGACTGGGTCTTAGGGTTAAAAGCATGGCGGTTGTAACTTCCGGGAATGGGATGCTGGCTCTTAGGATCATGCGGATTAGCATTCGCTGGAAGCTGTCCAAACGCGTAAGGGATGACAAGAGACCCTGCGGTTCCTTGGGCTGCAGGCTGAGGAGCCCGGCCTTGATACGGGCTAGACGAGGGCACTTGAGGAGGGTAGTTAGGAGGTTGTTGCCATTGTTGTTGCGGAGGAGTCTGAATTGGTCCACCATAAGTACCCATAGAACCATTAGAAGGGGTGTATCGTGGCGGAGTAGGCTGCGTCTGAGGTGGGTACTTGAGATGAGGTCAGCTCTGCAACATGGTATTCACCAGAAATTTACTTACCACTGGCATGCTCCCATATTGTGGATATGCATTGTTTGGCATCATGGTTGGATATGCCTGTGGAGGAGGCGCATAAGCCTGCGGCATTTGGTTTTGGTAAGGCTGCTGAACTGGGCTATTATATTGCGGGTGCCCGATGGGGACATAATGGGGCGTCCAGTTGGGCTGGTGAGGGTTATAGTACGGCTGGTACTGAGACCGGGAGTCAAAGCTCTCGGAATCGTCTCTTCGTTGTTTCCCTGTTTTCCCGCGTTTTCCAAGGGTTGACTTGTCTTTGGCAGAGACGGAGCTTGCTCTCGAGACTCCGTTTGCATCATCATTTTCTATATCTTGTCAGCATTTAAGAATGTGATAGGCAAGGTGTTGAGAAGCGTACCAGGTGTTGATTCTCCTGGTTTGTCTGTGCCAAAGATCTTCTCTCGAGCTTTGAAGTAGGCTTCTTCCCGTTCTTCTCTAGTAAGTCTACCATACGGTTAGCAATGCCTATATATCTTGTCTCCATATTACATACTTCTCTTTCGTTGGAGCTCCCTTCTCCTTCCCGTCGCTTCCAACTTCGGAAGTCGCCTTGGATGGGCTGGTACTAGCTTGACCTGATCCACCGTCCTCACCACGCCGCATGATTTTCTTTGGCAAAAGCTGCGGCGGTGTTGTAGTAGCGCTGGCGTTAGTGTTTGTTCCCGCGATGCTTGCCAGAGACGGAGGCACACGGCAAAATGGAGTCCGGTAGATGCGAACGGAGCCTTGGACTGCTTCGAAAGAATGTGTCATGTGATAATAGTCGGCAAGCTTATGAGTTAGCATCCTACAGAACGAGTTGTTCGGTGGAAAATCCATGTAAGGTTCCCTATACTATCGTTAGCCTCGGAGAAAAGAAAAGAAAAACATTGCTATGAATTATATATGTACTTACTTAGAAGATTGGACGAAGTTAATCACATCTTGCTCCAATCTGAGGAGGAAGATTCTGTCCTTCGGCGATTGCATAGCCTCGAGAAGCTTTTCATCCGGATTCTGGCCATACATAGAGGTAAATGCATCAGACGATCCATTCACTATACCGAGCGGCTGAGGTTGCTCAATAGGGGGCTGCTGGCTGGAAACACCACTTTGAGGGGTGACGACGCCTTGATCTGGCGCTTCGGGGAGTATTTGAACAATTCGTCTCTCAGGCATATCGCCGATCCGAAGTCGATGGATACGGGCTACTTCAGATCCCATTCGAGAGTTCGCAATCAAGGAACCTCTTACTGAAAACGCCTCATCATCTTCCGCAGCTGCTTTTACACTAGCGCTGTCGTCTGGTCGCAGGGACTCCTTCTCGTCAAGTGCAAACGTGGTTCCCGAAGTAATGCTCTTCCCATCGAGACTAGGCGCCTTAGTACCCATCTCGGAGTTGGAATCCGCCCTCTGCGAAGTGTCATCTGATACAGACGTTCCGTTTTCGTTTTTGCTCTGTGCTTCACCTAAAGATGATGAAGAACCGTTCACGACGAGGCTGGGCGTGGACGAAGCGCTAGCGGCAGAAAGTGAGGCGTGCTGATCTTTGCCGCTTTGCGCAGGCTTAGTGCTGCTAACCGCCTCGCTACCGGGCGGAGTGGCCACTACACCATTTTCTTTAAGAGCAGGGGGGGATTTGGTAGCAACTGTCGGACTATGGGCGGGAGTTGATGCTATGTTCTTGCTTGTTGCAGCAGGGTTTGTAGAAGCTGTAGAAGACTGTACGCGGTGATCCATAGTTGGTACGGCGACTCGGGTAGCCGAAACGATGGGAACATTCTCTTTAGGTTTAGAGATGGGTTTAGAGGCAACAACCTATAATATGATTAGTTATACACTGATAGAATAAAATAGAAAAAGGTATAATCCGCTGAGCTGAAGGGTCTTCTGCTGGCACACTAGGGCAAACATACCTTGGCGAAAGACAATTTTTTAGGACCAGCGGTCGCTGCTGGTACGGTCGCCATGGCTAAATATGTAAAAATCGCGTTTGATGATAACCACTAATAATCAAGATGTATCGCTCGTCCTCAATAACGACAGAGAAAGATTCGACGTTCTCGCAAATCCTAAGAACCCCGAACGAACAAAAGCACTTAACGATCGAGATATCCGATAGCTTCGGTGACGACGTCAGAGCGGCTAGGAATCAGGAAAGAAAATGAATAAACGCAGCCCTCAGGGAGTACGAAATACGGCTAATCATTGTCGTGTCGTGATTTGGGTATCTCGAAAATGCGTTGTGAAGTTCCTAGGTTCGGAGTTTCTTATTTTAAGTTGAGATGCTGAGAGGATCGATCTGAAGTTTTCTTATCCGCCGACGATAGAGTGTTATGAAGATGCCGAATGATGATTGTGTAAATGATGGATACTAGAATAGGGCTGCGGTCAGCAGGGGGAAGGAAGGTCGGGGGTGGGATGCGGGATAGGAAGGGAAAGGGAAGGGAAGGGAAGGAAACGGGACGGGTAGGCCAGGGCAAAGCCAGAACAGTTGTTGGATTGGACGGGAGAGGATTGGTTGACAATGGTCGAGTGGCAGATTAGCATGTAGAGAAGTTGGGTTGCACAAACATTGATCGCATGAGAGGTCCTCCAAGTATCGTAATGACCGTAATGCGTAATGACAATGGCTTCTGGTGTTCTCGTACCTAATGAGGACTCGGTCGCAAAGATCTGAGATGATGCGCAGGTGGTCTTATGCCCGGTATTTGGGTACAGATATGAGCCACCTCAGGCACCTAACTCCAAGGTTGTGATTCTCCCGACTGACGAAATCCAGATGCCCTTAGATGATGGATGTTGGCGATGGCTTGACAGCGTGACCGAAGCGAACGCCGATGATATTAGAGGAGGAAAAAAGAATGAGGCGGCCGTCGCCTTCTCTTCTTATCCTGCCTGTACGAATTCGCAGTCGCACTCCAAACTTTTTCTTTTTTCGTAAAAGGGCGAACCCGAAAATGCGAAGTACGAAGGATGAGAGTGAGGCTTGGACGTTGTATGTAGATTGTTATAGATAATCGGAAAATCAATTGTGACGGAGAGAAGTTAAAATCAAGGTTTCAATCTTTCTCCAGCCGTAGGCCCTGTCTCGGGTCAGCGAGCGTGAACATTTAAAAATGGCAGGGCTTTCTTAACAAAACTTGGGGAGGCGCTAGAATTAGTTAGCGAGTTAGCGCCTCAGTTTTAGGTACCCTACCGGTAGGAGCCGTGTCTACCTCTTTTTAGCACTAGATCATGCTTACTTTAGGTACTGCCCACCTAAACCACACCTTAAATCATAAGATGGCCCGTGCTTCAGGTGTGCTTGTCAAATTCCAGCCTGCCAGCGTGGGGCTGATTTGAGTTTCAAGACCAAATCTCGGTATCTTCTGTGGCTGGTTAGGCTTATACACCGCCACAAAATGTTTTACCTGCAGTCCTGTACCCGTCCATCTGAACAGCCAAAGAAAGCAATACATCAACTTCCAAGGTTGTTTCATAAGATATTAAATATATCTCACCTCGTACTACTATTTTCATCCCCTTTTTCGGAAATCAGGTGGTTTGTCTTTACCTTTACTTATTTTTTATTCTAATTATCAACATTACCATCGCATCCAAATCCTACCAGAGCTACTTTCTATTCTACATCACCACGATGTATCGACGGGGCCCGCCCAAATCAACACCCGCGAGTGTCCAATGTCAGAAATGTCTAAAAAGAGATATGTTTCACATTTCAACTTCCTCTCGGTCCTTACTAATATGCTTAGAACGTCACTATTCTTACGAATGCAAAGCCTCGTCTCAGGATAGGCCATATGTTTCTAGGCCTTCTCGAACACAGCAACTATTCAACCCAAAGCTCGTTCCAAAATTAGCCAGCGACGAGCCAAGCACTCTTCAACAGCAACAGTAAGAATCGTCCAGATATTTTTAATTCATTCATGACCCATTGACACTTTTATAGGAAGGGTGTGGCTGATGAAGAACTGGCCAAACGTGAGGCCGAGAGGGCGAAGAAACGAGAGCTAGAAGATGACGGATCAGATGATGAGTCTCCAAAGCGTAGGAGATCTGCTTCTTATGACTCCGTGTCCTCAATCTCTACAAAGCGGTCAGCTTCGCCACCGCCGCGAGCCCAGAAGTCTTCTGCGGCTCCTCTGGACGTGCCTAAGAGAGGAAACGTAAGCCCTTCGCCCGTTCGGCACGCCGCTCCGCGGAGACAGTCATATAGTTCCACCAGTGATCATGAGCGACGTTATTCGCCAAGTCCTCGGCGACCAGCTAGGACTAGTAGCCCATCAGATAGACCAAGTCGGAGGTCAAGGTCACCATCACGAGACTCTAGTCCTGCGCGAAGTCGGCGCGATGAGAGAGACGAGGCACCAAATCAAAGATTCCCAGACAGTCGTCGTAGAAGGTATTCGTCGAGCCCTAGTAGGTCACCACCAACACGTGATCGACGACGATTCCGCTCTAGGTCCCCAGACGAGCCTAGAAGGCGTGGCAGAACCCCTCTACGGCACTACGACGAGAATGCAAGTCGTAATCCCGCAGCGGACGACGGGCGGAGACGGGGAAGAGCACCGCCGCGGCGAGAACAACGCGAACGGAGTTTAAGTCCTTTCTCCAAGAGATTAGCTCTAACGCAGGCGATGAATTCAGGTCGCTGAAACTGGGGCGGAGGCTGAGATTGGGTATCATAGTTCTCTTAGGTCTTAATGAAAACCAATTTTACTTAAGCTTGCACATATTGTAATCCATTTTTCGCCAATGCTGTTAAAATCCAACGCCGTAACAATGCAAATAAACACTCGTGGAATTGCCTTATATACCATCTTCCTCATCACGTTCTCTCCGCTCCTCCTCCTCATCCTCCCTCTCCCTCACCCGTAGACCCTCCACCAACGCAACCCCATCCACACCAGGCGCCTCCTCGCTCTCGCCCTCCCCATTCCCATTCCCAACCTGAAGCTTCGCCGTCTTCTTCGCCGCCGTCTGCGCGTTCGCGACGCGCTCCCTAACCAGCCTCGCGATCGCGCCATCGGTGCGCACGTTCAGCACCTCCAGCTTCTTGTCGAGGTCCCTCTTCAGGTCCCAGTTCGGCTTCTTGGGCTGCAGCTTGAACAGGTCGATGCCCTTGTCTTCCTTCGCGTCCTCGGCCGCCTTCCGCTTGATCTCGGCCTCGACGTCCGCCGCTTGCTGCTCCAGCGTCGGGCCCGCCATGCTCGCCGTCGGCGGCGCCTCGAACCCGAGCTTGGCCCCCTTGGCCTCGGCGTCGTAGTTGCGGCCGGACAGGTGCAGCCGCGTCACGTCGTTCTCCAGCTGCTGCTGCTGGTTGTCGTCGTCGCGTTCTTGCGAACCCCCCTCCGCCTCCGCGCGTGGCGGCGGCGCGGGGGGCGACGCCGACCGCTCGGATTCCGGCGGCGCGATCTCGTCGGCGGGTTGCTTGCGCTTCAGGTTCTTGAGCTTGGCGAGCCGCGCCTTGCGGTCGTCGGCCGCCGCGCTGAGTGTCGCGTGCGACGTTGACATATTCGCTTGCGTGTATGATATTTCGACGAAACTGCTTTACGATTATGAGAGGTTGAGTCGTCGAAAGCTTGAGGAGAGGAAGAATTGCGTTGATTTTATTATGAAGCTTGTGAAAATTGGCAAGATGAAAGTACGACAGGCATTGAATTGGCGGTTAACTTTGGTAGTGGTTTTGTTCTTATCGATAAAGAGATAGCGCGATAAAGAAATTGAGTGCCACTAAGCCAACCTCAACTTCTGCGCCGGAACTTCGACTTCTTGATATTCGTGGGTGTTTTGCGTTGTATGATCCAATGTTCTTTGTATATTATTTCCGGCCCTAGGACCTTCAGCCCGTTACGAGTTTCTAACGATGCTTTAGTAACCTTCGCTACTATTACTGCTGATTTTCTTCTGAGCGATGTGCTCTGACAACCATAAAAATGCCTAGTTACCAACCGCACATCGATCAAGAGATACATTTTCCCCTTAGACAATGTCAACACCATTCATATGCCGCCAATGCATAGCACGTCTTACACAATCTTACATTGGCCATCTTAGACTGAAGCGTTCTCAATTACATACCCAAGCATTGCCATCGTCGTTACCGCAATCACAATGGGCTTCGTCACCGCAAAGACCGGAATCCTTCGTCAGACGTGATGTTACAAATCACTCTCTACCTCAACCGCCCACATCACATCCAGGCCCATTCGTATCGCAAATACCTGGATATAAACCAGGCAGGATCCTAGAACCTTCTCGGCGACGCGTCGAAACGGCAAAGCGTGCTCACCTACATAGACCTACCACTTTGCGACGCCTAAAATGGAAAGTACTAAAGTCTCGTGGGAACTATATGTTCATTCGTGATGACGTTGCGCACCTTTTTGGGTTAACGAATTATAACGCTCGTCATGCGGTCAATCAGCTAGGACGGTTAATTGGTGGGCGGCCCTCCGGAGAAGAGGCGGGCGAAGAACTTGACAGGTATCATGACTGGAAAAGAAATCTCCCCGGATTATTGAAGGCTGTCAAGAACTCGCAGTCCACGCCCGATAATGGAGAGGGTTTGATCCAGACCAATGTGGAGATCGATGCTACGGAGCAATCCTGGGAGACAGCCAGGGGTGTGTGGAGCGAGCTCAGCAACGGAAGACGCCAGGCTATATGGCGAGACTACATAGCCTCCATGTTTCGTTCAAACCCGAGTCAGGTGCCAAGTTTTATTCAGAAGACCTTCCGGCCCGAATGGTGTCCATGCTATATCGTGGAGGATTCAGTATATCTCCTTCTGCGGAGTTTGGAAGGCATCAGAGGTGGTAAAGAAAGAGGCAAACAAGTCGTAGACCTCGTCTTCTTCTTACTTCAGAGCTCACCCCCTCATTATTTACTTCTAGACCAATGGGCGATCTGGAAGGCGATATCTTTGATACCCACGTCCAGGTTGTTTGAGTTCTACCAGGCTATGAGAAAGCTTGAACATCCGCTTAGCAAGTATACGTTATTGCATTTTGCAAGTCGTCTGGCCGTCAAATCTAAATACAAAGCGCAGGCCACCGATATTCTACGTTACCTCTCGACCATACCTGGCTTCGATATCAATACGCCGGCAGCTTCTAGCGTCTGTACCACGCTCTTCACAATGAAGGAGGGCGACGTGGCTGCGGATGATCACCCCGCGCCAGATGAGTTATTCAAGGCGCTTCTTGACGTTGGGTTTCGTCCAAGTCTATTGGGCCTATCCGCGCTCATGCGGAATTTCTGCCTTCGCGGACGGGTCGACGTCGCATGGAGGGTATTCAACAGTTTGCTCGAAGCTGGCATCGAACCGGATGCCCATGTGTTTTCAATACTTCTTAACGGCGCAAAAAAACAATTGGATGGGGAATATGTTCAACGTGACGTCGACATGATCGAGGCTACAGACGGTTGGACCCCGGTCCTTCTGAATGATCTTTTAGATTATATATACCAACTCGCCGAGTCGCAAGGTGAAAAAAGACGAGATCAACGCAAAAGACTTGGCGTAAAGGCATGGCGGCTCATGGTCCAGCTGTATTCAAAGTTCTTTCACCGTGCTCCATTGCAAAAGCTCACTGGTTTCCCGCTGGAGGATCTTGATCGGGCTCTGGACAAAATACCACCCCAACACTTACTGGAAGTTAGTCAGATGGTTGCCAATTTGCGACAACGCCCGGATGACTTGCTCATGCAGCCAGACAGCATCACTCTTGAAATAATGATCAAGGCCCATTTTCGATCTATCGAGGAACCGGCCGCCTTACAGATATATTACAAGCGCTTCATGTCATTCTTTGCCTGGGGCGACCCGGTTTTAACAAACCTCATCAAGGACCGAGGAAATGTGGTTCATGACATTTTTCTGCGAGATCTGTTGCAATTCAAAGAGACATTCAGCGAAGGGGTTGAAATGGTTCGACGAAGGGTTAGATATGCATATGCGGAAAGAAAAGAACGTGGAGAAAACATATTCCACCCACCGCCGTCAGTCCACACCTACACGATATTAATGAATGGTTTCAGAAATCACAAGAATTATGAAGGAGTAGTCAGGACACTCGGCACGATGATCGAAGAGGGCATCACACCCAATATCGTTACCTGGAATACTGTGATCGGGAGCTTACTTGAGACCGGGTCGATCAGACGCGCGGTTAGGGTGATAGAGCACCTAAATCAGATCGGTCTACAACCAGATGATCACACCATAGAGGAAGTCACGCGCCTGTCATTAGCAAAGAGGAGAGCATTCGCCGATTTCATGGCAAAGGTGGAAGAAAAACCTCGCGAGTTAAACACCCGCAAATTCGTGAAGTGGTTACTCAGGCTCTGGGAGAAGAATTCGGAGAAAAAGAAGCTCAAAGAACCTAATATTTCCCAAAAGGACGCCCGCCTAATAAACAGATTCTACCAGCAGGTCGAGAGCGAAAACTTACGCTGGAACGCCGGTCAGCGCGAGGAAGAAGATAAGCCTCAAGTCGGAGAGAAGCGCGAGGGTGGTGGTACAGACGTGGATTTTATCACGTCTGTGAGAAGGCAGGCTAAGGAGAATAAGGCTAGTCGTCGAGAATAAAAAGACGAGTGAACGGAAAGACGAGTTAAATCTTCCTTGCAATCTAGACCACAAATACGCACATAAATATAAAACGACTACTCCCCAACTGCAAGTTGAATAGCACTCACTACGCCTCTCCGGGTATAACCACACCAAGCTGCTTAGCATCGCAACATCTATGTCCTCCAAAGCTGTCCCGAGGCGCACCGTCGAATTACTAAAGAGTACCTAGGTAGTAAAGCTAAAGCTCACGTGAGTTTAAAATACTGCCCGTAAGCCATGTTTCTACACAACCCCCTGTCTATCCCGAGATTTCCAATATTATGTAGTGAGCCAGACAAACCCATGCTACTAGAACCTCCCACCCAAATGGGCAGGTAAAATACAAGTCTAGAACAACGGGGCCAAGCTCAGGCTACACGCAAGAATAGGATAAGCACTCCTCGCATACCAAACCCCTGCGTGCGAGTTTCGCCTTACACATTAGGTAAACATCAGACACCGAACTGCCACGCACGGGATAGATATCAGTAATAGCACAGGCAATGTGACACTACCCAGGCAATATGCTTACACGGTTCGTTAGCAAATCAAAAACATAATATTTATACCTACCTGCCTACCTACCTACCTATGTACCATGTACAAATAGTGCTATGTAAAGTCCGAAACACTAGACAAGACGGATCAGGATCAACAAGCATTCAAGTAACACACATAGGTATGTAAGCGCCCATCTACAATACATACCTACCCGAGTACTTAACTTACCGGCTTAATTACTAAGAAACACACATCTAATTCGCCGTTCACACGCTACCTCTTCGCCCCCAAAAACCGTGCCGTTAAAGGGCCTAAGAAAAAGGAAATAATAAAAAAAAGAAAGATCTCGTCGTGCCCCGTACTAGGTAATCTTCAGCGGAGATAAGGGGTAAGCCGAGGGGTCCGCGGCCGATCAGCGTACCCGCACCTTTTTAAAAAGCCCCATCCGTGGATTATGGGAGGTAGAGGTACTGTACTGTACTGTACTTAGCCCTACAAGGTACCCGTTAGTCTAGTGCCAAACTCGGGGTTTCGGGTTATGCTATCGCGCGAGTTATCCGCTGCGACTATCCGTCGAATGGACATGGACAACATTTTTCACTGGGTAACCAAGATTTGCTGTGGGAGGGTTCGCTTAGGTAAATAGTGGTAGATGGATACCTCAGAGATGGATGCCGTTCACCAAAAAAAAAAAAAAAAAAAACCCAGGTAAACAACTTCGCGGGGTAAGGCTCGAGGGTCTAGAAGGTGTAGAGATCCATGGATGCTTTATGTCCATTGACCGGGGGAACATTGGGTGGCCTTACTTCATGATGTATCGCGTGCCTTTGGCTTACTCAGTACCTACCGCATTAAGTGCTTACCTCTTCGCCTTCATGGGGTAGATGGGCCAGCTAGGCCAAGCAATAAGCGTCACGACAGAAGACAAGACGTTCGGTGAACGAAATCTGCGTAAATTTTCTCATAAAATCATTCGTAAACTAAGTGGGTAATACCTAATAACGACCAGCCCTGCCTTTTTGTTAACTAAGCGCCCAGACGCCCTCGATGATGCAATAGAAGTCGCCCTCGCAATAAAGCCCAGTTATCTATATAGGGTTCCAGATGAAATAAAATAAAATATATATATACGTTAAAAAAAAGACAGAGGAAAAAGATACACGGTAGAAAGCGACGGTCTAGAAGTAGCGAACCCATGACCCGGGTCCCACTTCGCCCCGTACTCCTTTTAGCTAGAACACGAGGGTTAGCATAACAGTCCGTAACTCCGTCGCCGATGAGACAATAGTCGTTCGATATATTTTTAAGAAATTGAAGCGTGACGCTTAATAGTAGGGCTGCTAAGGTAGCGTCCGGAATGCGCTGTCTGGCCTGTCCAGGAGGAAGGAGTCGATTGCACTCTGTCAACGAATTAGCGCATTTCGTGAACTGAAAGATTAGAATTAGAGAAACAAGCCTCACCCAATCGACCATGTTTTGGCCATTTAGCATAGCATCGAGTGGTAAGTTGCTGCCGAAATCTAGGGTTGAGAAATCGATAGATGCCATGGGGTCTAATGAGGACGGCGTCATTGGAACTTGCTGCATGTCATTGTTCAGCAAGATAGCTAGTGAGCCGTCCCGTAAATCGGGCCTCGGGGGTGGTGGTGGCGGTGAACGATTGGAAGCTGGGTCTTGCATCGAAACCTTCCGGAGAATGGCGCCCACAACTCGCGTAGCATGCGCAGCATCTCTAGAGTTGTGCTTTCTCTCTGCCCACATCTTATATGACGTCCCAAGTGCCTTGAGCTTCCTCGATCGATCTGCTGGGCTACGATATTGTTAGCCCAAGATTAGTGGCGATACTTAAATTCAACGCACCTGCTTGGTAAGTTCTCCGTAAGATCTAGGCATAAGATCATCGCCGCGATCAGGAAGTCGTGAAGGGTAAGGGCCGAAAGCATGTATTTATCCTCGTATATACGACCACCGGGCCTGCTCTCCTCCTCGTACTCGGCGTGTAGATCTAGAATCCTGAGAGCCGCATCTCGACACGTGTTCCGTGATCGATCGTATAGACTGTTATCCTTCTCCCTGTTTAGATACGGCCGGTGCAGCACGCAAAGGCTTTTGAGATACATCATCTCCAACATGAGACGATGCATGATGTCGTATGTTTGGTCCGTGAAGCTATACGTACGTATCGGCCTTATTTGCAAAGAAGGGGGAACTTGGGCGTGGTATTGATGAATCTCTTCATCCAGCTTGATGACCTCTTCATATGGTGGGGGATGTATCGACAATGCGAACCGAATCACTCGGCGTAACATTCGACATAGCTTTGATTTGTAACTTAGGTACAGAGTAGATGTGGGCTCCGTAGCTGGTCGTGACGGAGGCAGTGCTACAACGTTCTCGTCAAAGTCGGAATCAAATAGGTTGCTGGGCGACTCGGTATCACACTCGTCGTCACGTATAATCGGAGGCATGCCAAGCTGAAAGGAGAAGAGGACGTCGAACACCTCGATGAAGAAAAAGGCTCGCCTACGGAGTTCGCCTTCGAAAGGTGTGATATTAGAGAGATACTTTGGATCTCTATGGTACCCCATGCGCTGCGCAAGCCGAGCAGTGAGTCCAAACTTGGCCCATAAACCAGAATTGATTTCCTTGGCCTTTTGTAGCTCCGAGTAGCTATGTAAGAGTAGTGCTTCAATGCAGTATGGTTTGGCAGACAAGTAATCTCCAGACACGAGACATTCAGTTGCTAGTGCTGTTAACCTATCGAGCAAATTTGGTTCAGATTCGTCAGCCTCGCCTTTCAAGCGGGTGATCGATGCTGCAACCCATAACATAGAAGCAAGGCAACTAATCCACAGTAGACTCGCAGAAGACGGATCCTCCCAGAAGGCGTCATACTCTCTTTGAAATTTGGTGGTGTGAATGTATGGAGCTGTTATGAACTTATGGCGGAAGTAAACCAATATGAGCGCGTCCGTCTTGTTCCTAGGCGGCAATCGCGCAACGGCCTGCGAAATAGTTATGGGTGGAAGCTTGCCAAAGATGACGTCTGGATTGTCCGGGCTTCCGTGTTCCGGCGGAGGTGACGGGGTAGGAGGCCCGTCCGTCTCATTTTGAAGTATGCCTTGGATGTCATGAATACTCTCAAGGATAGAGGCCCAATGAGTGGCGCCGACATAGTTGTGCTCGCCGCCAAGGGTGGTGGGGAGAAGCGGATTTCCAGAAGTGGTCCCTAAGCTAGGTGGGGAGCTCAAATCGGAGCGAGTCTCCGTTTCTGTTCGTTGATCTGAGCTTGAGGGAGTATCAAGAGCAGACTCACGATTGCGCGCAGTATAGACCAGGCCGTTGACCATCTCTTCGAGTTTCTGAAGACGGACCTGAAGGACGGGTCTCGACATAGGCTCATGTCTTGCCCGGGTATCCACTTGCGGCCGCGCATCCGTGCGCGTCTTGCGAGAGGCACGAGGTGCATACTCGCAGAAGTTGGCCTCACCACTCTTGACGCACCTCTCACATGGCTGTTGGCGGTCGCATTTCACCCTACGAGAGTACTAATGAGCGGGGGGTAAGATTGGAATGGGGTGCGATAGGATGCGATAGAATAGGGTAGGACGGGGTAAGATGAGATGAGATGAGATGGGGATGGGTAGTCTAGTACAAACAACTAAGAGACCGGGAGACTACTCACTTGCGTGTCCGGCACAGCAGACATGAGACGGGAGGACGATTGCGCTTTTGGATCTTGCGCTGAAGTCCTTCTGTTGGTTGTGCGCGAAAGACACTTGTCTGATAGCTGCCGGGCCGAGAGTCCATCGTGGCCCGGGTAAGACTTATCAAAAGACGGGAGCGACGATTGAATCTCGGTCGGAAATAACAATAACCTCAACTAAAACGCCTTAAGGCTTTTTGGCATCAAGCCGCAGTGACGGGTCAAAATGAGAGCAGGGAATACTTCCCGTCTCAGCGCGCGCGACTGCGACTTGGTCGGGGGACTTGGTCGATGAGGACTTAAGAATATTCCTGATTGAGAAGAAGTCCGGTAGTACGAAGAAAGCCGAAAAGTGAAAAAGCATAAAAGACCAAAAAAAAATAGAATATTATTATTTCCGTACCTACAAAGGGTTCATCGAGCCAGGATAGTTGGATTAGTTGGATTAGCTGGACCGGATACTAAGGTACAAGATATGGATGGGATTGGCTAAGGTCTTAACCTTGACCAACCTTGACAACCTTGACCGTTGACTTTTTGGTTCTTAGCTTCTTGTCTTTGGATTGTCGGAAACAATGTCATCCGCCTATCCGGGAGGGAGAAAACACACCCTAACGCCCAGGAAACTCCGTTGCGGGTTGCAGCTTCCCACTCTGCTACGCAATATGTACTTCTCTCACTCACTATCCCTACCACACATGTGCATGCACATATACAGATGTGTAGGCATGTACCAGACATATGTGCGGGTAAGCACCTCCAATTAGACTTCAATTAGACTCCAATAGCACAACCCTTGGCATTTCCGATTGGGAACCTACGCCCGACGGAGTTTCTTCGGCTGGATTTAAAGATAGGTCCTAAGATAGCTCCCTGAGTTTTGAACCCATAAATCCGTTCCCCTGCTTCAGTTGCTTTCTCCCTTTTCGACGCTCCTTTCGGGTGTTATTTTTAAACCTATGGCAACATCAACCGTCATGCCTCCGGTCATCACTGAATTTGGAATTGCCAATTGGTTCTTCATATCCAATACAATATCAATATTCCATTGACAGACCGATCTACCCGAGCCGGTCTAATCTTGACAATCATGCGGCTACTTAACCGACACTCAATCTGCCACTATGACGCGATCAACTATACCCGCACTTAGTAAATCCGCTATATTTGGTACTCGGCTAGAGTTCTATTTTATTGCTTTGTAAATTGAAGGGGAAGCGGTGGCCTATGGTTTTCTCAATGGAGTACCTCCTACCTCCTGACCTTGGAAAACGGTGTGTAAAAGTGCAGTAATCAGTATTCGACTACTTATCTAGCGTAGCTCAACATTATCGAAGTCCGCAGCTCTTCAACCCTTCTGCCCCTATCGCTTGCGAGACAATTAAGAAATGGGACAATCTTACTTGCATCTTTATCCAACCCGGAGAGGCTCAGGTTGGGCTCTAATCTCCCGTCTCTATTCCTCGTCGACGTAGCACGACTCGACGCCAGCTGTCTTCCCCTCGTCATGGCTATTCTCTTCTCTCCGCAGCTTACTACGGTCAGGGTACAGCCCCGAGTTGAGAAGACCTAGGTCCGAAGAATCGCGGTAGTTGGAATCCTACCCGGCAGTATTCATTCCGACCATGGCTCTCCTTTTACACCCGGTTCCCCATTCCGAATTTACCGGTCCCCGGCATCTCCGGTAATAATACTATTGGCCCGGACTACTCCAACCGGTGCATTTAATGAATCGTACGAACATCCCAACAATATCTCAAAGCCAAGATGAGTTCTGAGATTCGTTGCATGAGTCGAGAAACGAATTCGAGCATAGGTCCGGTGGTCCTCTTAAAGGCCTCTATACTACCGTAGCATCCAAGCCCCAAACCCCGAAAGCTACGGATTTGCCCCAGCGACACCACCGCGTAACGTACCTGCACCTTTAAAGCCGAGACATACACCTGAGTATAGAGCGGCAAATGACAGGCTACGTATTTGTCATGCGTAATGTGTGCTGAAAAGGGGGAGACGAATCATCTTCGTTGAACCGTCACTGCATTTATATGAATTGCATCACCCTTAACTAGGTACCTTGGCTAAATCCCACGTCGAACGTCGCTTTTCGCATCAGAACTCTAGCGCATTTTACCAGCGACATGCTATCAATCCTCGCCAGTATATGTAACCTAGGTCAATTCGAATGATGCAGGGTTCAAGAATCGGGTTTACAATGTAACAACATATTGCCAGAGTCTCACTACCCCTATGATATCTAGGGCCAGTCGTGAGGCTCTCGTTCTCAAGGGTTGCTCTGCGCAATCAGTAACCTTGATTTTTTATTGGTGTACTACTTCACAGAGAGCTCCGCCTACGGGAACATGTGTTAGAGACCTACACAAACCAAATTGATTAATAATAAGGGGTGGTATTCGGGGTTTAGGGAAACCTTGCTTCGGCGATTAATAAAATCGTGTGATGACTAACATACGCAAGACTCGAACGATCTTTTCATTTTGGCGGTTGGTCATTTTCACATGGTATTTTAACGAGCAGAATGGCAATTTGATTGGTGTCCTTCCCGGCGGTCCCTTATCTTCTTACCACACCCACGAAACATATTCTCAATATGAAATATAATAAGGAGAGAAAAAAAAGCTATCACAATTCAAAAAAATCAATGGTCGAGCTCAGCAGGGATCGAACCTGCAATCTTCAGAGGACAGTTATCTAGCATTAGAACCGAAATCTGACGCCTTACCATTAGGCCATGAACCCAGTGTGATGTTGAAAAATTCCGAAGTTAGCTTAACTCTTATCGCTAGCGAGTGGGTACTAGCCGGGAAGCTTGAGCCTCAATTTGAAAAATTGCCCCTAGCCCCTGACATCTTTCTCTTCACTATCATTACTGACCATCCTGACTTAAATTACTTCATGATCGTCTTTTTGTCTGCCACTATCGCTATCGTATACTAGTGCGTCCTAGGGCATTTACAGGAAATCAATGTGCCTCCTCACCGCAAACGTGTCCTCCTTAGTAAACTACTTGTAAGTATCACATCATGAGACAGAACTAGCGGACGACGAGACAACGACGTTATTGCGCGAGGAGCTCTGGGCTACTATCATCTAGGGAGCATGGTATATATACAGGAAGAACCCTTTGTCTATTCTGCTCCGTGGCCAATCGCCAATAAATCTCCCATAGTCCGAACTCCGATCCTGCTAGGCCTCTAATCTAACAACTGGTCCTCCAACAGACCATATCTATAACAATGTAACATTGATAAGAATAAGTCTGAAAGTTTATTGACTTTATCGGTGTAGAAGATGTTGGGAAGGGAAATTGGCTCAGGGCCGGATTCGAGGGGCAAAATGTGTGAGAGTACCTAGCTAGGCAGAGATAGGCTTCCATGTGAGCGGATGAGAGGTTCTGGAATCTCTCTAGGCTTCCCGCCTCGACCGTAATCAACGTTCAAAAATCTTTCATGATCAAAGTGACCACGACCGTCTACTGAATTGCTATGGGTATGACTTTCCGCAAGTCAATACCTAACGTGCTCTTCGAGCTTGCGGTCGTGACCTAGAAAGTTATTCTCGAGTATCTTATGCGCGGTGTAGGTTTCCGCCACGTCTTTTATCGGCTTTCAACCATACCATCCACCATCTAGTTTCCCACGCCTACATTCCGGTTGTGGTTGTGGTTGGTATGTTCATCTACTAAACGTGTTTACCCCTTCAACTTTTCGCGCATCGCTTGGTTCGATCGATTAGGAAGGAGTGGAGGACGAAACTCCTTTTGAAGACCTCCGTAGGATACGGTGGAATAAGAGTTGTACCGCAAGTGACGCGCGAAGCGTCCGTTTCTTACCTCATCGCGTGGGTCACATACTCGTCGAAGTCGCTGACGGGGACGGAACGGAATGTGAGGGTCTCGTCTCGAGGTCAACGGTCGGAGCCTTGACCTTGACCTTCTCTGTACCTTGACTAGGTTTGTTTCTAGTTCTAGACACCACTGGAGAGAATAGGTGATGTATTCCACACCCGCATGCTACGGCTTTTGCGACATTTCTTTAGTCTTCCATCCCGATTTTCTTGGCGTTCTTCCTCTGTATTCAAAAGTATAACTGTATCATCCATGCAATCAGTGGCAAAATCCTTAAGCAGTAGTATTTGTCGGTCCATGAACCGTTATGCGAACACGGGTCAACTCTCGGAGCCATTGAGGCTACGTCTGAAACCTCAAGTCCTCTCGGGGACACAACTGTCATAAAGCTCTGCTCATGAATTCCTCATTACTAGCTGCGAAACGAGGGTGAAACTTCGAGAATCAGGACCAATATTAAACCGAACCCGTTGTTTATGAATATGAGCAGAGCTACCAAATGTTGGGGGCTCACGATGAAGCAAAATCAGAGGTATGTAATATGGTCGACGTCGTTCAAGGCCTTTTGCTTATCCTAATCACTGAGCATTGATGTCCACCATAGCTGAGCCCGGCCTCGCAGTAGTTGAGGGAACTTCGCGGTTATCTGCTCGGTGCGCGTCTTGTTGGAACATTGTGCCCTGACTTGATCGATGAACAGACAGACTGAGCGCCAATGGGTTTCTTTGCCGATCGTTACCACCTCACTGGTCCCGACCGCCGCGTCCTCGAGGTCCGGGTGAAAGTAACCGACATCCCGTATGCTCCAGCCTTCGAGTTCCTTTCGCTTCGCTCCAGAGTCTGCGCTCGCCTTTGTTGCATCGCGGACATCAGTTAGGATCGACTTTATGTCGGTCCCGATAGGTAGGTGGTAGCAATGTAAACAGAGGCCTCTCGAAGCTCACTCTGCTGTAAACGGTCGAAGGAGAGACGGCCAAACGATAGCTTGTCCGGTGCTGCGGGTCCATTCAAAGACAATATGCGGAATCAAGGCCAGGTCCTCACTCTCAATGGAGCAGTAGACATGGTATGGATTGTTGCCTAGAAGGCAGCATAGGCAGTAGAACCACCAAATGGGAGGGACTTTCGGGTTGATGATCAACGGCGTACGAAAGACTGTGAAGGTGAGCGCTGCGACGGAAGAACAACGACGGGAATTGGAAAGTAGAAGCAAAGGATAGAGGATACGCGACATTGGGCATTCCCATCCAGATCTTGATTCGGCAGTTGTTAAGATCCACGTTGGGATCAACGCAACTATCTCGGTATGTAGGTAGTGTTGTAGCTACATTGTAGCTATGTGTGGAAAGCAACCTTCTCCAGGGCATCTGGGTCTGGTAGTTCGGGTTTTGTGTTCTTTGGCACATTTGCCGCGTTCCAGTCATATCTCACGCCGAACTTTTGTACGCGCTCCAGCGTAGCTGCTGGAATTAGTCTACAGACTAGATAAATTATTTATTCTCTCGTTACGGGATTGGAACTTACCTAGACAATACACCAACCGTCATATCACATCTTGACTCGACTCTTCGCATTTGGTAGCTCTGCTCCGTTTCGATCGGAGGATCTCCAGGTTATAAGTCCAGCCCAATTGCGTCGACAGCGAAATGTATGAAAATATCGCTTGCTCTTGAATGGCACCGATAGACGTGCTTTCTGGCTTGCGCTTCCGTGCTCTGAAGGTGTTTTGGCACCTCGAGCCTCCTTCATGGATAGGGTCTTCAAGTTCAGCAAACTTATTTCGCTCGCCCAGCGAGCATACACTCCTTGGATGTGGGGAAGTTAAGAAACCAAACCCTATGACCGGGTGAGTGTGAAAAACCCATATAGAAGCGCTCGTGAATAGAATAGCCAAGCACGAAGGCAATGGCTGTCTTCTCCACCGATGTCACGGCGACATCGGGGAACCCGACATTTGGGGGACTGGTTATGATCGTAACAACCTTTCGATATATGTCTTCTGATAAGACATTAGGTACTCTCGAAAGTACCAATCATTGAGGTCTGTGGCCCATTCCTTATAGGTAGGTATGTATCTTGACGCAGGGACTTCGCTCCCGGGAATTGGCGCATCCTCCGCAACACGTCTGTAAAGCCATCCATGGATTCTGCCACGGGGCGATTAGGTGATCCAACCTAAAGGGGAATACCTAGCCCTTGATTAGCTCGCCATCCCTTAGGAGCAACGCTCCCCTTTTCTTAATAGATCATACCGTTCACTATGTTACAGACCCGGCACCCACCAACCGTATGACAAAGGCTTATATGCTTCCTAACTCCTATCCTAGGCGTATATATGCCCCTCCTGATGAGAGGGTGGCATAGGAGCCTAAGCCGTTGCTGTGGGTGGCTTCCTGTGGTATAAATAGGACGTCATGTCCTGAGGCCGTGGCCTGGCTAGTCGGCGATCCATACATTGAAGACAACAAGAAGTCGATAATGGCGCGACAGGAGATATAATATCTCCGCAGCTCATGTAAGTTCTGCATATACTAGGTATATCCGAAGCCTGAGGGTGTCTAGATTGACCTAGAATTTTTCATCGCAAGGAATCGTTTGTTAGAAATCGGTCGACAGATTATTCTGCATTTAGTCTACTATTTATACCGATGAGCATGTTTAGGCAGACATCTGCTATGGAATCTAGGAAGGCAAGGCCTGAGGTAGTTATATGAGTTCTTTAAGGAACTTTAAGAACATTGGGTTAAGTTTGAGCAAATATGCTTCGGATGGTTGTGTCATTTTCGAGTATGAGAAACTTATGTGAGATGTTCATTGTCGGGTTTGACTTTCATGAGAGATTAACTGGAAACTTAGATTCTATACATATGTGTATCGTGTGTAAGTATGTAGGTAGCTAGATAGGAGCAACGTTACATACATGTAGTTATTAGTCACCAATCATTTAAGAAATTGAAAAAGGGGAAAGTCCAACGGAAAAAGGGGCTGATCTAGAATGATCGATACATGTTTCTAGACGCGACATATACTCTGGTAATGATTATAAAATATATTGTCAACATGTATAATCGGTAATTGGTCTAGTATAATGAACTTGAGCTGTGGTTGGTTGGTGCTGACTCACTATGATTATTACGTGATAGTATCTCACACCTATAGACATGCATGATGTGAATACTCCTACACCGCCAATTGAAGCCAGAAAAAACCGGGTATCTTTAACCTAGATCTACCTATATCGTACCCTATCTCTCTTTTCATTGACCCTCGTCTTCACATAAGTGGCGATTATGGCCCGCTACCTACTTCTACATAAGCAGCGTGCCTGCATGCGTTCGTTAATCCATCCATGGATGCGAAGGCCGTCATCTCGTGAGTGGAACCTGTTTCCATATCCCATCCCGGCAACCGGAGCAAAGCTAACCAATTGGTATCGCAGAAGAGCCAGAGAACCCCTGGCTTGCGTACCTCAAAATCAAAACGAACTTTCCCAACCAATATCGCCATATAGCTTCCAGAGCTACCTGGTAACTTTCTATAATATGTATCACGATCTTCCATGTAGATAATAAAAAATATCGCTCTCGCCTCGTATATCGTAACCGCTTTCCGTATATTCTTGGTTGCCCTCCCTCTCCCCAACAGGGACGTTGAGAAGAGGTGCCAAATAACCAGACTCAAGGTCATTAACTAATGAGAAAATGCTCGCCGCGAGTTAAAAACGGAACGTCTGGATATTGCGCACGCGGAGAAAATGAGGCGGAGATGCGTATTATGTAAAATGACAGGAACATCGAATTTGGGTATCATGGCCAATTCGCAAAATAGCAAAAATATGAAACAAATCCAACTTCTGCCCTGTCAGCTAATGGCGCCGCGCGTTACCCGAGCAGGGTTGCCAGCCACGACAGTGAACGGTGGTACATCCTGACGCCTTCATTAGAGACAGTGTTCAAGCGGGGAATTGCTTTTTCGATGACTTACTTTAGTTACCACAGCTCCAGCGGCGACTGTCGCCCCTCTTCCGATCCTTACTCCGTAGAGAACTATAGCACCGCCCCCAATCCATACATCTTCGTCAATGCAAATAGCGGCACCGATATGTGCGCTCTTGTTACCCTTGCGCCTCTTGGGATCCGTTTGTAACGTACCACCAAAGAGACTGACGTTCGGACCGATGTAACTGTTGTCACCAATAAGGACTTCCATGGGATCAATAATGGTACAATTCCGACCAATAAACACGTTGTTCCCAATCACAATGTTGTACCCATAGTCGCAGGTGAATGGTGCCTCAACAACCACCTCTTGCCCAACGTTCCCAACGCGAGTAATGGCTGTCGAGTTCCGATCCATAAAAATTGGTTCTGTCGGGTTCAAGATTTCTCGGAAGAGGCGCGAACGTTCGGGTGCTGATACACCGACATTGGGACTCGTAGAGTTGTTGAACCTGAAGCATGCAGCGCTGCATCTTTGTCTCTCGAGTACCAACTCCTCATCAAAAGGATAGTACAGATTCCCTGTAAGCATCTCCTCCTTCTGGGTCCGTTCCCTGCTGGGTGGGTAATGAGAATGTGATAGCGCGAGTTGTGCAGTTTCCTGAGGATTCGTTGCCGTTGTTGCAGGCGGAGGAGGCGGAGGCGGGGGCGGCAGCGCAGACTGGGGTGGCGGACTACTACTCCGAGTTGGCGGGAGAACGTTAATCTGCGGAAGCGAGCTCGAATGCGGCGTGTCATGTTCGGTCCTCGTAAGGTCGTGTAATGGCGGCACTCTTTGATAGTCTTTATGGCGGTCAACACCGCTCAATGGTGTGGGCAACTGTATGGTAGAACTCGTAGCGCTAATTGGGGTAGGAAACATGCTTGTCGAATTAGTATATGATATGGATGACAATTTGTTGTTCTCCGGGCTCGAAGCAGATGGGGTCGGGGTAGGAAGAGTGGCGGAGGTCGCCTGTCTGCTGTCGTCTGGGAGAATCGGCCGGCCCTGCACGGGTTCTATCCGGAGCGGTTGGCCACGGTAAGCCTGGGAAGGCTGATCACGTTTCGGGGGTGGCGGGGGCGGAATCGGATAACTACTCTGCTGCGGCATTCCGTAGGCTCCGGGAGGGACATAGCTAGGATCCTTAGACTCGAGTGGAACGGCGGCAGGTTTATTCTCCATCTTGGGGTAACCTCGTTGATTAGGGTAGCCGTGGCATACAAATCCACCTCGAACGCAGTTGGTACCTATTCCGCTCGTAAGTATACGAAGCCTTAACGACCATGCCTAAAAGAGGCTTACACTGCGGTTTCGTCTCATCGCATTTCTTCTTTCTCTTGCGACACGTTAGGCAGCTATATTTTTCGGTATGGAAAGCCGATGCCTCGCTCTTAGGTCCGAAGGTGGTTGCGCACCAACGACACTTAGAGGGTGCAAACTCGGCCACACCACACCCAAAAGTCAGCAATAGGCTCCGAATTGTAAAGTCCCAAACAAGGAGGATAGGGGGTCCCATACCCAGTCTTAGTCCTGTTACTAAAGTTGCGCTTCCTCTTCTTAGGATCTGACTGGATTACTGCGTCTCCTTTCCTCTGCTCCGAAGTGTAAGAGGTACCGCCATAGAGCACGGAGCTATCATCACCGTCAGGACTCGTCGCCGAATAATCGTGTTGAGAATCCATATGGGTGGTTCTTCGAAGCGTATCGCCAGCCTGCTCGTCACTCGGCGACGGAACTACGCTCGCAGAGTCCTGTCGATCATACGTACTGCGGTCGTCCGCATGGCTGTGTCGTGGATACCAGGAATCGTGATGCTCTCGACCTTCCTCACCATACTGCCTATACTCTCGTTCTCGTTGCGTCGCGGGATGTATATCACGTGATTCTACTTGAGATGGCTGTTCCCGCCCACGACTAACAGGTCCTTCTCTATGAGATTCGTCTGAGAATGATCGCTTACGCTTGTGAGCCCCTTCAGCCTCCGAATAGAGAGTTGGTTGGTAAGACGAACGATCAGGACTCGGTCCAGACCAGCGCTCTCTCTGGTTAGTAGAGCTATCTCCAACTTTTGGTTCCTGGGTGGTTATTTGGCGAAGAGACTGTTCCTCTGAGGCTGCGCGTACCGATGTAGGGCTACTGCTAGGCCTCTCGACACCCTTTGGCTCACCTCCGTTCAAGGCCGTGAAGGTAGCCATATTTCGTCCAACAATATCTTCAGCCCAGCAATCTTGCGTGAGGTGCATAGGAACTCGATACGTAGACGTATATTAGCGAGGACCAGTTGCTGTGCGATTGAACAATTTGGCCAGTGTGATTGGCACTCAAGAACCAATAGTCCGATACAAGAAAGCTCTTTAGTGAGAGGGGAAGAGCAAATGTCAACAGGGTTCGGACTATAACCGAAATATGTAACCTCCGTCGACGTTGCGGCCTAGTTTAAAGAGAGAGAAAAACCAGCTGATAAGTCGTGACGAAAGCCGAAAAAGTAAGAGCTAAAAATGGTAAATCCGCCCAGAGATGATGACCCGCACAGCGGTCGCGGTGCGGTCTGCTAAAACCTCCGAATTAGCGTTCCCGGAGGCCAAAACATTAATAAGAGCTAATATATAGACTTTAGCTATACGCAGTTCGGATCTCTAAGCAATGCGCTCGTCGTGGCGCAGAACAATGGGTGGGATCTGCACGACTCTTATTTGAACGGTGACGAACTTTCGAAGGCGGGTGCGCGGGGAGGCAATTTTGTACAAGCGAAGCGGGAGTGAGTGAACCGCACCTCTTTCTTATTGAATTTGGACTGCGTAATACGACTGTGACGTGCAAGGGCCGATGCGGTACGTCGTGTATTGCTGTGTTGCGGTGTAAGCAACAAGTTCGTGAGCTGCTGCGCATAGGCGACTGTATGTCGCCTCAATCGCCTATCCTGCTTATATGTCCCCGACCTACTTAAGGAAATTGCCCAGTCTTTTTTTTCTTTTTTTGCTAGTGAAAGTTGAGTTGAGTGTATACTCTCGGTTTTGGGCTGCGTGTGGAAAAAACTCCAGACTATTATCGTGCGGTCCGGCCCACGATTGCTACTCGTCGAATTCGAACCAACTATATTGGGTTTCTCCCACCCGTTCCTTGTGCCAGGATCCTTGACCCTTATTTAATGCGTACACAAAAAAGGACCAGCGCTTGGCGATTTAACGCGCGATTAATTTTTTTGGCCAGTTGTGGGAATGAATGGTTTTGGAATCCGTCTCTCCCTTTGTCAATGTCAATGTTAGATCCTCAACGTCAATAGACCTTCTCTTCTCTTCGCCTCCCTTCTAATGCAACCGAATCACCATGTAGAAAGAAAATGAGCGAAGGAGGATTAGAGAGATTAGAGAGAGTTAAAGGAAATAAGGTATACGATAGGGCAATTGGGTTAACAGTAATCAAGGTAGCATGTAATAGTAGGTGGAGTGTAAGGGGGGATATAAGAAAATATAAAGAAAAAAATTATGTGGCTAGCCAGCACCAGGGCCTAGGCAGAGCGGGAAGTGATGTAAAGCAAGGATGGTAAGGATAGATAAAGTAAGACGGGTAGGTAGGTAAGTAAGTAAGGTGCAAGGTAGCTGGGGGCATGTACGCAGGTGGATATAGCCCTGGGCAGGTCTGGTAGCCAGGGCAAAGAGGCAAGAGCCAAGTACATACAGAATGCTGGACTGATTGGGATCAGTTATAGAGGTACGTATACGTATACAAATACGTGTATGTAAAATGGAAGATTGCACAGTACTTTATAGGTTGAGTACCTTATCTAGCATGGAAAACATGCAAGGCAGCGAGAGTGGGAAAAGAAATGAATGAATGAATGCAAGCAATTAAACGTGCGTAGTTGTAGTCGTAGGTCGTAGTTTGTAATTTGTCAATAGAGACGACGAAAAGAAACATCCCCCCAAAAAGGATTTGATCACAACCTCGATGTTCCTCGGCGGGATGCCTCGATACTTTTGTACCGCAGAACGCAGAACGAGATCGTCGAACCCTGGCTAAGCTGCCCCAATATTGGGCGGCATGGCGCTTGGAAGCCGTAGATACATACATCGCGTGAAAGGGAATGTATTACATGTACGTATAACTGCTATATAACTGGCTGGGCTGGCTGAACTGGTAAGCCGAAAGACTAAGAGATACAATCCGCCGAGGTACCTTGAACCCGACTAGGGTTGTTGTGTGCGACGACAAGCCCATGAGAACTTGGAAGCGAGTCGAGGGAAACTTCGGCTTCTAGCAAGGGTGTCAAGGGTATCCGCACCCACTTTAACTTACATAGTAGTACCTTCCAATGTACCTCCGCTTGCGCTAGAATCTTAGACACTTTTTCCAATTCCGCGGTGGATCCCTGTTCGGATAGATTGTACCAAGGTATCTATTTAATAGCTTTGATAGATTTAATACCTTTAATACCGTAAGGCGACATCGAAGATGACAATTACTTACATAAACGTATAGTACCTACATGAAGAATCGTACATATAGTACTAGTAGCGTATGTACTTGTTTCAATATTGCACAAGTCTAGCCCTGCGCGTCTAGATAATAGGCCTGGCGCTGCCACGACGATGATGAATGTGTCGTGCTAGGTATGAGGTGTACGAGATGTACCAACATCATCCATATCATATGTTAGGTTCTTTCGTTTCCTAACTCCTCCCACCTTACGTAGTCGTTCTTCTTCTGCTTCCCGCCGTTCTTCATGCGATGTTACCGAATCTACGCTGGGTGGTACCGCAGGAGCATAATTCATCATCGAATACGACAAACGCCATGTACATATCTAGCTCTAGAAGCGATGAAATCAAGTCCGCTTTCTTTTCGAACGGGTACCTAGCCTTGCGGGGAATGTGCTATTATCCTTAGCCAGCCTCAATACATCGTGGCGGCTCATTCGCGAGTTGTCGTAGTTAATGTTTCTTCATCCAAGAACAGCCGTCAAGAAACATCGTCGACCTAATCGTGCGCTTACCGTCCCCCCTCCTCAATGCCACCAACAGCTAGCTAGCCCCTCCAACGTTGCACCGGGATTTTTCACCAATGCCATTGAGCTGTCCGATTCGCTGTATCTCACCTCTTGTTGTAGGTGTATGTTATGATAGGTTCAGTACTTTCGGCCCGCGACACATCTGTTGTCGTGGTCGTCTTAGATATTACTGGCACCCGCGACGCGATGGTGAGATAAGAGCATTGATGAATCAATAAAGGCCGTTTCTTGCGGCCTAGCCGCGGTTCGTGGCCGCCAGGCCTCGTTATCCTAACCCACGACTGTTTGGGATCAAAATAGCACACACATACGCGTTGGTGGGCTTGGTAAATCTCAGCAGGGGTGCAGGAGAAGGCCATGCGATTGGGAGGATCTAGGTAGTTTGAAGGGTCCTCGATCTTGTAGAAGTCGGCGGGCGGCACAGCAAAGGTGCAACGTAGATTCCACTTTGGGTTTGGAATTCTGCCAATTCTTCTCGCCAAGTCTTGCGGCAGCGCTGCTTCCAACCAGAAAAGGCCGACCCTGGAGCATTGCCGGCATGTGCGGTCAGAGGAGTTTGTGAGTCTGGTTGTACTCCGTCCGCAGCCAATGGGCGCTTCAAGACAGGGATCTAGCTGTCATGCAATTTGGCGCGAGCGTGTGATGTCGAAAATGTCCAGGGCTCTCATTAGGGCGCAGCGAATACCCGCGTCTAGAGCCGACAAGAAGCCATTGATTTGTTGCTAGCGCATGTGCTCGCCCATCGTCACAAATGTCTCGTATTAGTTCACGAGTTACATCGATCTTTAACCCCGAGAGTTGAAACCTAAACCATGGGGATACATGGCGCAAATGGCGTAGTACGTACATGGCAAAAGGGAGACGAGGGCGCGCTAATACGGCAACAGGGAAGGCCTCCGTCTAGGTCGTAAGGACTAGTATTGACGGCGAGCCGAGAACGCGGCGGTGCACCTTTGCGACACGACCGCTTTTGCTGACGTAGGCATGTCAGTCATCATCTCGGGGGCTTGCTCGGTCAAGAAATAAGAAATAAGGCTACATCCTTCATCAAGCAAACCGCTCTAGAAAAGAAATACACCCATACACCCATACGACAGATACGGTACCTCAGGTAGGTATGGATGTAATATTAACGCTGCCGGTCCACCGTCCTTCCCCTGGATCTTACTGCGACGTAATCGATCAGGGCGGTACACATGCTGGCCTGCTTAGCTCCGGAAACTCTTCCATTTTGGAATTTAGTATATTGCCATGCACCCTGCCGGCCGGATGACACCCTTCGAACAATGACTCGAGGTGTCCGTCGCGCACGGCACACACGGGAAAATCCCACACTCACAATCGGAGCCTGACGCAAAAGAAGCTTCAATTTGCTTTCGTCCGAAAAAGGCACATGTTACAGATATTCGTGCGAATATCAGGTCTTAAGCTGATGGCCATGTGGGACCTATGATTAAATCGCGAAGATAATTTTAGCATACTACAATAACATTCGTCCTATTTATCGACCATTTTTACTTGCGCGGCTTGCGTAGGGGCCTAAGGTGTCGCTGTTCATGATCCCGGCATTTTCTCGAAAGCGTTTCTGAAAGTACTTCGCTAGAGTAGATTTCCGTGGGGCGAGCGTAAAGCGCTTGTCGCGAATCGTCCGAGAGTTTTGGTCTTATGGGTTTGCCGCCGTTCAGGAAAGTGATCGTCTCCTAAGCGGCTTGCCGCCGCTCATTGGTCCGACGCTACAGCTCCTAGCTTGGTTAGCTTGCGACAAGGAAGCCAACTTGGTAGTTCGGACGAGACACACTAGATCAACCGCGTCCGCGCATAAAACTTATCTGGTATCTGATGGCCCGGATTTCTTTTCTTAGAAATCGGCGGAACATTTCTCGGTTCGAGCTGCGACCCGCTTGGTAGCCTTGGAACCTTGGAAGCCCGGTAGGACATAGAATGGGAGTTTTTTTTCGGTATGAAGAACCATGTGCATGACACCTCAGGACATCATTACACTGTTGAGTAGCAGAAGGATTCTCATGCGGCTATTCCCATCCCCGGTCTCCTTACATTAACCCCGATAAGGTTCGCTGCTACCCCTCATGACACTAATACTAGAAAGCGGAGGTGGAAGTTCATAAGGTTGCGTCAGGCTGACGGTGAAGACTTATCCTTGAAGGAGGGATACAACAAGGCCAAAATCGATAGAACGTTTTTTTTAATCAGTGGTTGCCCGGAGATCTGCACACGCTTTTTTCTCACTATCTGTGCTTTGGTTCCCTTAACCGTCTGACAACTGCCCAGGTGTACACGTGAATACCTCTGTACATAGTAGGCAACCTGGGCAGGACGAGCAACTATGAGAGGGGCCCCGGTCTATCAAGCCGAGACAACCGTTGGGGGCCATCAGCCTTTCCAAAGAGGAAAAGGTGAAGGGAAGCAATGCCTAGGTATTGGGTCCAGAGCTGAATACGCCTCATTCAATCGCCGTCAGGTTTTGGGTCGTTGGATGATAAATAACGGCACAGAGTGAGCGTTATTGTCAATTCATCAATATTTGAAGTCTTATCCAGTCTGGTGAATTTGATCTTGTTTAAAGCCGACTTCGTGAGACTCGCCGATGCACACTGCCTGCAACTTGGAAGTATATCCTGAGCATTATCAAATCATACTATACTAGAAGAGGCAGAGGAGTAAGAAAAGTGACACAGTCAAAGCGGGAAAAGGTCCGTTATGACCCTTGTCGAACTCTTAGCGTGGACCTGCAGGGTCAACGTCCAACAGCCGACCGTCATATACTATGTATGTATGTAAGCGCGAGGCACGCCGGAGGCGGACCCGCGCTCTGACCACAATACACAGAGATAACAGGGAAGGTCAAGACCTGAAGGACCTTAAGGCAACAGGATAAAACTCGAGCAAACTGTAAATATTCCGAATGTTTAGGATATCCTGATGGTTGTCGACTTTGCCACGTAAGGAGGCAGCCGAATGGACGACTCGTGCAAAAATAGACCCGACCGCCTGGTTTGGGGCCTTGGGCTGTTAGTATGAGGTTGCGTAAGGGGTTTAGTTTTGCGAAGGATTCGACAATTTGGGATCGCCCAGGTTAATAGATGTCTACCTACCTACGGTGAGTATATGTGTGCCCGAGTTCTAGGAAGAGGGGATTAATATGTATGAAGACTAGCATGTTAGTTTGGGTCGTTTGTATGTTTCCTAGCTGTTAATTCGGCGTAGATTTCTTTTTTTAGGTAATAGTTTGTTACCGATAATTTAGCAAGGCTCGTAATAATGTGACTTGTCACAAGTCGCATATCGCAAGCTACTAGTCCACGGCGCCCGAAGGTGAAGGTAAGCGACCCAGATAGCTACTACTATAGGTACTGTAGGTATTGCGTTTAGCGGCCTTGACATCCTTGTGGTATGTAGGTAATCAGCGGGTAACACGAAGATCAAACGGTGGTTCAGGATGTTGGCGCAGCATGATGAATTGACTGATTGACTGTTGAAAGTGTTGGTGAATAGGGAACCTTGGAATATAGTGGGAACGATTGGAATTGTTCTCGTGACTAGTAAGAACCCTTGGAAACCGCAATCTAACGTTTACGGTTCGTCAACGACTACAAGGTTCAAGACTAGCTGAAGCTGAGGCGATGTTTCCTGTTCTATCTTGTGGCTTCAATCTTCTAGGGGATAACTACGGCAATATGAGGAAGCTACTACATAGGACGGTACAGATTGCCATGGATGTATTTTAGTACCCGTTACTACTAACGCACCTTATGTACCTATCGCGAGAGTCACATGATCCATTCGCGCTAAACCCAATGTCTGTTGTTTTGTTTAGTGGCCTCAATGGCCCAAACTTCAGGTCACTTTAGGGGTCAGTTCAGGGGTCAATCTAAACATAAACAATGACAGAGTAGTTGAGCCTCATTCTCACGAATTTAAACTAACCATTGCCAGAATCGAGATCCTAACCTTGTTCCCCCCTTTCTCTTATCATTTCCTCCAGATTTAAAATTGCAGGTGAGAAGTTCTAAAGATTGCTTACCCCAGATTTCCATGGTAGCGCTCTCAAATCAGAAACAGTCTACCACTACTCGTGTGTCCAACGACCAATGACAAGTCGCGGTTGTCACAAATAGCCGCCCGGCGATAACATCTAAGCGCCAGGACATCACAGCGTGTTCGAGAAACTTTCTTTCTCCCATGCACGTAATTGTACCTCGCGGCGTGATGGCGTCTTCTACGTCTTCTTCCCATCCCGCCAACGTCTTTCTGCGAGTCGGGCGTTTAAATCTATTTCCGTCCTAGATCACTCGCAGGAAATCTACCCGCCCTACCGTCCTACCCTCCTCCACGCTGTCGCTATCATGATCCTTCCTGCAAGGCACCGAGGCGGCACTACCATCCTACTTCCAGGTTGGGCGCTTTAGTCTGGGGAAAGCCTGGAGATTGGGCGTTTCGCCGCCTGCATGCAAGCTGTACCCTATCAGGCGGTACCAGGCAGTACCGGGCGGCGTTAGGGGAGTGTCATCCCTAGGCTCACCGAACTTCCAGAAGCGCCCGCGAGCCTTGAAAGCGACCTTAGCCCGCGGCTTGACTTTTGTCTAGATCGTTTGTGGCAATCGGGGCCGTGTGTAGTTGGAGAGTTTACCGTGCCCACGGCGGGTACCTTGACGCTGGCGCGCTCTGGGACTGTACGCGAGATTTCTCAATGCTAGATGGTACACTGCACGTGTGTGCTCTGTTATCACATGGTCCCTATTGGTGTACCTGGAGGTACAGGGAAGCGTCAAGCCTCGGGGCCCCAACGGCTTTCAGATCGTCCCTAAGCTCCCCTTGCGACCACGCCCCAGCTATTGCTCATGACGTATTCCAACTCGGGATTTTTTGGTACCACGAGGATCAGCTGGGGTACTTATTTTTAGGGAGGTTGCTAAATTAAGATATAGCCTCAATATGCGGCCGCTCGCGACCGCAAGTGTTAATTTAGACGTCACCCCTTGAAAGAAATATCTCTGATTTCCCTGGTTTCTAGAACATCCCATGTATAAAATGGTTGCCTAAGCCTATAACTCCCCTTAGCGCGCTTAAGTAGAGACGTTGTGATCGCGATCAGATCTCTAGACTGCCGCCCTTGTCTCATTCATCGGTCCGTTTCCCGACCAATAGAAGTCATTAATCCCTCACTCGTTTCTAGCTATAGTCCTCTGTCGTTTCAAGTTTCACATCTCCTTTTTACGTTGCTACTTTGCGGCGGTTAGATACTGCCAACGGACTCCACACTACCTAGGTGGTCAATAGAAGCAAGGTCCGTCCAGACGCAGTCTACTTGTAGTGAGACAAGCTCCACCGAAACGTTCATCGACAATCTCGCAAGCGCGTTTTAAACCTTGAGTGACTCATCTCCGATGTCACGAGAATGTCTCTATCGCTCATCACAAACCAGGTGGACCAGTTACTCTCTAGTCTAGTTAGGCGGACAAGGTCCTCATAGGTCAGTTCATGAAGCGGAAGAGAAAATAGAAGGTTGATCATTCCATAAAAATAGATGATATTCCAAGGACCTTTACTATAGTCGAGATACTTAGGGTCATCCCTAACTCCACATGGAGAAAATACTAACTGCTTAATTCTCCAATCTTTGACCTCATTACTACACAGGAAATTAGAAGGAGCAATTTGGGTGGTATTGCAGGAGCCTCTGGGTATTCCTAACGCAGGATGTAGCCGCTTTCAACGGTTGCCCCTTTTCGGCGTCTGTGATAGCTTCGAGGCTTAACGTTGTCGCTCTCGCTGGGATGCTAAATACTAACACTAGTGTCCCAAGAATAGGTAAGTCAATATAATCAGTTGCCAGTGACAATCTACTATTGGTAGTAGCCAATGGGTCTAACGCTCACTACAAGCCTAGGTAGGCTATAGGAGTTCTTCCTATTCATGTTTTCAGGCTCTTAGTTATGATGAGCAGAAGAGCAAAAAGGGACATGCCAATATTCTCTTACAAAGAAAAGGTTAAAATACTAGATATGTTATAAGAATACATTTATTAGGTTAGGGACATTTGTAAACCATATTGGTTAAGTGACCTCTTAGCCGAGAATTAGGGGGGGCAATGTAATGTTAGTCAGAAAAGGGCATTAGAGGATAGGCAAGATGTTGTATTGGTTAAGTTCTCTTAGACCTTGGATCTCATTGTGGAGATCTTAAATACTAGTACAGTGCTAGCAGAATCTTCCTGCCAAGTACACTCCATCTAGTGCGGAAACACAAGAGCCTGCCCCCGGGCGACTTCCTTCAATATAAGAGTCCATTCAGGGAAACCACGAACAAGTCCGAAACAGCCAACCCTCGCACAACCCTAACGAGCCCACGAACACAGCTCCCACACGCCAGACTAGCTAAACACCCGCGGGCCACCGAAATAGGTCGGGTCCTTCCACTGCTCACCTAATTCCCGGGATAATACTATAGCCGGGAGGGGAACGAACGTAAGGATAATATTAGTGGGAAAGTAGACATCGACGGGCCGAAACGGTAAACGAAAGGAATAACGGTAACGGCAGCACAGCAAGCCGAACGGACGAGATATATTGATGATTTTTTGACGGTAGGAAGAACAGTGCTCCCAGACAGAGACGACAGCGGGCAAGACAGAGCCCCTTTTAACGTTATTTTTTTAATAATAAATAGTTTAATAAACGAGTAACTAAACAAGTGACTGTATTAATAAAATGCTGTAACAATATTCCCATGCGTAGATTCCGGTATGAAGGCACCAGAAAAGGATTAAAGGGGATAAGATATTATATTTATTAAGTTCTCTCAGACCTTCTCACTCATTATGGAGATCTTAAATACTAGTACAATATTAATCGCACCTTCCTGCCATATACACTCCATCTTAGTCCTTAGTACGTACCAAAACAAAGATTTATCGTTTCATAAGTTATTTATATATTACTCGAAGAACTGCTGGAGTGTAATCTTCGTGAAATTGACAAGTGACAAATAATTCCTCAAGATCAAATATCCAAAAGAAAACATCTATTATAAGAGTACCTACCTACCTATCCAGAGACAATGCGTAAATAGATGACTAGGTAATGAATATAACTGCTACATACTACTTAGGTAGGAAGACAAAACTGTCAAGTCTGGTTTGTAGAGGAGAGCTAGCAATACTACTATACTTCTCGTCATTGGTTTCACATTATAGAAAAGATGATTTCAGCAAATTATATAAGCCTCTTATCTCCATCTAATGCTGCAGATGATGACGATACCTATGTAATGAAACCTGAAATATTGTATACTTGAATATATACCTGTTAAAAATCAAGCGAATCCAGGGATCTTCAACTTTCGAGCCACAAAATCGCCCACATGCAGTTCCAACATTGAAGGCTCAAAACCTTCAATGTTACTAGTTGCCTACCGATATGTCTGCTACACAAGCTGCATGACCAACAAGTACGCAACCTTGGGAGTCCCAGGTTTTGCTATTCTGTTGGCAGAATTCCAAGTCGTCAACAGCTGAACGGGTGCCAGCATACAAAATCGAAAATCACCACGGAACAATAGTCCCATCGTACTGGTTATTCCCCGGAGCGTTCTCCCACCCCCTGACAAGAATCTTCGGCATCTTCCCATTGTACTCCCGCCCCGGTTTGAGGATGATATCCAGCGAGGCCTTGGCACCCTCCTCGGGGGTTAAGTCTGCTGCGTCGCCGCCACCTAACTCAGTTTTCATCCACTAGACGCCGGCTTTAGTATCCGACAATACCTGATTTAAAGGAGAAGTGGGGAGGATACGTACGCCGGGACAGACCGCCATGAATGAGAAGCCTTCCTTTTCATGATCGATGGCGTATTGGACGGTAAGGGCATTCATGGCTGCTTTTGAAATCTTGTAAGCTGGGGCGGGGAAGTAATGTGCCGCGCGAGCTTGCGTGATAGAGGCTAGGTAGGATGCGCTTGGTATCGTTAGAGTCACGAAGAGGCTAAGGGATAGGTTATCACCTCACATGTTGGCAACTTTTTTCACCTTTCCCTTCCGCAGAAGCGGAAGAAATGCTTGGGTCACCCAGTGGACGCCGAGGACATTAGTAGTGAAGCTTTCTGCGAGATTATCCCTGAATGATGTTAGTTGACGGGTTTTCTGGTATATTCCGGGAGAGGGAAAGCTCACATGGATTTAACCCCATCGGGAGCATAATGGCACACTCCGGCATTATTAATCAAGACATCTAGACCTTTGCTTTCTAGTTTTGCTTCGACCTCGGCTGCTGCTTGCTTTATGGATGCTTCGTTGGTGACATCGAGTTTGACAAGAATGACCCGGCCAGATGAACTGTTTTCGAGCTCTTCCAGCGCGCGGGAATCTCCTCGTGCGGTTGCGAAGACTTGGCCGACGTCTGTGGCTGGGAGGGAAATAAGTTGGCGGACAAGAGCTAGTCCGAGGCCCCGAGAGGCGCCCGTCACGAGGAACGAAGCCATTATGAATATATTACTCAAAGGTGTTGGGTATAGGCAATTTGCGATAGGTGATTGGTGTTGTGAAGTGGGCTACTACTTTGTCGACTTAGGGGTAAAGAGCAAGGTGAGAGAATGGAGTAGGAATAATGTTCGGCGTTGGACGTTGAAATGCTTTGTTTGTCTCGTTCTCTAGCATAAATGATATACGCCTCCGTCCACCCCTCCCGTCCCAGCAGCCAGGTACGCCGTCGATTAGGTAACTAGTGGGCATGACAAGACGCCTTCTATGTCTCGGCCGGTAATCGATGGCCAATGCCAAACGCGCGTTACTTACGAAGATAACCGTCCCGGAAGGACAACCCCAGTTTAAGTCTTCGCATTAAGCGCCCTGTCGGTGATATTACCTAATAGTCCGCGCACCAATACTCACACTCGGGTCAAGAGGGTCTGGCATGCTGATGCTGTAACTGAAGGCTCGATCGAACCTGTCGCACAACTCGGTCGCAATGTCACTGGCGATGGACAGCTGGGTCTTCCTATGGTTTATCTGAAGTGCCTTGAACACTAAACTGAACCTTGGCACGGAATAGGGGAATAGGGGAAGTGGGCGTCGGGTGAGAGAAGCCATCAATTTCAATAGTCTGTAGCGGCCATTACGTGTAGTCTTCAGACATGAAATGGATAGGTTCAATACTTACTTCCTCTCATGACTAGAAGACAAGGACCGAGCCTTGTTCCCTTAAATCCTAAAGGATAAAACGAGATATAATCGCAATAAGCGATCAAGCGACATAAAAACCAACTCCTCTCATCTACCACCATACTACTGTTCACAAAATCAAATAAGTCAAATTCGTTAAACAGAGCCGGAGATGCTTTCATTCATAGCAATGCAATGCAGTGTTTCGATTAAGGCGTAGCAAGCTCGTGGTTGCCATCGTAGCCTCGTTCATACATACAAGCAAGCAGCAGGAATATAAGGCATGTCTCAAGCACCCAGTAGTTAAGCTAGGTAGCTAGAGACCCCTTTTCCTAACTGCGCAGTTCCAAAACAATAACTGACCCGTAACTGAGGTATCGTAGTCAGCAGCCATAGGCTTTCCTCCTTCTCTCCTCCTTCTCATCTCATTCCGTCGGCTCTCGTACTTCATGTGAATCGCACTTCTGGTTACCAGACTTCCTAGACTGCTTGCTTCTGATTGGACCCTTGTACTAGGCTCGACACCTAATATCATGGGAAGTGGATGTCGATATCGTGTCTGTAGTAGCCTTACTTCTTTTGCCTCTTAGCGCTCTTGTCACTAACGCTACTAAGCACGCTCAAGCTCCTCTTCCGGCCACCACTACTCTCGGGCCTCACGCTCTTATCCTTATCCTCTGCACTGATCTGCTTCTTAGCTGCGTCCGCGTCCGCACTCGCAGTCTCACCGTTCGTCTTCTCCGCTGCTCCACCTCCCGCACTAGCAGCATCTCCATTCGTCAAACCATCCTTATCTTTATCTTTATCCTTCTCTTCCTTAACCTCCCCGTTCGTCTTCTCCTCCGGCGGCGGAACCTTGCCCTCCTTCCTCTCCCGCTCCGCCTTCTTCGCTTTCTCGAGACGAATCTCCGCGTCCACCTTATCATTCGTCTTTCGCAAATCCAGCAACGTTCCAATGGCTTGGAGCAGCTTCTCCATCTCCTCGACAACAGCACGCGTCGGCATGTTCAGTCGACTCGGGATATCAAGCTCTGCCAACGTGTTCGTGATACGCTGGTGTTGGGCGTTGCTCTTCGTTGTGAGGATCTTGTTGATGCGCTCGTACCGGAACGTCGGGCCTGACGGTAGCCTATCGTGATGTGATACACCGTAGATTTGCTCTTCCTGCTCGGTGAGCTTCTTGCGTTCCGGCTGCGCACCCTTCTTCGTCGGGCGTTCGGGCCTCTCGCCCCCACCGATCGAGTCGCGGTGACCGGCGGTGACGGAGGAGGCGGCAATGCTCCCGCGGCGGGTTTCCGACAAGGGTGTGGAATTGGCAGGATGGCCCGAGGGATGTGCTGAGGCGGGCGTGTTGGCGCCGTTGGCTTCCATGAGGGACTTGCGCTTCTTAGTCTTGTCCACATTCATGAGATTCTGAAGCAGCGTCTGCAGGCCAGAGCTAGATTTGAACGCGTTGATATCCTGGTCTTGGTGCGGGTAGTCCAGGCGGTTGTACAGCTCGCGACGTTCTTGGTTCAGCCTCTCCTGGCGAGCAAGGATTCTTCGCACTTCGATGAGTAGCATCTCCTCCTCCCGGGCCTCTTCGCTGGACCGGGATAACGCGTCTGCCGCAAATTTCTTGCGCTGCGCTTCAGAGTTCGGATTGAAATTGGCCATGACCTCATGCAAAGCAAATTCGGCTTGCGTCATGTATTGCACGGGCTTCTGAACTGCCATCATCTTCGCTGCTACTTCATAATATCGGGCCTTTAAGTCCTCTAGTGATCGCACCTTAGACGCAGGAACTACGGCAGTGTTAGGATCGGTGGTGTCTCCTCCATCTCCATTTGTCACCTTCTCGGGCTTGGGTTGGTACTCGTAACGGTCCCATATGAGCGGCCATCGAAGATCAAAGAGTCTAGCAAGATCGAATAGGTAATCTGTCTCGTCCTTCGTCCACTCATCGCTTTTAAGGTTTGACTGGTATTGATCATCACTGTACTGGGGAATATCAACCTGCACGTTGAACTTGGCGAACGCCGAGTCTTCCAACTGTTCCGACTTAGTCTCCACACCTGCTCCATTCTCTCCATTCTGTCGTTCCTGAGGTCTTGCTTGTTCTTCCGTCTGCTTTCTCCAATGCCGTAAATGCAGCGACTGGTCGCCTCGCGCTGAATTGCGGAAGGGTTGTAACTCCCATCGCGCAGCTGGTTTACGGCTTCCGAATCGTCGCTTCTTGAATGCGGACAGCTCCGGTACGATCGCGATGGGGTTGTCGCCTCCCAAGTTCTGTACTTCCCTTGCTAGACCCTTCAAGTTTGTTCGCGGGACTCCAGTCTTCTGCTTCTTCGCGGGTCGTGAACCGCCATCGAGCGGCAGATTAAGCACGTCGCGAACGTCGTGCGAAGCCATGATTGAGGCTGCCGGCTGCTTGGTAGGTGTCAAACGGGATTGTGACGTGTCAGCAATGTAGGAAAGCAAATAGCGACAAAGGTTGCAAGAGCAAAGTGTGGACTTGGATTTGTTGGGAAATGTATTGAATTAGAAACTGTAAATGCGTTCTAAATAGTACATGGCAGAAATAAACGTAAGACGCTCGGAATAGTGGAATTTCTGTGGGTGAGTGGGAATCGGCGGTTGGATGGGTTCAAACGGTCGAGTATGCGGGTGGATGAAGCTGTATTGTCTTTGGAATGGAGAACCGCGGCGTGGATTTTTGGTGGTGTAAAAAAGTTGAAGACGGGATTAATTGCACCGTATGCGTCCAGATAGCAGTATTGAATAGCAGGGATCCTTCCATGGCCTGTTTTCTATATAGCACGTGATCGTCAACTTGGAAGGACCGGGCCTTATCGATAATGCTTGCTCACCCAATGCAAGGCCGCTCCTTTCTGGGCGACGTTTAGCGCAAGTTAGCGCTATCTAATCCCTGTACAATACCTAACTGGTTCTTTTTTCGAACGTGGCACCTTGGACTTTGGACTCTGGACCTTGGAATCTGCGAAAGCTTCACACGACCGCAGCGACGGCGCCAAATAAACAACCAACAATCACGACCTAGACCACGACCCAACCACGAACGAGCTCCACGACGACCAATTAAGAAGATAAATAATCCAACCCATTAGTGACCTACCTCGTTCCAACCTGGAAATATGAGGGCGCTTCTCCCTCTCGCGATGCTGGGCTCCGTCGCCCAAGCGCTGTACTTCTTCATCGACGGCACCACTCCGAAATGCTTCTTCGAGGAGCTGCCCAAGGACACTCTCGTCGTCGGCCACTACAATGCCGAGGAGTGGGACGACAACGTGCGGTCGTGGTCCAAGCACGACGGTATCAGCATCTACATCTCCGTCGATGTTAGTCTCCCTTTCCCTTCACGCCCCTGACCCAAATGTCAGGTTCTAACTACTCCTATCCCTTTCTCTCGTCTTCTCAAACCCCCATACATTCGTCTAAGCATATATGTATGTATATAAAAAGGCCATATACTGACAGACCACCACCCCCAGGAAATCTTCGACAACGACCACCGCGTAGTCTCGCAACGGGGCTCGTCCTCGGGCCGGTTCACATTCACCGCTGCCGACGCCGGCGAGCACAAGATCTGCTTCACCCCCAGCTCCTCCTCGGGGCGCCAGGGCTGGCTCTCCGCCCTCCAGCCCAACGGCGGCATCAAGCTGACCCTCGACCTGGCCATCGGCAGCTCCGAGATCGAGTCCACCGACAAGTCCAAGCTGATGGACATCAGCCAGCGCGTGCGGGACCTCAACGCTAGGCTGCTCGATATCCGGCGCGAGCAGATCTTCCAGCGGGTGAGTTTTCGCTCTCTTACAATTCCCCCTTACCTTTTCACGGCTGGCGAGCACCGTCCCCTTCTGCTAGCTTAATCCTGAGTTCTCCGTCTACGCTTCTATTTCTTCCCTTAGTATAGATGGATATCTAAACAAGGGGAAAACGGATTTGTTTCCTGAGCAATGGAGGACACTAGATCTACATGACGTGGAATCTCCAAGTCCTAGTAAAACCTATACTAACACCAAACTCCCAGGAACGCGAAGCCGAATTCAGAGACCAGTCCGAGTCCACGAACTCGCGCGTCGTGCGGTGGATGTTCATCCAAATCGTTGTCCTCGGCATCACCTGCGCGTGGCAGCTCTCGCACCTGCGCTCCTTCTTCATCAAGCAGAAGCTCACCTAGAATGCCTTATCCCTTTAACCCCTTAACCCCCACAAACCTTCCCCTTTTCCCTTTTTTGTAATGGGGTAATGGGCAGGTCACGATTTTGGTAGGGCAAAGAGAGAGAGAGAGGAGTTCTGGTTTCTTCTGTGTGTATCTATGATTAAAAAGGAAATGGAAATGATAGTCACTATCATCAACCTGTCTACGGCTACGAGGAACGTGAGAGACGCGACAAGAACTGCTGTGCGGAACATGCCCGGGTAGTAATAACCGCCTACACAGGAATTGTACACATGGTCGATCTTTGTATTGATAGCATGACCCGTGTCAAGGTCGAATTACGAATTATCAACAAATCTCGCAAATTATGGACAAGACATAGTGAATTATATAAGCTTACAAAGTAAATAGACTAGGTAATACAAGAACGAGAACACGATTGTCTTTGGAGAATGCCTTTTATTAATACTAGAACTTCGTAAATTTCCGATGCCACTAGAGTAGTGAGACAAAGAGGCACATTTTGCTATGCCCTCCCTTTCCCTAGGAAGCGTTGATTGCCTAAAAAGGGTTAGGCACAGAGGTTCAAGTCCCTTTCGAATTTAGGGGGTCACCGATGCATTATCTCCGGCATCGAAATCATTATCAAGTCTTTTTGCCCTATGTCCCTCTTCTACCAAACGCGAAACCTCGGTGCTGTATCGTGCACTTCGTCTGGGTGATTGACTTCCCCACTAATTGCCACACTCTGCACTCAACTCTCCTCCATCTTCATGTACTGGTTCTGCTTGATACACAACCCTAAACTCCAACTCCCAACCAACAACGCGGGTTCTCTCAACTCAACTCCCTCCTTTCTCAGGTAATTATGAATGGTGTATAAGGGGATGGATGACAGGAAAAACGAAACCCAATCCCAATGCTCGCCAACGGTTACAAATCCCACAAGCGCCGCGCTGCGCTCTACTGATTAAACGGCCTGTATCTATCTCATGAAAACGAGAGTCGTGAAAGGAAAAAGTATTCGTTCATGTCTCCGGGTTTGCGCCAAGCCTGGGATCCTTAACGGGAATTCGTTGCACTCGATCGGTCGTCTTCCCAAGTCTCCTAAGGGGAAATTGTGGAAAATTGTTCCGCGAACAGAGGTGTGGTTCGAAGATGTAAATCCATGGTGTCGGGAGTTCGATGGTGCCTTAAAACACATTATCCGAGTATGCCGTGCTGCCCAGGTTATGAAACCCACCCTTCCTGAACCCAGACAACCATGATATGTAACGACACGCAGCGATTCAGACGGTGTGAGGCGAACACCCTGACCACGGAAGACCAGGAGAATGCATTAAAGGTAATAAAGGTGGCGCAGGGAGCTTCATCCAGTAAAACGTCTCTAGTCTATACGAAATCGCTAGCATGCCAGAATGGGAAAACATTTAACCTGGTAATTTGATCAGCGGAAATGTTGTCGAAGGGGTACGTCGTCTCTACTCACCGCAGCACAGAACCTTCATGAACTTTTGGAATCCCGTCGGTTGAGGATCCGACGACCTTCCGTTGGCGGCCGCCGATGACCCCATGTTGGCCTGGGTTACCATCCTTGTTGGTAAGTTTTGGTTGCTGTTCTGGAACTGGGCCTGAGTTGACGGGGTTGGCGTAGCCATGTCCCGAAGACCCCCCACCGCGCTACCTCGCTGGGCTCCTATGGCGCCGGGGGCGTTTGGCCGGCGCTTGTCCGTCGGCCTGGCTGGAGACGGAGGTGGGGGCTGCGCGGCGTTTAAACGCTCGTGAGTTAGGCCGCCAGGTGTGTTGTTCCGAGACTGGTTGTGCAGTTCTCTCGCAGATATGCCCGGCTGTTTGTTAGGGTTATGGTACGGGCCGGGCTTATGCATAGCATCCCAGCCCTTAGATGACTCCTTGCTGATCTTCATCCAGTCGTACTCGCCATCCTCCACCTCGCCAGTGTTCTTGAGAGCTTGGGTGAAAAGCTCACGCAGGTAATCGTAGTCGGGGGTATCCTCGAAGCCAAGGTTCCTCACATAGGTTAGGTATTTGCTAAACTCTTCTGGGAAACCTTCACACAGATCCTTGATCGGGGTTGTTTGCTTCTTCTCGCCAATCTTCTCGTACTTCTGCTTATTGGTCGCAGCCTTCAGACCCTGCCACGGTAATCCGCCTCGGAGGAAGTACATGAACACATGGCCAAGGGCTTCGAGATCATCACGTCTAGACTGTTCACGTCCCAAATGAGTGTTGATACTCATGTAACGGGCAGTTCCGGATAAGGATTTCCGTTCTCGGTAGGGAATGTGCTGCTTCGTCTTGGGGTCTCGGTATTGCTTTGCCATACCGAAGTCGACAACGTGGATCACATTGGCAGCCTTAGTTCCAGGACGCCCGATTAGGAAGTTATCGGGCTTGATGTCTCGGTAGATGAGGTTCTTCTCGTGAATGGTTTGCACACGCGAGAGCTAGAATCTAGTTTAGCACTAAACGTTGTTAAAAATAGGATACGAGAGATGACGAACCATTTGTTTCGCTACCATCACCACCGTCTTGATTGAGAATCTTCGATTACAGTGATCGAAGAGGTCTTCCAAAGAGGGACCGAGCAAATCTATGACTAGGATATTATGGAGACCTTCCTGGCCAAAATAATAGACATTAGGGATACCGGCTGCAAATGAAATGTCAGTTTCAGTGGTTCTCAGATAAGGCTACGGCAGAGTTGACTTACGGCAGCCGACGAGAATCTTGTAGGTGCGGTATTCATCTCGTAGTTGTGGCGCGTCGCTCTTTCGGGGTTCCTAGAAATGTCTTCTGTTAGAACAAGTCTTGTCTCGTAACGTATCGCGGTAGCGAATTGACCCAAGGACAATAGGAGAAGTTCCGTCGTGGTCAAATGGAAGGCAACGAATGGAATGATTTGGATTAACTTACGAATTTGATGGCCACTTGCTGGTTATTTAATAGGTTGGTACCCTCAAAAATAACACCAAAGGAGCCTTCACCAATCTTCTTCCCTACTCGGTAATGGACACCGACGACATTTGACGATGAGGAAGCCATTGTGAATTGTCTGGGATGTCGAGGGTTATCACCGGGCTACGAGTTGAGGCCGACCAAAACGACGGATCAAGGAGGAAAACACCACGGTCGGAAGGGGATTGCGGATTGCTGGTTGCGAGTTGCAGAGTAAGCAATCGTCGCTGGCGTCCGTCAGGAGTATCTAGGATACTCGAAAAAAGGCGTCAGGAAAACCGAAAGCTCATCCCCTCGAGTGTTTGCTGATTGATTAGGACTCGAGGCTTGTCTCGCTGACGGATTTAGTCAATCCTTGCCAGATTATTGTTGGGTTGAATTGATCGGTCGGATGAATTGAATGGTAAGTGACTTGAGAAAGTGAAGATCAGAAAGGGAGGAATTTGGGGAGAAGCGGTCGGGGAACGGCAGTGGCTCCAGAAGTGGCTTAGGCGGGTCTCCTGGCTGGTCCTGGTGTACGGCTGGCCTGGGCTGGGTACTTTCGTACTTCATTCGTACTAGCCAAATTGCAGGTGTATTTTAGGCGGGGCCAATGTAATTATAGGTAGTGCTAGGGCCACCGTCAGTCACTGCCACAGCAGAGCACCTTACTGAAAACAGAACTAAAAATGGCTGGGCATTGGGGGCAATGGAGGGGCGAGGGCAGGAAACCGTTGTCCGGGTCAGGGGTACAAATTCCAACAAGAAAACTATCGGAAGTTGAGAATCCCATTCACCACGAACTTTGCTGTCCGGTATTGGTATTGGTATTGGTATTAGTTAAGATTTTGTATGACTTGCCTTAGGTAAATATTTTGTATTGCGAAGAGGATGCGTGTAAATAAAGTTCGATCACGAATTCCTTAATAGTCGCCCAAGCAACATTGAATTACTTACCTGTACATATGTACTTGCATATTTGCATATGTCAGAAATAAAATGTAATAACCAGTATTCGGGTTGCCCGTTACATGCGTTAAATCGTTAAATCGTCAAATGAGATGGACCCCTGAGTCTAGGTCCGTTAGCTTTTGATCTAATTGTTCGCTATCCGGTAAAATCATTGGCGTTCCAGGTTTTCTTAACAAACATCGAAAGAACAATAAACTACGATCGCTACAATATATAACCCGGAATAAGATCAAATGAAACAAGGCCATGAACCACCATGAACCAGATTGCCACACAATGTGTCGCCTCGCTTGCCTCGATTTCCGGAATATCCAGATGTCCAACGCTAAGGAGACAGCAAGCGATGCATTAATGATCTACCCTCGTCAACCAACAATATGCGAAAGGGGATGTAAGATCCGAGTGATCTGAGCCAGACTTCGATAAAGCTGCGTTGAGTTTCTGTGACAATTATGCACTCCATCTTAGAACTCTTCGCAACTCGACTCGACTAGCTTCTGATTCACTGTCATACAACCGCGGACATAAGTCTTCTACAACTCGCCTGCCCGCCTAGATCAAAAGAACAATAAACAAAGGACCGAAGTCATATCGAAGGGTCCAAATCGATGTTACATAGCTACATGTGGTTTACCTAACAAAATCCATGCTAGTCTCGGCCGGTCTGGGAAGTCCGGTAATTGAATTCTGCAGTTGGCCAGATCTTCCGTCCATCTCCATCAGCTCTCAGGAGCCAAGAGCTATATCAAGTCGAATTATATATCCATAACTGCTGGCTTCTGAGACCTCTAAGGTTGCTCGTGAACCACAATTTTCACATGTAGCACCTGTTGCCGTACAGCCGTCGAGCAAGAATCACGATTCCCATTGTTATCACAAAATTTCATGGCCCAATACCAATACAGCGGTTATCGCCGATCTTAGTGCTGATAGATTGACATTCGATCGATCTATTTTGCCTACCGACCGTTTTCCAGAAGTTTTGTCGACCAGCCCAAGACTTCTAGCTGTACTTAGTACAACACACCATACTTGTAGCGTCGAAGGCTGTCATTCCTTATCATGAGGGAACGTGTTTCAAGAATTTCCCTAAAGCTTGACCAGCTAGTTAGTCCTTGGCTGTTCCGACTCGGTGTCGGACTTTACCCCAGGTATACTAGCATGTCGTGGACTGCGCATTTAACGACATTCAAAGTTCGCTTCATGAAATACTTCAACTCTTGAGACATCCCGCCTATAGCCTCCCTATTCCCAGGCCAGTCAAATGAGAATACTAGCAATAGTAATCACATTACCGCACCGATGACCCCATGGAAATCGAGGAGCCACTCAAGTCCAATATACTAAGACAAGGCTCTCCGAACAATTATCGCCCAGCTGAATACTTCACTTACACACATAGACACTAAATATACCTATGTATCATGGCCGCAGTAACAGCCCGCCTCGTACCAGCGTAGCACGTACAACACGTGCATGTCACTCCCATAACAAACACAGCGGGTGGGTCGCGCTGACAACTCAGCAGTTTGCCGCCCGCTAGGATCGCCGAGCCCGTAGCTGAAAACAGCCTTGCGTACATGCCGAGTTTTCCCGTGGGGGTAGGCAGGAGCTGAAATCCGAGTTTGGTCGATAACGTTCGCGACTCTACAGGCAGGCAGGTAGGTAATTACGGTAGTCGAGAGTTTCAATGTTCGTATTAACAGCCCCGAGCCTACCCAATTCGGGCAGGAGACGAAGTGGCGCATGTCCGAGACGCCTGCCCCTACGCAGGATATATCGTATGCCGCGACCCGAACCCTTGTTTCGACTTCATCTCTAAACTCCGCCCATTATCTTCATTGTGCTACATACATGCAGTCTTACTTACCCCTCAAACTTCAACATCAGAGGGGGGGCTTTGCACAAACTCGTCCATAACCCGCGAATCGAGACGCAGGAAAAGAAACCCAAGTTTGGCCGTTACGTCTTACCAGAACGGGAGTTAGACGCCGTCCTTACATGCGTTTTAGACTAATAAGGATGGACTTGAGTAAGACAAGCTTCCGTGTCAAACCTGTCAGCAGGCCAAGTGATGCACCCCAGGTCTCACGAGACATTTGAGTTTAAGGGGGTAGTTTTTGAGTTTAACTTTGAGGTAATTGTGTCTTTGCGGTTGGATCTAGAATTACTGATCGCCTATGCGGGCTTGAAGCTATATTGCGCCACTAGATACTAGGTAGGTATGTGCGTTTTATAGGCTGGCAGATAGAAATTGCATATTCACGAGTTAACCTACATCGACATAGCCACTATTGATGACTTACATATGTGGGTTGGTTTTCCAAGGCTCAAGTCAGATGTCAATATGTAGCTCAACCATATAAGCCTCGGTAGTCATTTCCACCAATACGTCAGTTAGGATTCTCACCATCTCGACAATCTACAGATTTAGCGCTTATCCAGCCTACCCCTATTCCCAAATAATAGGTACCTATATGTATTCAGTCTACGCCAAAGCGACGAGTCTGTCTGGCCATAAGACATGTGCCGGATGTTGACTCCTGAGCTTAGTCTGACCTCCGACCCGCCGTAGCAAACACCGATTAGCCATCGTCGCAGAGTGTCTAGGACATCTAGGAGATCACCGGAATAAAGCTTATGTCTCTATAACGGGGACCGACAGCGAATGGTTTATAGCAATGGTCTTTTGAAATTCCGAGTTCAGATCAGTATGGTAACCGCAAACATCTCGTTGATTACCTACTAAGTAAGTAGGTAGTATTGCGCCGAGTAATAGATGGACAGATGTGAAAGACAAGGCGATTTAATGTTGCTTATTATTCTCTAATACAATTCGGGGCGATTCTGGGCGATTACATATTGCAGTGCAATCACAGCCAGTTTGCTCATCACGTTTCTTCAACCAGAAATTATTTTGATATACCACAAATGCGATGCACGGGCAACACTTTTACATTGGTGTGGCCATGTCACCGAAAGAAACGCGAGACTGTTGTTTGCAGCGGCTTCTACGTCCTTATCTAATATGAAATGCGTACCCAGCCAGCAGCGACAGAAATACGAAACTTCCATAGTGCCGGCAAGCTTCCTGTTGAAGAGGACTCCGCAGGGCGATGGCTTTTTTTTTTTTTTTTTTTTTTTTTTTTTTTAAAAAAAAAAAAGAAACCAATCTAATGTTCAAGGTGGCATTATTAGAAAGACTATTTCGAAACGAGGAGATGGCATAGGGGATAGATATGAATGATACAGACACGCGAAGCCGATCGGTTCTTGACACGAAACAAGACATCTACACAATGCGTGCATTACCGAAATTCAATTTTGATTTGACCTCCAATCATTTATTACCTTATGAGTTTGCACTGTCCCGTGATTGCTCTGCCCAATATCTCGTGTAATCCGCATCAGTGCTTTTGATACCCAGTAACGCCGGTTTCCTCATGCGTATGACGCGAGCCAAATCCCATCCAACTCGCAGAATGCTCCGACGGTAGCCTTGTCAAGTCCGTGTCCCTACGTGGCTTGGCGGGTATATCCCAAAGACCAAGTTGACCGAACCGAAGAAAATAAACGCCCAATGCCTAATGCTCCTTTCATAGCTGCACAACGTTATTGAGCAGTCGTACCTCCTCTCCGGGCTTGAAGGCTGGCAATCCGATGTACGGACATCCATCGCAGCGGAAAGCGTCACCCAGGGAACAGTTACCACACGATCCGACTTTCCCCTTCACAGTGAAATCGACTTCAGTTAGATCGTTGGAGGTGAGCTTAAGGGATTCGAGTTTCGCATCTGCTTGCTCTCTCTTGGCTTTGTCCTCGGCCTCAATCCTCTGGGCAAGACCACAGGTGCAGTCCTTGCAAGCACGTCGTCGTTTGCCAACCTTGGGTACGCATTCCGCAGCTAGGATGCTAGTTAGAGCTTGATCGGTGAAGATCACTATTGGGAACTACTTACGAATTGCCAGTGGCTTGTTCAAATCCTCCTCCGTCAGCAAGGTATCCTCATCAATCAACTCATCATCGCCCTCGTCTTCGGGAATGCCAAAGTCACTGGTGAAATCTACGAAGCCGACGCCAGCAGGTACCGGCTTAACAGCAGGGGGCACCATGTCGAGGCTCGTATCCTTGCCGTTGGTTTGGTGAACGGTGACTTGCTTCATAGCAGGACCAGCAGCACTTCTCTTCTTGTTCTTGCCAAACCCTAGCTTAAGGGGAACGGCAGTACTAGCTCCATTGTCTGGCTTTGTGAAGCCATCAGTCCCAGGTAACAATCCAGACAACAATGCCTCTCGCGCATCAGGTGCTTGGCTGTTTTGCGCTAGAGATCCATCCTGCGCTTGAATTTTGCCGCCCACTTTCAGTGTTGGTACGATCTTGGCAAAAACGTCACGGTTGAGGAGGAGAGTGGATTCGGATCGTGTACCGTCGGCGTCGGTCAAAACTAGGATGAGGTCGTACGTAGCTTCGGGCAGGTTGACAAAGCCAGCTGAGAGACGGTCAAGCATCTGCAAGTCGGTAACAGATCGGTCATGGGCAGCTAAAACACCTCGTAATTTCTCCTCGTGGCTAGCGATAGAAGGCGGGGCTAGGAGAAGTGTTCGGGCATTAGAGGAGCCATTCTGTGCCGTGTTTGATGGGAATACGTCAAAATCAGACGTGTTATCAATAGTGACGATTGACGGTGACATGGTGAAGGTGATGTGCGCTCGTTGCGCCTCCAAGTTAAGAACTGTGGTGGAAAGTTTGTCGCGTTGATTAACTTGAGAGGCGACGATGTTGACGAGAAGTATTTTCGGTGGGGTAACACTGATGCAGGAAAACGAGGGGCAACTAGTGTAGAATGCAGGGTCTCTTAAAGGAACTTCCAAGGTTGCAACATAAATTTCACCGTTCTAAGGGCCAGATATGGGCGGTGAAGTAAGTCAATGGTCGGAATGAGTGTGGTTTAGGATTACAAATTAGATTCGTGAGGTGTGCTAAGGTAAGGTTCTTGTTAGGAGATGGAGCGGAGATATGGATTGGTAACACAGGATTAATAAAGGCTTTTACAGCGCAAGTGCGGTAATGGATAGCGCTTGTTCGCTGATCAGAAATTTTATTGGTTATGACGAATGTTTCTCCGCGCGATTGTTATCAGATCCGATTGCGGCGCGACAGTATTTCCTCGTACTGTAAGAAACTTTATGCCCAAAAATACCTATTTCCTGCCTTTAGTAATACTATGTGGTACATTGTATTACTTGCATCCTTATTGGTTCACGGGTCTAGCCCTTAACTGCCTTGATTGGTCTACAACCTCGGCAAAGAAATTGTTGGTCCTTGCTTCTTGTACGACAGCAACACCTCTCACAACCTGGAAACACCATCAATTCAAAAGGCTGCGATTATATCGTCAAGACCACAAAGACAATGGATATAGGTAAGAAGGCCTGGAAAGTACCTACCTACCTACCTAGATACCGAGACAGTGTATGGTGTTGACTTACTACGATTAATATCATATTGGCTTAAGAGCCTAATCCATTTATCTTGGAGCTGCCATTTGCTAGACGTATGCGTTCTAGCTGCTGGGGTCCCGAGGTTGCTATGCAAGAAAGGCAGCAATTCAAGGCAGAGACCTGACTGTCACGGCTTCAAATGAAGCTTATCATCATTATGCTCGTTTTCTTCTCTCACACCTGCGACTATTACGGTAGACGCTCAAACATACTTGGCCCCTTCATACCTGTAGCTACTATCATGAACTACCTATATCGTGATATTTAGCTACAGCGAGCGTGATGAATTGGTCAAGTTTTTCAACTGAAGTTCTGCTGATGGTATTAAGAATGGTCCTCTCGATGGAAAAGGCCGGCCACTGCCTTTTCCACCGCATGCAGAGAATAGCAGGCCGTCCCCGTGAAAAAACATTTCGAGCGTCAACAAGGCATATCAGATTTCGCTACGATTGTCTAAGGATCGAAAGAGAAGCTGGCCAGGCATATTTGGTTGCTGGTTGCGCTTGATACTTACAACTACAAGCTATGCAAGGCGTTATCGAGTGTTACGACGCTGAGAAACATTGGTGTTTTTACTGCCGCGATGAAGATTCTCTTTACAGCCTTATTTCATGGAAAAGACCTTGCTGTCTGAGTTGCGAAGGTTTGATATTTGAAATATGCGCAGGCATATTCGCCAAGTGATTCTGAACATGTCTTCAAAAATCATAATTTCGCACATAATCCTTTCTCCGAATCGTACGAGAACTTTCGAGCACCGATTATCCCACTTATATGGACCCAAGATTTGTCGATAGAACTTACATGTGGTACGGAGGTCATCTATTCCCGCTGGAAGTTGTTGGTCATGTGGTATATGACCTCGGCTAGTACAACTTGAAATTTGGTGACTTATGGCTTGAGCCCTCAGGAGCTGATTCACTCCCCAAAGGTAAATGTGAGTACCAAATTTCTTATTCAAAGGCAATTATCGAAGGATAAACACTTGGTCTAGGGGGAATTTTCGAAAGCTTGACTGGGCTGCGGTAAACCATCTACGAACATGGAGAATATGCGTTTAATCATCTCCAATTCGGAGATGATCCGGGCGGGCAAATGCTAATTTCTGCAATATTGGAATAGGCAAGATACCGTAAGGCTGCTTAACATCTAACAACAGTTATGCAGACTAATTTTTGGACATTCACTGTCGCGGACCCTTGAAAGCCTGACTCTTCTCTCAAATCGTGAAGAGTTTTTAGAGCAAATTATATCTCCCCTCATTTAGCTCATGGATAATTGCGAAGCCCAAAGAGAAATTCCGTACGCTCAATTCTAGTCTGGAAAAAGCAAGTCAAAACCTCGAGTATTTGTCTCCCACCTTCGTCATCGATACTGATGACTCTTTCCATCCGTTTCAGCCGACGAGTTCAGCTTCTGCCGCCAGAGCTCAGCATTAACTTCAAACTATAGCTCTCACATCGAATCTTCTGGATGTAAAGTCATACGGATCGGTTAGTAACCTACTTGATATTGCACGCATTGCCGTAAGAGCCATGCCCTACCTTCAGGCCATGAAGATCTAGAACAGAGAAGACGATGAACGCGGCTGTGCCTTTCGCTATTGTCACGAGGAGACAAGTGTCACCATCATGTACGTAGCATAGTAGTTGAAGATCCAAGTTAGCGGACTGTATTGTTCAATCTTGAGCGAGACAGTTCACCAAAGAAATTCCGATCTTGAACTCCATATTGTGTATACGAAGTTAACAAGAGACGGGACGAAATTTCCTGCTTCTGTCCGCTGTCATCTGAAGCTGAAAGACTGATTGATATATCGTGCCTTATCGTCGGATCCAACTTATGGGGGAACCGGAAAGGTATGTACATAAGGAGATGTGATATTTCTCAATATTTGACGATCATCTTAGTGGCGAGCAAAGTTGGATGTTCTGGATGCTACAGTTAGGTACTTATGCACCTAGGTATGTAGGTAGGTAGGCAGGTAGGTGGGGTCTGATTGGTTGCGTAATCCCCCCGTGTTTATATGTTGCCGAAATGGCGATCGAAGATGACATACATTGTCTCAAAGTGTCAACGCTGTTAGTGTAGCTTGAATGAAACCCCCGACTTCGATAGTATTCCGTTAAATTTATTCTCTTGAACAGAAATCGGCCAAACTAGAATTGCCTATAAAAGATGACAAGTCAACATAGATAAATAAATCATTAACAATAGATACTAGGTACTTATTGTATAGTAAGATCTTCATCGTCACCTTTTGCGTTATTTACAACCTTGACGGACCCAGCTTCCTGAGCCATCATTGCTGACCACACAGGAAGCGTTTGGGATTGGTTGATTGGCTGAAAGGAATGAAGAGGAGGTTCGATAGAGTTCTACGTAAGGTTTATGGGGGATTATGGGGCACGGACAGTGAGCCGCGAGTTAATGTGGGCTTCCCCGCATTCTGCATTCTCGCGCAGCCGCTCATCATCGCCTGGGACAGAAGGTATGGATGTACTAGGTACAACCTTGGAACATTTACTGCACATAAAATAGTGTCGTACTTACCATTTCTATGTAGGACCCTAGGACCCTATGTACAACAACAGGGCTACAATAATACCTGGGGTAGAAGTGGGTCAGTACATTCCGTTTTCTGGGCGTGTGACATAAATCTGCATTTCTCCTTTTTCGTGTTCCATTCTAAACTTCCCCTTTTTCATATATCCAGGGACATCAAGAAAATAAACTCCTAACAAAAGGGGGGATGTAATGCTATGATGCAATTCAATACGAATTGAGCCGAACATCTTGTCGAAATGGAGAAGTTGGCAGGTTGGATACCTACATTTCTATCGGACGTGGATTGATCGGGTAAATTCTCGATAATTCGAGATCGACAAAAGTAGACTAAACCCAAGACGTCCCAAGACCATCAAGATTGAACAGGCGAACAAGATGGGCCTAAATATCTTACCTAATTGGCTTTTGTTGGTAATTATGCAGTGTACCAAGTTACCATCCACCTGACTATCTAGGCTGCCGATTATCTCCTATTGGTCAAACGGACTGGTGCTTTTCTCTCGATTTCTATGAATTCAGGAAGTCGTGAATCCATGATCCCCAAAAGCCGGGACCCCTGTCTCACGACTTACGCTAAGCCACTCGGTAATCGTCCCCGGTCGCTAAAGCTAAGAGGAGCATTGAAACGGCGGAAAGCCTGAATTACTACATACGCCGTTGTCGATGGCGTGCGGAGTTAGAGCTCTTTTTGTGGTCGATCATGCTTGAACTTTCTTTGAGACCGGTCTATGTGTAGGTCCTGAAAGAAGAAAGAGGATTGGGAAAGGTTGAAAGGGATCCAAGGTTGTAACGGCTGGAACGGCGAGGGCCGCGAGGGGCGCTGTTACTTTACGATTGTTCTAAAACGTAAAGCAATTGGCCAATAGGGTCATTCTGGCTCATTTTGGCTTCAGCGCTCACACCACCCTTGAGCAACTTGAGCACCTTAAAGCTTGCGTCAACCGGTCACGCGACTGGTCGGCTCTCGATTGCCCCATCAAAAGATCAGCTCACCCCTAGTTGACCCGCAATGGAAGAAGGTCGTTCGAGAACTAGCAGCTATCGCGTGCCTCCCTTGCCAACCTTGGTAAAAGAGCTTGATGTTAGCTACGTCGCTACATGATACATGCCAGATCTGAGCAATTTGAGCATGTATTCTGACTCAAACCATCAAATCAGGAGGCCACGGGGAAGAACAGGCGGGAAGCTGGCCTCTTCAATCTCCCCGATCCTCACATCTCTCCTACGTTTGGGTTGTCTTAAAAGCCAGACCTGCCCATCCATTGAGCTTCTTCCAAGTCTCCAACTAATCCAACAGATACATACATACCTTCAAACCGTTCATACACTGACTGACACACACATACGCACCACACACTCAGCCAAAGCAGCCAAAGACATATTGATGCAACCCAACTCCTCATTCGACTAATAGCTACCAGAACCACCCCACCTTCATAGCCAATTCATCCACTCTTTATTAGTTCGTTCGACCACTACCGGGTCCCATAGAAGAGCTCAGCTGTTTGTACGACTACTTCTACTAGATCTTAGACCGGTCTTGATATCTTCTCCTCTTTCAACTCCTCACCATCTTAATCACCTCACCATACATCTGCTCTACTTTACCCTCTTCTTAACTAGATTCTTCCCTTCATCTACTCTTCATTATTCATCTTCGTCTACAAGCCATTGGGGAATTCATCAACATCCATCTAACCTAATCGTCTACATCCTTTCTTCCTTCGTCGTTCTAAACCTCCCATCAAAAGTAAGTATATCCAACTCTTATGCCCACACAATCCTGCCCATCCCCGCATGACCCTTGTGTGACGTGCTCATCTGGTAGTTACCATGATCCATGTCCCATATCCCAACCGCCAACATCAACACCAAAGGTTAAGGAAACCAGCGTTAGAGATGATGGCTGTATACATGACATCTAAACAGATATTGCTCAACACAATCCAATTACTAACATGACACCATCTACAGTGACTCGTTCACACAAGTACAACGACAAGGACCATGCTGGTCTTGCTGAGGGCACCGTCCTGCCTCACGAGAACGTTCCTAAGTTCTTTGCCAAGAACGGCTTCGAAGGTGTCGACCCAAAGAAGACGAAGAAGAATGGTGGAGGCAAGGCTAATTGGTAGGTTCAGCACCATATATCCTATATATCATTCCTACCAATGACTATGTCAATGGTGGGATATGATATTGAACGAATCGTCATTAGATTATCAAGTACTGACCAACCATATTTAGGGGTTCAGCAGGCGAAGAGGTAGTCGATGAAGACTTCAACTTCGTCAACGCTCGCCGCCGCTCTAACAGCAGCGGCTTCTCCAACCACCTCAACGACTTCAAGACGAAGTTTGAGTTCAATGAGCCCGAGCCTGTCTTCGAGGAGAGCATCCACGGCCCCGAGGTTGAGGACGAGAACGCCCTCGCGAAGACCGAGACCTCCTCTAGTGCAGGAAGTTCGGCAGACGAGAAGGAGCAGAAGTGAGATCCTTCGCATTCTCGATTCATTTGACCTTGTCGATGAGCGGAAGACCATCCGCCTCTATCATCACGAACCAACCCCTCTAATTGCTACCATTATGTGTGACTACGACTTAACCTAAACCATCACTTTTTGAACGTTTGTGTGTGGGATCTTGCTATTGCTGTTGCTTTGAAGCTGGCTTAGTGGAATTCCCTGAGGAATTTTTATGAGACCATGAGTACGTCTTCTTCCGTGTTTAGCTACCTTATCAATTGTTGCTGGGCCGGGAGGAGATTTTCGGTGGGTGGCGCGTCTCCGCCGGCGGTGATTCGTGGGAGGCCACCGATCACCCAGATGTATTATTACAATCACATGTAGACCTGGGTTCGGTTCATGATACGGACTCAATTGTCATTGTACTAACATCAACTCAACTCTCCTCTCCTCTCATCGTGCATGTATCTAGGTAACCACTCTTCATTCTTAATCATTAATCAGATACTTGATTTTGAGTAGGTCTGTGCTATTACCTACTAACCGTTCCATTGGCATCTTTGGTACTTGTATAATCGGTGCGTGGACGTTCCATCGGAAATTCAACCGAGGATAAACGTAGATTCCGCCTTTTCCCACTCTTCATCCTGATTCTTAATAGGAACGAGGAAATTCTTCAAGGCCCGCGCCGCAGGCTTCGCCTCTATGCTCTCCACCTTTACCGTCTCGACGCGATGGGATCCTATATAGACCGCGCCGTCCGCGTCCTTGTCCTTGGGGACCCAGACCGCGAGCCGGGTTGTCTCGGGTCGGACCCGTTCTTCCTCCGCGATGCTATTAATGGTGCTGGTATTGGCACCGGTACCGGCATTAATACTAGGAGTAGGAGTAGGAGTAGGAGAAGGAGAGGGGGAAGAGTCCTGCTCAAGTACCAGCGAGTGCAGCGCGAGCGCGTCGCTCGGCACGGAAGCCGGGTGCGCGCCGGATACCCGCTCGAAGATGACGCGCTTGCGCGCGCCGTTGCGGTCCCGCGACCAGAGCCACAGCGGCCCGAGGACGCGGTAGCGGCACAGAAGCTCGGGGACCCGGCGCGCGTTGATCTGGCGGTCGGCCTTGGTGATCTTGGGGGCGTGCTGGAGGGGCCGTCCCTCTGCCTCCCCTACGTCTACGTCTACGTCTACTTCTTGTAGAGGAGGGACGTGCACGCCTTCTCTCAACCCCCGGATTAACAGGTCCGCTGCTACGGGCGTAATCGTGGCTAATAGGGACTCGTAGTCGAGGTCGGGTGGGATGTGTAGTGTTGGGGTTTGGGCTAGGATTTTGCCGTGGTCGAAACGGGTTGGGTCGAGTGTTTGTAGCGTCACGCCTGTGGAGGTGCGGCCTGAGAGGAGGGCGTGGTGTAGCGGGGCTGGGCCGCGCAGGTCTGGGAGTAGAGATGGGTGGATGTTGAGGCCGCCGAAGCGGGCTTGTTGGAGGAGACGGGGTGGTACGAAGAGGCCGAAGGAGACGGCTATTATGATGTTTGTTTTTGGTGGCATCTAAATACGGGGGTTGGGTTAGTGGGATGGGACTATGAAATAGATATGGGATGGGATTTGGTTTTTGAGAGGTGTCTGAGGGTTTGTTAAGTTGAATAGAAGGTATAAGTGTACGATAGGTGGATGATACGATATAGAAAAGGGGGGTTGCTTACATCCCATCCCGTAAAAGTATCCCTCTCGTGAATTGGTAAACCCAGACTCGTAGCTAGATCTCTGATCGGTGCTATTATATAGTGGATTTTTCGTTAATACATATTCTCGCTTCGCTTTTCTCGATCATTGCGGCTCTCACTCTCACCACCGTATATGCCCGTCTTCATCTCATCTCATTCCTATTCTCATCCGTATATCTCCACCCTCATCTACAAAGCTCTACCCCCCGATACAAAAAAAGGAAAAAGAAAGCTCAATACTCACGATGCACAACATCCCTATTCCCCCTCCCCGCCCTCTTGCCAGGACGCACCACAACATCGATCGACTCAACCAACGCCGGATCACGCACGTGCTCCCTATGCAGCGCTTCTAGCGCCGCGCAGCTGAACCTGTCGGAGCCGCAGAACAGGACGCGCAGGGGTTCCGACTTCTTCACGGCCTTGATTTCCCTTTCATCGGTTTGTGATGAATTGGCGCCGGAGTTGGTGCTGAAAATCCTCGCCTGCCGGCAAGTCCGACGTGTCCCTGGCGGTGGCGGTGTAGCCGTCGTCGTGCGTGTTCTGGTCAACGTTTGGAAGGATACCGGGCGCAGAGCACGAACTTCCACCCAGGCCGTTCTCAGCGCGCGGCGCGATCCGGCGCGGATGCTCGCAGCGGCGGCGGCGTTGCGGAGGAGTGGCTGCATCTCGGGGACGCCCTTTTGTCCCTTAGGACCCAACTCCGCGTATCAGTTGCGGCGTAGGTACTTTGTCTCTCTAGTATGTTCGAGTACCGGAGTAAGCAAGCTACGTAGCTTGTTCGTATGAGGACGCTAGGTAGTTGTATAAGAGCAGAGGGGGATAAGATAGGTCAACGCTACCGAGATACGATTTGCGCGGTCTTAATTGAACATCTTAATGTGCACTTATAAGAAATAGCCGGCTTTCTATGAATACTATCCCGTCTTAAATCATAAGCCATCAAGTCTTGCTGTTGAGTTGAGTGGATTCAGGTTTATATGAAAATGAGAGTTCAGTCCGTCGATGAGATTTCTTAGCACGTTCGATACTGCGTACCGTTTAATACGAATTGCTTTTTGGCGGTTGACTAATGCACATAACACGTTTTCCCTCCGGTTATATAAGCAGTTTATAACGGTAAACTGTCATAAATTCTTAGAGATTGATATCAAGCTTAACTAGCAGCTTCATAAATAATAACTTGAATATTTGTTTGAATATACGTTTTACTATTTTATGTTCATTATTTATATACGGGTATCTATAATCTTATGAGTTAATTGAGAGGGCCTCATGCCTCACTAGCGGAGGTCGATGAAACAACGTCCCTGATGACAATATCTTCAGATAAGTTCTCGCCTCATTTACGCTAATAAATCATGGGGACATCAAGTAGATTGGCATCCCCTATAACAGGGTCATCGATACTTGGGTAGGTTGTATCGCATGGTAGCCTCAACTGAGGCGAAGACGCAGAGTCGCATTGCAGCCCCTCGCACTTCATATCCCCAATTCTCAAATCGTGGAGCTGTGACTCAAGCTCGAAGGGAATGTGGAAATAATAAGACGCAATATCGACCAAATCTTTGCTGTGTCCTCTCAAGCGGAATAACGCCTATCCCCGAAGTTGCGCTAGAAAATAATTCGCGACAGAGAGGCCCAACAAGTGTGGTTATAATAGAGTCGTTATTATTATCGTGTCGCACGTACGGGTGGTAGTATCGACGAATTCAAAGACACACAACGGGTCTTCTAACTTTTTTTTCGTCTCCACAAGTGATACGCGTCTATGGAGTAGCGGTGTACTTCCCCGTAAATTATGACTTGCTGTTATGACGCGCCCGGTCTCTTTCGATAATGGCGTGAGGAATCGCTCAACGAATTGAATTATTTAAGCCGTCCGAACTATGAGCCTGTCATGCCATCCCCCGATTGCCAGAATGGAGAGCCTGTAAACCCTGGAGATCGTAGTAAGCGAATTCGTCATCCGGACTGGCGGCCGGCATCGCGTTCGCCGTGGTAATCGGCTCCAGACTGAATTCGCTGCCTTCCAAACTATCGTTCGACATTCGTAAGGTATGCTCAGGTTGCGGCGGCGCCGGCGGTTCGGAATCGTCGGGGATGGTTATTGCTCTCCAGGACGGGTTATCTTTCTCATTTCGGGAGTTGCGCCAGCTGACTGATGCCTTTCGGGAATGGTTGTGCCAACTTATCGACGCTCGATTGGTCCAATTCCTAACTCGTGTGGTGAAGACGTTGAACAATGGGCTAAATGTTGCTGCGCACGCGCAGATGAGGCCTGTGTTGACCTCTATTATTGAGAAAGCGAAACTAATACCAGCCCACCAAGGCCGATCATAGATTGTTTGGTTGTAGGTCGAGATGGCCCATCTCACGCAAGCGACTGCCCAAGCTCTATGGTCCCTGTTAGTCATAGTCCCCAAGACAAACTTCCTTTTCAAGGCACCTACATAAACCCGCTGCTCAGAGCGAGACTGAGTCCAATTTTCTGCTTGGTTGTCGGAAACTGTAACTTCCACACCATTACTATGGGAAGGATGGCGATGATAAGGTCGCTTGTCATGTGTCCAGCTCCATACGCGATGTTCGCCGCGATGGTGTTTATACAATGGCCCGGTAAGTTTGACTGCCAAGTCTTCGCGATCGGATGGCAGCCCAAGAATTGGGTGAGAGCGTTGCATGTCAGATATCCGAGCGTGTAAAATAAAGTGATGTAGCACGCTATCCTAAACTTGCGGTGGACGCCGAAGAGCTGTAAGTATAGCAGAAGTAACGAACTCTTGAATCCGGCTAGGCTTAACACGTAAAACTCAGAAGAGATGCCGATCCAGAGGTAATATTGCGAATTAAGCTCTGGCGTAAATTGCCATATGTGTAAACCCATACCATGATACGTCGCGATGCCCATTAGTACTGCGTGAATAATGATGGCAACCATCGTCGCCGCGACGACGTCTGTATTATTAATGAGCGTAACCCGAATAGAGCGTTCGGGTTAAAGACCTACAGTCATCGAGAGCCCATGATCTCCTCACAACATAGGTTCGACAATAGAACCTAGCGGCCACGAAAACGAAGGTTATGAATGGCATAATCACCGCCGTCCTCCACACATGAACACCATTCTCGGCCGGGAGCTTCGGGACCACGACATTCTGATTCATCTCGACTCGGCCGAAAAGGAAACATAAAAAAAAACCAATAAGATGCTTCGTTTACGAGTAAGAGGCGGGAGCTTAGGTTGAAGCTATATGACAGTCGATAGTTGACTTTTGGCCCGCCTCCGATCAATAGACTAAGTATGTGGGCAAAAAAGCGCACGAAACGCTATTGAAGAACCATTTCCCCATCCTCGCAAGAACGAAACTTGCCACGGTGAGGTACTCGTCCTAGATTTAAATAACGTATCAAAGTCCTCTCGGGGAGACATGGTAGGCGAGCAGGTGTGATAACCTTGGATCCGCAAGCAAGCAAGCGTTACGGCATCGGGCAAGGATGTGCATCCTGCATCTCGTGGGTGGGCTGCAGCGGGTTAGGGCTGCGACCTTGTCGACCACTCATTCTCCCTAGTGCCGGACCCTTGGGGTCTCGCGGCAGGCAAATAAGCCTGGGAGTGTAGGACTTTACTATCATATCGGAGAGAATGCCTGATGTAGAAGGGGCGTGTCTTGCATCTTGGTACTGCCCTGTCCGCAGTACGCCACAACCGCTGCCGGCTTGTCATCGACGTTTTCCACGGGGGCTGGCGCGAGATGCTCACTTATGTGCCGCCGTACGCATACCGAGTAGATACATACGATCTCAATTACAGTGCGTACGTTGGACGGATGAGGCGGGAATCCTTTGATGCTCTGTCGAGATACATCTTTCATTAATTCATAACTTAGCTAAGCCGCCTAATTACCCCAGGTAGGTAACTGTGTAAGATCCTCCCGAGACAGCGAAGCGGACTAGTTCTCAATAGGATTGTCGTCGTGTTTGATAATTGATTATTACTAAACCCTACATACCTGGTCAAGTCAACGAGGAGGTGGCTAAGACAATGGAATGGACCTTTTCTGCCTTGTTTCTTCGTGCGCTACCCGATAAGGCTGTACTATTCTGAGAACATACCTACCTACGCTTCCCCGCGCTTAGGAATAAATAGGTAGGTAGCATCCCAATGCCCAGGTTTGAATACTGGGTAGCATCGAATAAGAACACATCGAAGCCGGTATGCGTATTGCATGATACACGTGAGGCAGGGTACATGCTACGAAACAAGATGCTCCAGATGCCCTTGCTAGGAATATGTATGGGTATGGTAGTGATCTGCGTTCGTTGAAACATCTGGTTACATAGTAAGAAGATTTTTGGCGGACTTTTCGCATATGAAATGAGTTAACTGTCACTGACGAAATTGGATGAAATGGGTGAAATGGGTGAAATGGGTGAAATGGGTGAAATGCGACGAACGGGTTTGGTACTACCGGAGCTAAAGTCAGGGGAAAAGTAGGGGAAAGTTCATAGCCCCCAAATATCCGCCCTAAATTCCCACATTTGAAAGAACATTACATAATAGCCACCTCAGGCCAATCATATCGCTTTCTTCAACCTGGTTTAATGTTTTCCAACCATTAAAAAGATCCAGACAGCTAAAGCATTAGGCTATCAATTATCGCCCTATCGAATTAGTGGCGGTTATGTAAGTACGGCGTACCCTACTAATTAGGGCAAAGATCTGGAATTTTGCGGAGTCACGATTGACAATTTTCGGCCGGATTCAAATACAACAACTTTGACAAAAGACGGAATTAAGCGCAAATGGTTCTCTAATATCGTCAAAGGCGTCATCTGCTGCATTCTCTATCCTGCTTATAGGCAAGTAGAGATTTGCCTATGAATAGTGCATACCGTAACTGATATAACATTCTCTAGGGCTGTCTTCTATTCCGTACCTACATAATCCCAAATTGCGAACAGTAAAGGTAAGGAAAGGCAGAAGAGGAGAATAGACAGACTAGCCCAGGACGACAAGGAGCTCAAAACCAAGATGTAACCTATTATTGATTATCGATAGATAATATGCCCATGTGTCCGGGCCCTTGTCACATCCAAAGTTTCGTCCTGCAGAAGAAGCATGCTCGATGAGGGTTACGAATCGCTGGGTCATAGGGCAGGGTAAGGCAGGGTAAGGCAGGGTAGGGCAGTACGGAAGTCCTCCTCCACCCAACAAGCGGAGCCAGTGTTACCCAATCCTGGCTGCCACCCTCGACTGTGACGAACCGTTCATATTGTCGTTCATTCGTTTACCTCCGCTATTCGCGCCTTGTCCTATTATACACTATATTTCCCTGATATTGTGTCTGTGTGTGTCACTTGAACACAGATTACTTGGAACGCCCGTGTCAAGGAGACCTACTCCAAGACGTGCATGGTAGTCCCATTGCTTGGTTTATCTGACTTACCTAGCCCATCACGCAAATAATGTCCTTCCCTAAGGTAGTGTACCAAGGTCCGTGAAAGAAGTACGGCCACTCTAATCTCGGACTGGTACCACTTGCGGGCCACGCTACTGCGGGAGTCGTTGTCTACCATCCACCGGGGACTCAGCATTACATCGGTCTATTAGGCTCACTCCTCTATGTCGAAAAGTCAAAGCTTTCGAACTAGAGCGAATTTGCGCGCCGAACTTTTTACCCCGTTTCCGCCGATCGTAGGGATTAAAGTCGCCGAAGGACTTTCGGACTCTCGCAAACCTCGTTAGGCATATCTGCAGATTAGAGTGCCTGGTCTAGACTCCGAAGACCGTTCTGCCATGTTGTTCTTTAGAGACAACGGTAGTCTACGTACCCTTACCGGTAGACTGGACAGCGAAGCGGTAGCACATCGTGGTGTCAAAATAAGAACGTTGGGGGCGACTTGTATTATCCCGATTTGAACTGTATTCCCTTTACAGATGGAATCCGTGGGTGAAATGCACATTTTCCGTGCAGCATGCCTAACCGAACCTCATGACTGAGCCTGTGATATATTAGATTGGCCTAGGCCTCGTGTCCCTCGTTCCCTATTCGTGGGAGCACAGTTGTTCGTACCAGGAACAAATCACTTATGTTAATACAAAACTCCTGACCCAATACAGCTGCTGTGCCATATCCGATGGCCAATAAAAATCAATATATCATACATGATAATGATCGCGTAAGACGACGTTCATAGGTCAGTTATGGCTTTCAGCTTTATGGAGTACCTTATAACTCGGACGATAAACGAGGCACGATTTGTAACCCTAATCGCAAACAAGAGGCTCAGTCGCAAATCTAAATAGGAGAAGGGTAAGATCCTCTTTTGTAACCTTTATTTTACGACCCTTAGAGGAGGATACTCTACGGTTCATTCCGGCGCTAACAAGTCGCTAGAGATATAGAGGAAATTTTGAATGGCAATCAAAAGTACTCTTTGGTCAAGAATTGTGTCTCCTATTGGTTTAACCCGTCGTCTTTCACGGATCTGATTATGTTGATAGGATCTAGGAACCACACAACCATAGCAAAGAATATGGGCAAGAGCCGTCTCGGATCATTAACCGACCTATCGTGACAACTACGTTTCAATAGTCCATTATGGTCCAGACCTTCCCTTAACATGGTCGATTATACATGACTGGAGATTGAAAGATTCTATATATACCTTATGAGCCCAATATATAAGACGCCCAATAATGCCATCGATTGTAAGTTGTCTGTGACACTTGGATCGTGCTTGAGATGGAGGTTGAGGCCAGTCATATACGTGAATCACGAGCCTCCACATAAAACAATCGTGAGGTGAAGCGGGAAGGTCCCCGGAAGCACTTCTATTCGGGACTCGGTATGCGTGTCATCCGACCACACAAGGTTATTTTTGTCACTCTCCACGTGAACCTCTTCTTCAACATATCTGTGACGCTCGACGATTAATCACTATGTATACTTTACTCCACGTTTCTTTCGTGCTCACTAAACACGAGATTTTGAACAACGTATCTTCGGATCTCGGTCCGGAGGATGGGCGGAAGAATGGCGCCCCTAGGGGGAGGAAAAGGAGAATATGCACTCCGGATATGCGGTTGCTCTGCAAGGCTAGCCAATAATCGAGCCTCCGGCTTTGGAAATCGAGATTATATTCCACATATCGATATCGACTTCTAAGATGAAGGCGCGATGTTGAATGAGACTCCGGCACGTTGAAGTCGCATACGGACTCTCCGTGAAACGGTGAACCTGGAATGCAAAGCGCAGACCTAGAACAATAAGTACAATGACTTGGCTAAGTTACACGTTACCGAGCCTACCTTCCTGACATCTTGAAGGCCATGCCTTCCCGGTTCACATAAAGTGACAAACAAGCCGGTCAAGGTTCCTTAGCTCGAGTGATTCACGGAAGCAACGACCTCGAGGGAGAAGAGGTCTTAAAAGTGCTTCCATCTCTCTCTTTCACCTCGCCGACCCTTTTTCTCTCGTTTCTCTATCCAACAAGACAAGCTGATCGACCATCGCTCGGATATCGGAAAAACATCAGATAATTCCAGCATATTCATTCCATCTATATTCAACAGAGCTTGCCCTCTTTACGCGGCTACACCTTATCTGATACTCTTCCAATCTATCGCAATGGATCGTACAGTCCAACATCAGCCCCAGGCCCAAGCGCCCATGACCACGGACGTTCCCCAGAACAAGGGCGAGGGGAACGATGCCAAGCAGGTCACATTCGGGTATGACCACCCTTTTTCTCCTTTCCCCTTTTCCCTCCACCCCGCCCGGGGTGCGCGGGGGGGGGGGGGGGGGGGGGGGGGGGGGGGGGGGGGGGGGGGGGGGGGCGGCCGGGGGGGGGGGGGGGGGGGGCGGGCGCGGGGGGGGGGGGGGGGGGGGGGGGGGGCTG